CCAACAAAAGCACAAACCAGCTGAATTTTAAATGAGTTTTTGCTTTAAGCTTGTAGTTAAGAAATTTGAATAATTATCAAAAGGCGCCGCAAGCGGCGTTCTCAGCATTCAAAAGCTAAAAAACGGACAAGCAAATTAAATTAACAAGCAATTTAATGGTTGAGTCCTTGTTAAGTGCTGTCCTTTGAGATCCTTATTCTAATCCAAGCGAGTCTGTGAAAATGTAAAAATCTTCTCGCTCTACTTCTGTTTTCTCTGTCTTTAACGAACTTCTGTCTCTTTCATTTACTCTCTCTCCCGTTATTATTCATTTCATTTCTCTCTCTCTTTCTAATTGCCTTTCTCTGTGTCTCTGTCTTTTTCTACTCCAGAGAGGTAAAGCTCTCTTCCTCATCCTTATACTTTCTGTTTCTCTGCCTTACTCTCTCTCTCTCTCTCTCTCTCATCCCTCTCCTTAACTCTCACTTTCCCTCTCCTTCCCTCCTTCTCTCTCTCTCCCTCTCTCTCTGCATTCCCTAACATCCTACAACCTTTCTATGCGATTCCCACACACTACATTCGGTTTTTTCGGCTTACATAACTGTTTTTGAAATTTGCCGTCAGATCCACATTTTATTTCCTGACTATATTGAAAACAAAAATATAAAAAAAGAAAATGAAAATTGTTCAAACTCAAACCATTAGCCAAACATAGAAGAAAAGCTGTAGATAAATCTATGATCTATGATTCTGGGCAAAATGTGTGAAATGAATGAGAACACGCTGGACCGGCATTTCGTGTCGCAGCTGCGGATAATGTACGACGTCTACTCGAACAACATTAGCAAGTCGGACATTGTGATTAGCCAGCGCTGGCTGCAGGTGTTCCACAAGGCGAGCCGGCGGGACAAATATGCCAGGAACTGTCTGATGCTACTCATGTACGGGCAGCTGCGTGAGATGGGCAAGCTGGGCATGCCCTTTGTCAAGGCGGGCAATGTGAGTCGTTCGCTGGGCGAAGTGCTTTGCGAATATCAAGGAAATCTGGAACTGGAGGAGGATCAACGGCAAGAGCAGGAGCTGACACACAAGCAGGAACATCAGGGATGGATGCAGCGAAAAGAGCACCAACAATCGGAGCCGGAAGACAGGCTGGAGCTGATGCAGCAGCAATTGGACATTCAGGAGCTGCAATTGGATGTGCAGGATAATGAGAATGTTGCATCAGAGATATCCAGTTATAATGGCAGCTTGAGTGACCAGGAACGTCTTAGAGGTGGCAGCCAGAGCATCCACCTTGCCGACTCCAACTTCGAGCTGCTCACGCAGAAGAACCAACAACTAATCCAGGAGATCAACCAAATGCACGCACGCACAGTGGAGAACGAACAGCGCTACAGACAGGCCGATACCGAATGGCAGCAACGCATGCTGGAGGGCCACCAGCCGCAGTCCAAGCAGCGGATGCAATGGCTGCTGCGGCGCATCGATCGTGGCACGGAACTGGCCATACGCCAGCTCAAGAATTGGGCCACGAACAGTGGTCCGCTGAATTTCCTGTACGTAAGCCTGCAGCACATACTGGACGATGACCCGGAGACGCGGAAACACCTCAGCGAGCTGGATCGCAGGCTGGAAACGGTGCTGGACAGCATGCTGGAGCAGGCGGGCGAGCGGCGAGAGAAGAACGTGCGCATGCTCTACGATCAGTTGTTCAAGCAGCAGCAGGAGTCGCTGAGCTGCAAGCAGCAGCTGCTCCAACATGAGCTCGCGCTGACGCAAGCGCGACAGCAGCTACAGGTGCACGTGCAGGATCTGAAGCAACGCGAGCAAATGTTCTGGGAGCAGGTGGTTGCCTTGCCCTGCTTCACAAACCCAAGCAATGGGAGCAGCTGCAACACGGAGAAAGAGTCAGCGCCATTTGAAACGCTGCGCAGCACCAAAACCCAAACGAATCCTGATACATTCGATGACGGCAGCAGCAGTCGCACTGACAGTGGCATCTGTGGCTGTCCCGACTGCCAGGCTGAGCTCGAGCAGCAGAGCAGCCAGACCATCCTAATGGAGACATACGTAAGGCGCAGCTGCCAGTACTGCAAGCCACAGCGGCCAAAGGACGACGACTCCAGCAGCAAGCGTTAAATTGTCCTTAAATAACTTGACTTATATTGTAAATATATTTTCTATTCCTGCTAGCAACTTGGCAAATTCTTTATTTATGACTAAAATCAATACTTCTTTGCTGCTCTCTGTGTGTGTGTGTATGAGTGTGTGGCTGTCAATTGCCAGGAACTGGACTCGCAAAAGTTTTAATGTAGTTTTAATTTGCTCGTAAGCAGTGGAAACTTGGCCAGGATAACTAAAATAAGTAAGAAGAGAGCGCTAAACTTGCCTGGCAACAACAGCAACAGCAACAGCAACAGCTTTGCTCGTAATTAGTTTTTAAGCGCTGTGTGCGTGTGTGTGTGTGGGTGTGTGTGTGTGGCATTAGATATGACAGCATGCAGTTAAGCACTTCTTAACGACGACAATGCTGCTGGCCTGGCCTGGCCTGGCTTGGCTGCCTGGTGTGTGGCTGCCGATAATGGCGCAAGTATAATAAGTGCAATTGATTTTCTTGCCAAGTTTCCACAAGTTGCGGCAGTTGGTGCCAGACCAACTGCAACTCGATTGTAGTTTACTGCTGCACATCTTCATTACCGAGCGATACAGTGGTGTCTTCACTATGAGTCATAGCTGCTGTGGGAGCTAAGCATTAAGTATAAAACTCCCGAAATTATATAATATATAATATATTTAAGCTATGACTGCAGCTCAGCTACAGTGGAGTCTTATAAAATAGGTCTACCTGCCTACACATTCAGTTCAAGATATTTCATATTAATTCACTCATATTTCATATTAATTATATAAATTATACAGCATCTTTGGACCTGCTATGACTGCAGCTCAGCTACAGTGGAGTCTCATAAAATAGGTCTACCTGCCTACACATTCAGTTCACGATATTTCATATTAATTCACTTATATTTCATATTAATTATATAAATTATACAGCATTTTTGGATTCTGCTTAGCTGCCAGCAATTTTCACTGTTCCGCTTCGCTGACTCAAATGGGCGCCGCCATTTTGTATTCAATATTGTCTTTTCCTTCCGGCTGCGCTAAAAAGTATGCTACAAAAAGCGTAGCAGAGTCCATTGTTTGATTTTTAGTCGGTGCGCTGAAAAGCATGCTACGAAAATAGCTAAATACACAATTGTTGGCTACGCTCAAAAGCATGCTACATTATTTGTTGAAATAAGCTGCTCTTGAGTTAAATTCGCTTTTTAATAACAGCAAACTGACATTTATATTTAACTACTTTGTGCTTTTAAAGGTGGCCTCACAATATTGTAATATCCTGTGCAAAACACATAACATAGTAAGAAGTACAAACAAGCTCCACTAACAGTTACTTCACAGCCTGACGTGCACGTTCTTCTATATAGAGCGAAGGCAAACAGCACCCAAGTTCAAACGTTCGACATCCGCTGTCGATAGCAAAATTTCAGTTTTCTGACATTTGTTGCCAAAGTGTAGCGAACATTTTATGAAATTTGATAAAGCAAAGCATTTGATAATAAGTACATGATGGTCGACTGAGCTCCAATGGAGACAGTCGTACATATTCGCACCGAAAACAAAAAATAAAGTTGTGTCTAAAAGTTGTGGGTGCAAAAAAGTTGCAAAGCAAATGCAGCTGCCATACTGGCATGACTTCGACTTCGCTCAATGACAATAGCTCAAAATATGTAGGACCCACTGTCGAAAGCGCAGCGAAAAGGACGAATAAAGAATGCGGCCAAAACAGGAAAACAAAAAAGTGTGTGAAAAGTTTGCGTTTTTGACTTTAATGATGCGCACAGACTACGAAAACTTCGCTCAGGCAGCAGAGGCTTACGACATGGCGCGGGGAGCGGGACTCTCTGAGCTACAAACATAAAATTTGAGATGTGGCTTTCGTGGATGGGTGGCAGGCATTAGCGACATAAAATTAATGACAAATTTGTGAGCTTATGCGAATGCATTGTTCCCAAAACAATTTCTGACTATTAAGCGTAAAGTGCAGCGAAAGCAGGGCATGGCAGAAAAGGAAGGCAAATATGACAAAAGTGAAAAGTCGCCAAGGCAGCGTCAAGGCAAAATTTATGTGCGCAGCAAACCCCAAGCAATTACGCCAAAGACTTAGTTGCCTTTTTTGTGTGTATGACAAAAAGCAAAGAAGCTGCCGCATTGGCTAAGGGGTAAGCGGGCAAAGCAGCAGCTGTGACCAGCAAGGACCACAACTTTCATTTTACTGTTAAAATGCTCAACAAAAGTTGCATTTTCGCTCTGCTCCTGCCAAAAAGCGAAGAACCAAAGTGCACTACATAGCCATTATAACGGGGCAGCAGTAGCAGGAGTTTCAGCTAGAGAAGGGTAAAATTTTCCTAGAAGAATACGATGAGACACGATTCTCAGTGCCTTAACGATAAATATGCTTTGTACTTGTACTTAGTTTCTTTTCTATTGAAGATCTTCGTGGAATGTACAACACGCGCTCACCTCTATTCCATTGTAATGGTGGCTAGAGCTGAGTGGAGCTTCCCTAATACGATACAATTCTACACGAAACGATATGTAAGAACGTGTGATTCCTAAGGCCAACAACAAGGAACGACATTCGCTCATCTCTAGTCAAAACATAACCGTTGAAGTTGAAAATGGGCTGCTTGTTGCATTTATCACATTTTGCACATCTTCGCACAGAGGCAACAACGCTTAATGGCTTTCTGCTGCCAATGCAGAAGCTGCGGCTGCGACTGTGGCTGTGGCTGTGGCTGACAACTTTCCTTGGCCAGTATTCTTAGTGCCCACTCCCAACGATTCAACTGGAGACTGAATAGTTGCTTATTGTGGCTCGAAAGTGGCTGTTAGAATGCGGCCACCAGAAAATTACAATACTTTCTATGTAACATATTCACTATATTTACTTTATATATTTATATACACAATTACAATGTGGCCTCTTTCTGGCTAAAGTGTCGCTTGGCAAAGGTCTCGCCCACAATAAGAGGAAACACCAAAGTAGCCTCGGCGTACACCTTGACGGGAGTTGCGTCTTTGCGTATCTTGCCCCAGGATACCGCCTCATCCGGTCGTGCGCCACTGTCACTACCATCGAACTCCGAAGCTGTGTTTATGAAGACAGAATAATCGGCGCCATTACGCATAAGATTCGCATTGCAAATGTGATGCTTTATGATACCACCACCCACTATAATCATGCCAGTATTAACAGCTTTGACGGCCATCGTGTTAAGTCTTCGCAGATCCGATAATATATCCACAACCAGACCCGGGTGACGGAACGAATGAAAGTACATCATGTCACCTAGACTTCCATCGGTTAGCGCTGGACAAAACACAGGTATCTGGTTCTTAGCAGCCCAATAGTATATGGAACTGGGATCTCCGATGCGCTCGCCAAGCCTGTGAATAATGCGTGAGGGTGACCAGACGGTAGCCTTACTCTGCTGCTCTTCAAGCATTTCATCGAGCAGTGGCATTAGCCAATCCTCGAACTTGCAGTAGTTGTCATTGGGCACCAGCAGATTGCCAATACGATTGATTCCACGCTCTCGAAGCTTGCTTCCACTTAACTCGAATGAGCCCATAAATGTGGGTGCAAGGCATTTGATGAAATCCTCCTCCACCCCTCCAGCTGTCGTTACAATGCAGTCGATCATGCGATGCTCGGCAAGGAATCGCAGCGTCTCCCGCAAACCCGACGAAACCAAGTTAGAGGTGTACCCCAGAAATATAGTACAATTGGTGCGCCGTCTGATGAACTCATCTGTTTCGTGCATATCCTGCTGCTCAGCGTCCAGTGGCTGCGCCCTGCAATCCAACTGTCCGTCTTTAGTATAATGTGGTGTCCAATCAATTTAATTACTTACCATTTTATTGATTTCCTTTATGGCCAGGCCCATATTCGTTGCCTGGAAGCCGGTGTTCACGTATGACTCGAACAGCTTGCTGTAGTTGATGCCCACATTGAAGTCATATCCGTGCACCTGTGGCGTGTCTTCCGAAAGGCGCTCGCTGCGCTTGAGCACAGCATCCTTCGCAATTTCGGGCTCACTTGACATTGCAAATTAAATGTTTTTGTTTTTGCGCGTTGTTCGTAACATGTGCAAGTCAAAATTATATCGATACAACTATCGATAGTCAAAGCTTAGTATGCTGTTTGATATTTTACTTCCATTTTAATTGTTTTTATGGGACTTATCCGTTATTGTAATGTGAAATCCTGCGGCAAAATTAATTTTAAAAAATATAGAGTTTACTAGAAACTCAAGTAAGTTGGCAACTCTTGTAACGTATATCGACTATGTCAATCAATGTGTCGGACAACGATAGTAACATCGATAGTTTTTGCTGCGCTACCTTGAATGACAGGCAGAGAAATTGAGAGCTAAAAAACAAGAAGAAGCAAGCACTTGAAACAACCAACAACCAAAATTTTACGGTACGACACATTTTATAAATAATTCTAAACACTTTCAAATATGATCACAATTTGATATACATAGAAGCAGAAACAAGCCAACAATCGACTACAAAGCGAAACGCTCAACACACATTGAAGTGGAAGCTGTAGACGAACGACGCGAGCAAGCGGCCAAGCAGGCAAACAAATACATATAGAAAAATGATTAAACTTTTCTCGCTGAAACAACAAAAAAAGGATGGTGATCAAACGGCACGCGGCGGCCAGCAAAAAAAGGCATCAGCTGCCCAGCTGCGTATACAAAAAGGTAAAAGTTGTGAACTATTTGGCGCCCATGATTATCGCTTTATTTTATTGTTATATATACGTCTATATATTACATATACATACATATATATATATATATATATATATATATATATATATATATATATATATATATATATATATATATATATATATATATATATATATATATATATATATATATATATACCTTTATATATATTATGCATTGTTTATGCAAAATATATTCTTATTTTTAGATATTAACGAACTGAACCTGCCAAAAACTTGTGCAACGGAGTTTCCAGACAGCGATGACTTGCTAAACTTCAAATTGATTATATCCCCCGATGAGGGCTTCTATAGAGACGGACGCTTTGTATTCAATTTTCGCGTCGGATCCAATTATCCGCACGAGCCGCCAAAGGTGAAATGCGCCACGCAGGTGTATCATCCGAACATCGATCTAGAGGGCAATGTATGCCTAAACATTTTACGCGAGGACTGGAATCCAGTGCTGACCATCAATTCCATTGTCTATGGCTTGCAATTTCTGTTCTTGGTAACAAATTTATTATAAAGCAGCAGTCTTTGAATTGAGATTTTACTACAAAGATTTGTCCATTTTTAGGAACCCAATCCGGAGGATCCGTTAAATAAGGAAGCCGCCGATGTGCTGCAAAGCAATCGACGTCAATTTGAGTATAATGTTAAGAAGGCAATGCGTGGCGGTTGCGTTGGCGAGACTTTCTTTGAATGCTGTCTCAAGTGATATATAGGAAATCAAAACTCTATAATTTAAGTAACGGCGTCTGCCTGCCTGCCTGCCTGCTTTTGCTGCTGCTGGCCACTGCTGCCTGCTCCAATTTTTCAATGATGATGATGATGATTATGATGAATGCGCTTTTATTAGTTCTACACAACAACACACGTATGAGAAGCGGGCATCTAACAAGCAACAGCAATGACAACAGCAATAATAACGATAACAACAACAGGCAGAATTTGGCCGCAACGACAACAACAAACAACAGCAACAAAAAATTATCGTAATAAAACAAAAAATCAACCACTGCGAACCGAAAAAACAAAAACGAGTCGAGTCAGCAATTTGTTTTTAGTCTAAGGCCAACATTATTATAATTATAAAATTTGTCATCTTTATAATTGCATTCGAGGGAGCTACAAAACAAAGATGAAAGAAGATATAAAAGTGAAAACACGAAGTTTGTTGCGAATTCATAATTAATGCGTTCAATTCTGGAATTCTCGCAAACATTGATGTGTCATGAATGGCCTTAAGAAGCATATTTTGTTGTAATAACTAAACTTTTTGTCTGTGGTATTAGTAGATATCTCTAAAATTGATCCTTTTCCAGTTGCGTATACGTAATATTTTGTGGAGTTGCAACTACAGTCGTAGTCTGATTTAAATTCTAATAGTATTTGTTAAACATTGAGACAAGGATGTTGCTAGTTTATATGTGTATTTAATATAGGTTCACTTTAGTATATATCGCCCACGCTATTGCCACCTACTCACAGGTGTATGCTGTTCCTTGCCAACTGCATATTTCGCCATAGGCAAAGATCGGCTACGGCCGATTGTCGACCGGCATGCAGACGCAGGTCGTAGAGGCGACTGATAAGACCGACGCGTATATCATCAGTGGCCAACACTTTGAGCAGCTGTTGCATCAGATTTGGCGGCAGCAGTCGCAACACAGGTGTCACACGCTCGCCGCCACATTCCACTAGCAGCGAGATGAACTGATAGACAAAGACGGCCTTGGGCGACAGCTCATCGCCGCTAACGAATTGCACAAAGACACGGAATATGTGCTTAATGCTCGCTTGTAGCGGCTCCTTGAGATTGAGTGGGGTAACGCGGAGCTCAGCGCTGGGCGCGTTTAGCAGAGCGGCAACATTCGCTGCGCTGCCATCGGCAAAGTCATTCGAATTGTCGCTGCCATCGCCGACAACCTTGCGCACCTTCGCCACGCCCGTCATTTCGTCGTCGTCGTGGGAGCGCGAACGTTTCTTAAACGCAGCTGCAGCAGCGCTGGTTGAGCTGCGCGTCTCCAGGCAGGAAATTATGCAGTAGACGCTCAAGCGTGCTAGTACCAGGGACTGTGGTTCGTTGATGTCATCGCTGCAAGGGCAAGGTATAAAAGCAATTAGGAATGTTAATATAGACTACTTTTGATAGGCAAGACACACCCTTGACGCCTCAGGATCAACGGAGCTACGACGTACTGCAGTAATGCCTCCGTGCTGCGCTCTATATCCAAATGCATTACAGCAAATACAATGTCCATGCACTTGGCCATGTCGCGCATGTATTTGCAGCTTAACAACTGCTCCACCAACTGGGTGACCAACCAGGACGCACCGCCGGCCAGCAGCAAAGATTCCAGTGTCTGGGCTGCGCGCACCGGCAAGTGTCCAGCATCTGATACAATACGCCAGCATTCGCGAAACTGTTCAATTAACGGCGTATGGGAAATGAGACGAGATTTGGTGTTTGGCGCTGGATGCACATCGTGCTGCATTTTACGAATGATTTGATAGGAGAGCGCCAGGCGCTCCTTCGAATTCTCCTGGCTGGACAGCTCCTCAGTGGTGAGGGGAGCCAAAAATTGTTGTATCATATTCAACGGCTTCAGCAGCTCTGTTTCACGTACGGAGTACATGTAGGCGCACAGATATGAGGTCGCACACACAGAGAAGCTGAAGAGGCGTCGCTTCATATTATCCAAAATGCTCTTTACATCCGCTGAGGATAGTGTTTCCTGCTCCCAGGCAATCAGCACATGATGCAATACGCCTGGCAAATTAAGGCATATGTCCTGCCAAGTCAGATTGTTTGGTTTCAATTGTGCTGCCTCTGGTTTGCTCAAGCTCAAGAGCAGCTCATCCACTATGCTGTCATCACAGAGGGCAAGAATCTGGCGAGGATTCTTTAGCTTATTGCGCTCCATCATGCATTCGCGAACCCACTTCTCGAAGAACGAATCGCCGCGATCGGGGAGGACCACCTGAAAGTCCATTCAGTTAATTATATGAATATAGAAACCATTAAAACTATTTACATCTGATCCATAGGTCTGCACAATGCTGCTGAGCATCAGGAATGAGACATCGAACAGAGTGGAGCGTGTGATACACTGTTTGCCCAGTTCCCCGGGCACCTGCTTCGAGTTTTCATTGCACTGTATCAGACGAGAGACAAAAGTCTTCAGGCGACCCTCCACCGTGGCCACCGATAGTATTAGTTCAAAGCTGTTGCCCACTGGCACCTGGCAGAGAACTTTCAGCATATCTTGCATCTTGTTAGTGCACAACGTTTTGAGCACCCCAGAAAGCGGCACTTCAGCTCGTTTGATGAAATTTATATTAGAAGGCGTTTGCTGACCATTGTCGCACTTCTTGAGCAGCTGTGAAGCGGCCTCCCTGCAAAGAACTTCCATTAATATCATAGTTGCATCTATCTAAAATGTTTACTTACCGCTGGCTGGCAAACTTCTTGACATGCACATCATTGACAAGCTGCTGTTTGGTCCAGTCGTTGAGCAGGAACTCTATAATATTGCATGAGCACTTGGTGTCCATAAAGTCCAGTAACAAATTGTCCTCGATAAGCAGCTCCAGGGCCTCCACCAACTCGGGTATGTAATCTGTGGCAGCCAGCTGCTGCTCGCCTGGTACACGCTGTAGTGCATGCAACTGTTTGATAATGTGCGGCATCTTGAAGAACATGAAGGCTCCCCACATGGTGTCCGGACTAGTGTCGGCCACATTGCTGAGCGTGAGAAAGCCCGCGCGTATAATCTCATAGAATAGACGTGTATTCGTATAGCCCTTCAGGCGCTGCAGCATCTGCAGCTCTGCCACATAGTACGAGGTGTCCTTGCAGGGATTCAAAAGCACCTCCACTGCGAGCAATGGTTGCACACAGCACGAAATCTTTTCCAAACTAGGACTTGGATTCAACATCTGCAGGTCCAAGTGCTTGGCATCAATATAAGCCAACTGCTTGAGTTGCTGTTCGGCTGTTGCAGCACTCAGCGTAAAGTTTGAATTGGTTAGAGACGCTTTAATATTGGCATAAAGATCATGCAGCCTGTCCAGCGATTCCACCTCTTCGTGACAGCCCACATTCAACATGGCCAGCACAAACTGTTGCTGCGTGAGGTGCTCGACGAGCAGACAGCTCTGATCCAACATATACGACAGCTCCGCACTCAGTTCGCCGCGCATTTCATATTGCTGCAGAGTACTTGCAAAGATTTGCATGATCCACAACACTAGCTGGACAACAGCCGCAGGCAGCAGCGCCTCCTCCGACTTGGTGCTGGAAAGGGAGTAAGTAAATAAGTAAATGTGGTACCATTTGATTGAGAATCAAGACTAACCGACAGGTGATGCCATCTATAATGCTGACCAGAAACTCAAGCAATGCAGTAACGCAATAAACACGACCCAGCTTATCGTATTTGGCTATGCAGCGCAGCACAGCGGCATGGGAGACGAAGTGTGCGCACAGCGAATGCTTCAGATAGTTCAAAACCAGCTGCAAGAGAGAAGCATTAGGCGGATTAGATGTTGGATTGAAGCAGTTTCTCCTTACTTACCGAATTCGCTGTGGAGCCAATCACTGCCTGCTGCAGTAGACAATCAGCCAGATTATAAACATCGCCACTGACGCCCCGTGGTAGGACCTGAAAGCGAAATATAATTCAGTTCATTCAAATCCAAACAACGTTCAGAATATAGCTTTGAAAATTGACGTGAGGCAAGGCAGGCCAGGTCTAGTAGAGAACTCTGTCATTACGGTTTCAGACGCGTTTCAATGTAATTTTATAAAATTTAGGGTACCTAAACTCACTACAGACGAAAAGAAACGAAAAGCGTTAACATACATACAATACAAAATAGTTATATATACGTGAAACTAGCCACTTTTATATAGCCGTTGTTAAATCATGTTTCGTTTAAATTGGCATCGCTGTCAGGTTTATTTTATGAACACTCTGACGGTGTCCTTTAGACGACGATCGATGCAATTGCTGAGTATCGGATGTGTGCCTCTCAGGGAGAACAATGTGGTATGCTACAATTCCCTGTGGAGGCGTCTAGTCAGCCAATATCAGTTTCGTACGAAGAAGAGTGTCTACTATCCGGATCGTAAGTCCGAGATGCAGCGTACGACGGTATCGGCCAAGCAAATGCTGGCCATCAATCCCCAGCATCATCAGCGTGGCCTGCCCAAAGATTACTACTACAGAGTGCTTGGCGTGAATAGACATGCAACTGTACAGCAGATTCGCAGCGCTTTCTATGCGCTAGCCAAACGATATCATCCAGACTCCATGCACTCAGAAGAAAAGCTGAGGCATTTTCAGGAACTTTCCAATGCTTACAATATTTTAACGGACGAGACAAAGCGTTTGGAATACGATCAGCTTGGTGGCATCAAAGATGAAAAGGCATTCCTAGCGCAGGCTGGAAATCCCATGAGCATTGACCTGAACAGCAAAAAATTTGAAACGATTTGCCAAAGTTCGGAAGGTGCGTTACTCCAAAAGCCAAACTACTAATGAGTGACTAATTGAGATCTATTTGACTTTAATACAGATATAAAAAAATTAACTGGTGGCGAGTTCGATTTACCATTGACTTTTCTGGAAGCCACCGTCGGCTGCAAGAAGCGCATTGCTTTGCGGTATTTGCGAAAATGTGAAAACTGTAAGGGTAAATCACAGCTAATGGCCAATCGTGATCTGGGCAAGGAGCCGTGCCGTCGCTGCAACGGCACTGGTACAGTGTCCACGAAAACGTCGACCTTCAGTTCAGTGAATACGTGTAGTCAGTGTAAAGGCAAGCGTTATATTAATCGGAACGATTGCGACAACTGTGAAAACCGCGGCTTTGTAACGGGCACTGTCGAGGTTTTAATCACTGTGCCATCCGGCTCAAGAACGGGAGATATTATAACCATCGACAATCCCAACACAAAGCAACGGGTCAAATATACTCTACAGGTGCCCACGAGTGATTACTTTCGTCGCGTCGGTAACGATATCCACACAGATAAATTTCTAAACATCTCTGAAGCCATTTTGGGTGGTAATTTTCTAGTTCGTGGTCTCTACGATAACATCGAGCTCCGTGTCGAAGCCGGAACACAATCTCATACACAGGTAGTTCTGCACAACAAAGGAGTACGCACACGTGATGGTGTGGGCAATCATATAATCACACTGAAGGTTCGTATTCCTTGCAATCTGTCGATGAAGCAACGACAGCTTATTTTGGCACTGGCTCAGGCGGAGGAACCGGTGTTTGAATTCCATAAGGGTAGCAAGAATGTAAAGGATTAAATGTCGTCTGTTCCTCTATATACAAAAATCTTGCTCAAAAATTCTCAATGTGTAACGCTTTCATCATTGTCCAAGTAAATTTTAAATATTTGTCAGCTTTAAATGTTCATATCACCTTTTTTATGTTGATGCCCCACTGTGAGTCAGTCCAGCGTTCACGCCATGCCACGTTAATTAGCTGAAGGATTTTGTTGTCCTTCATGGCGCTCAAGGCGTTGGAACAAAATAACCAAATTACTGCTTAGTATAGTGTTTATTTCATTATATTTAGGACACAAATCCAATAAACAATTATATTAAGGTATACCAAGAAGAAGCACTGTTTATACTTTTCACCAGAGCTGCGTGCAATTTCACGTTAGGGATGATGAGATGTATCGATTAGCTCATAAATATCGATGTGTAATGTATCTGATGATAAAATCTATATCTAAATTAATTTGTATTAATGTGGTATTACAATTGTAGAGTTAGATACATAACAAGAAACTTTTCTACGTAATTATTCTGGCAATGGTACACTTTTTTTAATCTGAGGTACAAACTAATATATCAATCGATAGTTTTTCGATAGTTCGGTAGTGGAATTGAAAATTGTGCAGCACTTAAGATGTGTTTATTAGTGCCCGCCAAATTCAAAAGAGCCAACACCTGTTATTAAATCAAATATGTAATTTATTGAATACAATAAAGTAGCGCATGATTTTTGTAAACTGCTTTAAATATTATGTTCTAAAATGTTTGACTTTGTACAAAATATATATATATTTACTATATATGCCGAAAATTGTTCCTCCATTGCACACACACTTCAAATTTGATGTTTTCACTCATTATCTTGTTACTTGAATATTTTGATATAATTGTAATATAAGTTTAATTGGCAATATAACAAACAATAATAATAATAGTGCTAATGCTGAGAATTGGAGTTACTAAAGCAAAAATGATAAAATTAAATGAGCTTTCGGTGGATTGTCAAGGGTTCAAATAAAGAGTATGTGCAAATAAATTTACAAAGGCAATTTATTTAGTAAGAAATTTGAATTCAAAGCAAATGTATATTTAAAAAATATTGAAAAATATAACAGCTAACTTAAGATTGTATGACAAAAGCATTTCTTTACCTATTAATGGCAGCGCCATGAACAGTGAACTTAAAAACTAACAAAAATTGCTTTGAGAAATGGAGCGTCACTCAACTAAACTTTTTTTACTTATTAACCGAGGAAGAATCGTCAATTGATTATATTTAAAAGCTAAGTCTAAGACCTATTCATTTATTTACTTATTTTTGTTTGACGTCATGGAGCGAGCTACCGTCTCCACCATGTCGTCGCCAGCTGCATGACCCAAATCCAATCACTTTATCATCATCGTCCTTAGTACTTTGAGGAGTGAGTTCTTTTCTTTTTGTTTCCATGTGTTTTTATCATTTTCTGTTATCAGTTATGGTTGTTGTTGCGTGAGTTCAATTGCACCTAAGTGGAGGAGGATGAGCCACCAGCCGGTTCATCGCCCTTAACAGCCGAGGCATAGCTGGCACCTGCGTTGGCCCCGCCACTCGATGAACTGCCCGGTTTCTCATTAGCTTTGCCATCACCAGCAGCAGCTGCAGCAGCAGCAGCAGCAGCAGCAGCACTTGGTACACCGGCCGCACCGCCAATGCAAACATTACTGTTAAGACCTGAAGCATGATGTGAATCAACTAAATAATTTGTTTTGATATTGCAATTGTGTGCGTGTGTCTGTTTCTGTATGTGTGGTTTAAATGGAATTATAAAGCACCTTTAACATCCATAGCATAGCTATCATCCAAGCGCAAGTCATGCCGCTTCAGCAACTGGCACTCGGCGCCCTCAATCGAGGGTATGGAATAAACATACAAATAGCCATCCTGCGAGGCAATCAAAAGTCTGCAAAAGAGTGCAATAATAGTTATAAATGAAATTGGATATTATATAGTAATGTTATACCCACCTGAGCTGCTTTTGTATCGTGGTTATGGCGCACATGCGGCGCACACCTGCCTCTGGCAGCGTGACCGACGCAAAAGCTCGGCCCTGGCTAAACACATCGGTCACCTGCGTGGGCAAGTAGCTGGTCACCGTTTTGCTCAAGAATCTAAAAAACGAGTAACTTTGCATGAGAGAATAGATTTGATGAGTGGTAGTTGTGGTTGTGGTGGTGGTTGTGGTTCAGGTTGTGGTTGTGGTTTGTGGGTGGTTGATTGAAGAAATGAAAGAAAAGAAAGAATAGATAAATGTCAAGTGCCACACACAAAGAAAAAAAAAAAACTTTAGGATGCATTAAGTTGCACGGGATGTCAAGGATTTAAAAATTATAATGTTAACCTTAGCTCTACTGCAAATTGATAAGCTATTCCTATCATAATACATTTGGAATATAATTCCGTTGACAAGGAAAATGATAAATAATCAAATATGTTCTTTAGCTAAGTCTTCACTGTATATAAGTTCTGAATGGGTGAACGATTGTGAGAGTTTGTGTATAAAAATCGTATATATGTTGTATGTGCATGTTTATATACACCGTCACCAAGAGAAACAGACAACGAAAGCTGCACCTCGGGTCTCCCACTCCACAGCTGGCCAACTTACCCCATCCAATCATCGCTGGACTGTTTGCCATGGTCGTTGTTTTCGGCAGCGCTGCGATCCAAGCGGAATATGTGCACCGTCTCTGTGTTCGAGCTGGAGACCAAATACTCGGCACAAGTGCTGAATGAGAGCGAGACAATCGAGACACAACGTTTGAGGCCTCGTCGCAGTTCGAACAAACGGCTGCCATCCTGAGAGCTGAACACACGAATTACAGTGCCACGCTCGCTGGCTGTGGCAATCTCTGTGCCCGACGGACTAAAAGCAATGGCCGCCAATGGTGTGTCATGGGCTGGTATCATAGTCTTGGCATGCAAGTTGATGGCATCAAAGATCTGCACCTCGCCCGCTGTCACGCTGCCCGGATATGCCAGATAGCAGTGCTCCGACGAGGAGGAGAGGGCACATAAGCCCAACTGATTACAGGGAGTATCGCGTATGGTGTGCACCACCTTCATATCCTGTATGTTGTGTATATAGAGCGACTCCTCCAAGCAGACAATCAAACGTTCCCGATTCAGCTTCACAGCCAAAATTGTATTCGAATAAGAGTAATTGCAAATTTCGCTCTGCTTCTTGAAATGGCAAACTTTCAATTTGCGCGGCGCACGCTGCGATACAATGGCAACCAGAGAACTCTCAAAGAGTCGCTCGATCAAGAATAGATCATCGCTTTTTGTGTTATAGATTTTGTCCAGCGTTGAGTCAACAGAACTTAGGCTATACAGGCTGTAGCTACCGCTGGTGGCCACTGCCAACGAGCTGAGCGAAAACAACGACATTTAAATAGCTTCCATTTAATAAATATTTATATATACTTACGTTATGTTTTGATTAAAGTTGACAAAGACCTCACCCGTATCCACATCGCGTGGCCCCAGCAGGCTCATCATTGTGTCTGTTTCTCTGTTCTTTGAGCTGCAATAGTAAAAATGCTTTAGAGGGTATAAGCTACACGTAATGATGCACAACCACCAGATACCCTGTTGCCAGATACATTTGAATACCTCTATATACACACATATTGAAAATAAGGAATGCAAAATCAACACTGTTGAAGCAAATTTATATTTGTATTTTATTTACTGCTACAAACACAAGCACAAAATTGTTATACTCTATTTTTCACTGTCATCAGGGTATGTTGGAGCAAAACAAAGGCAATTTTAGCTCTGATTTACCTATTACATTTGAAACGTGGAATAATTTTAAAATATACGACAGCGCAGGGGCTGGGCCAGCATAATTCGATTGCGTGTTAGACGAAAACGAACAAACAAAGCAAATATACATATGGAATGATGTATTTTGGGTTGAGCTCTGATAAAACCCCAAACCAACAACAACAAACGAAATGAACACGTATGGCCTAAGCATTTACTTACTTTTCAACAAAAACACCTTTTATGCGTGGGCCAAGCTTCGACCAATGTGTGTGATACACAATATAATGGCTCTATTGTTAAAACTGGCTATTTATTTGTATTTCTAAAATAATTTCTATCGCGCAATTGTTTTTGCTATGTTTTGCACTAGGGATGGGGCTAATTTGCGTGCGATATTTTGAAATCCCTCATATTGTTATTTGTCATCGATACGTGGGAGAAAGAATTGCTATAATTGTCGTGCGATATTTACAGTTGCTTATCGATAGTGACATTGGATTTCATATATATATGTACATATATTTATTTTACTGTGTTAAAATTCTGTAAATATTTAGCGTAAACAGATAAAAATGATAAACGGATAGCCACAGTGTTCGTCTAATTCACATTGTACTTGGATGATGATAACAACTCACCACGTTTATATCGATGCGAAAAGAGCAGCTGTCAGTTAACATAGTTGAAAAAGTAAAAAAAAATGCAATATGCATAATAGTTATAAATGTGAAAGAGGAAATACAGGATATGTAATGACTAAATCCACAATCATTGCCAAACACAAATATTGCTGAATGGGCAAATCACAAAAAGATGCAGACGCACGCAGACAACAAAAGCCATAACAAAGTGCTCGAACCAAAATAAATGCATATGCATGAGTATATGTATGTATGTATGAGCGAATGTATATATATTATATATCAAAATGTGTTGACTGGATTCTGATTGGATCATTGGAATACAATAAAACTGAGTGAAACAAGCACGTTCACTGATTACATTTACAACTATCAAGATCTTCAACAAATTTTTATGTAAGTATATACAGACAGTGGCTACACACCTATTATCAACAAACACACACCCACCTGGATCGTGATAAGAAATGAAATTAGAACGCACACTAAAAACGTGCATCTTTCTGCTTATAGCTTTATAGCCTGTGTGTTTGGCCATTTTGTATTTTTATTTGAAATCAGGCCGTCCAGTCGTGATTTACAGAGTAGCGTAACTGTTAATTATTTGCTAAGTGTAAACACTCATACGCATAATACCGTTATCGCGATATTGTACTTTTCCACCGCGCTAAGCGTCGCCGTTGTCGTCGTCCAATTGGACGCTTGAAAGGGGCAGCGCATAAGCTAGCGTGCGTGAAAGCGAGCAGGCGAGGCTTTCACATACGTAGAGGGTAATTCTAACTGCATTCTGAGTGGATTCCACAATTCTAATTGCATATGCTAGTTGTGTCTGTGAGCGTGTGTGTGCGCGTGTGTTTTACGTTTTTGTTTCATGTCGCTCTTATTTACGTTCATTAATAATTAGCCGCGCTGTCGCTCTTTTTTATCATGCAGCGACGTCGCCCATGTACTTTTGACATTTAAAATCCAATCAGCACTAAATTGTATGCGCAAATTGGAAGCTCTCCTGATAGCTGAACGCCTGAACTGTTTTGTTTTGTTTGCAGCTCAACTTTCGCGCTCGAATATGTCCGACGGGGTTAGCGTGCTGCATATTAAACAGGAGGTGGACACATCATCGGCTGGTGGGGTCAGCAATTCGTGTTGCAGTCCCAGCTCCAAGGCAACGACCGCCCACAACAATTCCAGCAACAGCAACAGCGGCATGAAGTCCTCGCCATCCGTATCGCCAGAGCGTCAGCTCTGCAGCTCGACCACATCCTTGTCCTGCGATCTGCACAACGTCTCGCTCAGCAACGATGGCGACAGCAACAAGGGCAGCGGTCCGAACAGCGGCAGCGGCGGCGCCCAAAACTCCAGCGCCAATGCAGGCAGCGGTTCGGTGCGCGACGAGATGCGTCGCCTCTGCCTGGTCTGCGGCGATGTGGCATCGGGCTACCATTATGGCGTGGCCAGCTGTGAGGCCTGCAAGGCATTCTTCAAGCGGACTATACAGGGCAACATCGAGTACACCTGCCCGGCGAACAACGAATGCGAAATCAACAAAAGAAGACGCAAGGCCTGCCAGGCGTGTCGCTTCCAAAAGTGCCTGCTCATGGGCATGCTGAAGGTAAGCTGCGCCTCCTATCCAGCTGTCCCCATATCTCTCTATAATAATCCGTCCTTGGCACATTCTAGGAGGGTGTTCGCCTGGATCGCGTGCGCGGCGGCCGCCAGAAATACAGACGCAATCCGGTGTCCAACTCGTACCAGACCATGCAACTGCTTTATCAGTCCAGCACCACATCGCTGTGCGACGTCAAGATACTGGACGTGCTCAACAGCTACGAGCCCGATGCACTCAGCGTCCAGGCACAGCAGCAGCAGCAGCAGCAGCAACAGCAACCGCAGCAGCAACAGCAGCAGCCACACACGACCAGCTTGAATGATGAAGCATCTTCGTCGTCAGGCAGCGTGAAGCTGGAGGTCAGCAATGGCACATCCAATGGCACTTGCATTTTTCAAAACAACAACAATGATCCGAACGAGATACTTGGTGTACTTAGCGATCTCTACGACAAGGAGCTGGTCAGCGTTATTGGCTGGGCCAAGCAGATACCGGGCTTCATCGATCTGCCCCTGAACGATCAGATGAAGCTGCTGCAGGTCTCCTGGGCAGAGATATTGACGTTGCAAACAACCTTCCGTTCGCTGCCGTTCAACGGCAAACTCTGCTTCGCCACTGACGTCTGGATGGACGAGCTGCTGGCCAAGGAGTGCGGCTACACGGAGTTCTATTATCATTGCGTTCAAATAGCGCAGCGCATGGAGCGCATTTCGCCACGTCGCGAGGAATACTACCTGCTGAAGGCGCTGCTGCTGTCCAACTGTGATATACTGCTGGACGACCAGAGCTCGTTGCGCGCCTTTCGCGACACCATACTCAATTCGCTCAACGATGTGGTCTACCTGTTGCGCCACTCCTCAGCCGTGTCGCATCAGCAGCAGTTGCTCTTGCTGCTGCCATCGTTGCGGCAGGCGGACGACATATTGCGTCGCTTCTGGCGGGGCGTGGCACGCGACGAGCACATCAATATGAAGAAGTTGTTCCTCGAGATGCTCGAGCCGCTGGCCAGGTGAAAGTCAGCTACAGCTCCTGCAGCAGCAGCAAATTGCCAGTCGATTTAGCTTTTAAGTTCAGGTGCAAATATCGGTTTAAGCTAATCTAGTTACTAAACTCCAGTGTGTAAGCATTCGAAAAGGTGTAGCTCATAGATAGTGTATATAGTTTGTCTGTGTACGTGACTTATGCGTAGAGTAAACAGTAAACAGTAAACAGTAAAGAGTAATTCGTATTCGAAAACTTAGAGCCATATTTAATCAACTACTACGACTACCGACTACCGACTAATGTACAACAAATAAGTGTTCAGCTTCGGCAGATGCCGAAGCTTAAATACCCTTGCAGATGGATCAACAAACTTATGTATAAACCGACTATGATAAGATAGGCTCAGTAGGGCTCAAGTCGATGAAGAACTCGGGAGGAACAACAATTAGCATACAGACGTTAGCTAGGTGCTACAGTTAACTGAGCAGCAAGTGAGATGAAACTCAGTTCGGACAGTGGATATAGAAACTTGGCAAACTTTTAGTCAGTCGGATTACATATGGTCTATATACTCTATACTCTACTCTTCTCAACTGCGAGTAGACCTAACCTGCTGCAAGGACATGGAGAAGGCAGACTTAGCACACAGATTTGAACTTAGTTTAGGCAAAGACAATACAGAAATGATAAGATATTGCCTTTGGCAGGTAGGATATTCCGCTTGCAGACACAGGGACTGCCAACAAGAAGCACTTTAACTAATTATATTAGAAACTAGATGGAGACTATACCCTTTTGTGTTACTTAAATATAGCTGGACACTTAACGAAATAAGCGGGGCCAATTGTGAGCGGGATTGGGAAGCCATAAGATTAGCGCTATCGTTGGTCATCTTTACATTTGTTGCAGACTAGAGACGTGTGTACGTGTGTGTGGGTTCCAATTGCAATAATTGAGAGGCACATATTATTGACATTGGCTATGTAGACTTCGATCTATGGCCGACTGCGCTGCAGATCGGGCGAGTCGAAGTACTTGCGGGAGCTCTCCTGGAAGCGGTCGCTGCGAGCGAGCTCATTGCGAAAATATGATATGGTCTGCAGTAGACCCGTCTCCAGGGGCACTTTGGGCTCCCAGTTGAGACGCAGCTTGGCGCGCGTGATGTCCGGCTTGCGGCGCTGCGGATCATCCTCCATGGCCTTGATCTGTTTCACCTCGCTCTGGCCGCCAACCAGATGCTTGATGATCTTGGCAAACTCGCCGATCGTCTGCTCGACGGGATTGCCCAGGTTCACGGGCTGCGTGTAATTGGAAGCCATCAGTGCGATCAAACCATCGACCAGATCCGAAACATATTGAAACGAACGCGTCTGCTTGCCGTTGCCATAAACCGTGATCGTCTCATTGCGCAGCGCCTGCAATATAAAGTTCGACACGACGCGTCCATCGTTCATATGCATCCTCGGTCCGTACGTGTTAAAGATGCGCGCGACGCGCACTTGCACCTTCTCCTAGAAGTATATAAAAAAGAAGCACTTCAATAACATGTTTTCATATCTTATCGGCTCTGCTGTATCGCTAACAAACTGAAGCGTCGGCATCCGGCATTCCCAAGTGGGTATTGTCTCTGGCTGAAGGTCATTTTCGCAATGTCTTTCTAACAGCTCCTATTGCCTTGCAGTAGGTCGGAAATTGTTCAGACTACCCTCGCTGAAAGCTGATATTTATATCACATAGATAAAGCCCACTTGAACAAGTAAGTATTTCGATATGGTTGATTTGTTTATCTTTTACTCAAACTAATTAATTTAATGCATCGCTGCACATTCTGAGCATTCCAATTGGATTGATACCAATCAGATATTCGAATGACGCCAGCGACTGCTACTTAGCCATAGACTCATTATATATATACAATATATATTGAAAGACCAGCTCACCTAAAGAACTTATTTTCTGCTATCAGTTCTTCACACTGGCCAATTTCTTGCTACGCTGCATATTTAAGCTATGTAAATTGGATTTTGATCCTCGTATACTAAAATTTTCCAACTGGCTTAGTTATGCTTTTCTTATAGGAACTATTCCGCTTGGATTGTTATACACCAGAGATAGCGTAATGACGTCAGAACTCACCTGCTTGGCATATGCGTAGCTGAGCGTCTCGGAGACGCGTTTGCCCTCATCGTAGCAGGCACGTGGACCTATGGGGTTCACATGACCCCAGTAGGTCTCCGGCTGTGGATGCACAGTAGGATCTCCGTAGACCTCCGAAGTGCTGGCAATTAACACCTTAGCCATGACACGTTTGGCCAATCCCAGCACATTGATGGTGCCCATGGTGTTTGTCTTTATCGTCTTTACTGGATTGTACATATAGTGGGGAGGCGATGCGGGCGAAGCCAGATGGTAGATCTCATCGATCTCGATGAACAGCGGATTCACAATGTCATGATGGATGAGCTCAAAGTTCTCGTGTCCCAGCCAATGTTCCACGTTGCGCTTACGCCCCGTGAAGAAGTTATCCACCACAATCACCTCATGTCCCTGGATCATAAGATCGTCCACGAGATGGGAGCCCACAAAGCCGGCGCCACCCGTGATCAAAATACGCTTCCGATTCTTATAGTTAAGATATTTGACTTTCGGATATTTTCGCGGCGTGCTGGCCTGCAGGGAGCGCACCTGTTCCTCCAGCTGTGCCAGTTGCTCCTTGGTGTGCAGCAGCTCCTGCCGCTGCTTCATCAGCAGCGCATTTTGCGCCTCATATGCAATTTGTAGATTACGCTGCACGGCATCCTCGGTGGGCGGCCACTGCCGCTGCTCCTCAATCACATGGGCCACAGGACTGGCACCTGGAACACTGACAGCGGGCGCAATTGCAACTTTGTACAAATAGATGAGGGCTAGGCCAATTAACGAGCTGCCCGATACAATTTTAATGCGTTTCTTTGTCAGACTCATTCTGTGAACGACAACTGTAGCTGACGTTGCACGAATTAAGACGCGATCGCTGACCGCGTTCGCTATGTGCTCTTATCAGCAAATGTGCATGTTTATTTATGTTCTTTTTAGTTTTGTTTACCCACCATCCAGCGATGTAATTTTCGGTCGCATCGAGTTGTGATCAGCTGTTTTCGTGCTATTCACAACAGCTGTTTAGCTGCTAGTATTAAAGACTAACTAATTGACAGCATCGGGTATTTTTTTATTATAATATTATTTGCAGTGTTTTGTAAATTATTTGGACTTGCTTATAAAATACAGAATTAAGCAAATAAAACTTAAATTTGAATTCAACGTCAAGATCCCATGGCTGTGACGACACTATCGTGACAACTATCGATAGACAGCCTAGTGTGCTGCTCACTCAAATAAATTAAATTAAACTGGTAAGCGCAATTAGTAACTTATGTAAAATCGTAATTTATATGTATAACTGATTGAATTTTTTAAATTGTAAATGTTGTAACCCACAGATACAAATTAGAATGTATCGATAACCACTAAACTAGATATTAGAGTGACCATTAAATATAATTTAGTTTTGTCCATTTTATGTGCGAGATCTGGCAGCTGCGTCAGTGAGTCAGCTGCTTATAGTTTTGCGATTTCATTGCAATTATTTTTTTTGCTAGCGCATATTTATTAACTCGTTACAAACCCTCAAGCGCATCAGAGAAATGCCGAAGGATAATGCGCCCACAGCCAGTCCAGATGAAAACAGTGAGCATGAACTAAAGCGAAAGACTAAAGAATTGGCAAACGCATCGGCACAAATGCTAGCAAGCGCCGTTGCCGGCTTAAAAATAAAGGAGCCAGGGTCAACGGCAAACGCGGACAATAAGGCCAATGAGAATGAGTCGGCATCAGCAGCAGCAGTAGAACAGTCAACGTTGGCCAAAAATGGCGGCAATATATCGTCTGACTCTAGTAAGTAATAAAGTTCAGAAAAAATCCAATTGGAATGAGCGGCACACAGAATGAGGTTAGGTTAGACCAGGAATATACTGTGATTGTGTTTGTGTGTGTGTACGGTTTGGACCACGCTGCATAATAAAAAGTAAATATACGGAATGCTTAATAATATTTTGCATTTTAGGTAAACAAGCACTGCTGCAGGCAGTCAACGATGCAGTGAACCTCACACGGCAACAGTCGAAGAAATTTACATTCTGGTCAACGCAGCCGGTGCCAAAGCTAAACGAACTGGTGACCACAAATGAGTGCATCGAGCCAAACAAAGAGATTGGTGAAATTCGCTCCGAGCCTTACACTTTGCCCAGCGGCTTTCTTTGGGTAACAATAGATGTGAACGATCCCAACGACAATAAGGAGCTCTATACGCTGCTCAACGAGAACTATGTTGAGGATGATGATGCCATGTTCCGTTTCGACTATCAGCCAGACTTCTTGAAGTGGTCTTTGCAGCCACCTGGCTGGAAGCGTGACTGGCATGTGGGCGTACGGGTCGAGAAGTCAGGCAAGCTAGTGGGCTTTATTTCGGCCATACCAAGCAAGCTGCGCTCGTACGACAAGGTGCTGAAAGTGGTGGACATCAATTTCCTTTGTGTGCACAAGAAGTTGCGCAGCAAACGCGTTGCCCCCGTGCTGATACGTGAAATAACACGTCGCGTCAATTTGACCGGAATATTTCAGGCTGCCTATACTGCGGGAGTTGTACTGCCAACGCCTGTATCTACCTGTCGTTATTGGCATCGTTCGCTGAATCCCAAGAAGCTGGTGGATGTGCGTTTCTCCCATTTGGCTCGCAACATGACCATGCAACGCACTGTGAAGTTGTACAAACTGCCTGACCAGCCCAAGACAAAGGGCTATCGTCGTATTACTTCTAAAGATATGGACAAAGCGCACAAACTACTGGAGGAGTATCTGAAGCGTTTCTCCCTGTGTCCAGTGTTCACCAAGGAGGAGTTCCGTCATTGGTTCACGCCGAAGGAGGGCATCGTCGATTGCTTTGTGGTGGCCGATGAAAAGGGCAACATTACCGATTTGACCAGCTACTATTGTCTGCCCTCGTCCGTGATGCATCATGCCGTTCACAAGACTGTGCGCGCCGCGTACTCATTCTACAATGTGTCCACAAAGACACCTTGGCTGGATCTGATGAACGATGCCCTGATCTCTGCGCGTAACGTCCAAATGGATGTCTACAATGCTCTCGATCTAATGGAGAATAAGAAGTTCTTTGTGCCGCTTAAGTTTGGTGCCGGCGATGGCAACTTGCAGTACTATTTGTACAATTGGCGCTGCCCAGCCATGCAGCCCGAGGACATTGCATTGATACTCATGTAGGAAATGTAGGAGGTCTACCAGTCAAAAAATCCCGCAACAAAAACGACACGCTAAAAAAATGAAATGGAAATTAAAAATGAGAAGAAAAAACAATAACAAAACCAAACTTGTTGACATTCTCGCCGAATTCACATTTATTTACGCGCAAGCCGCCTATATTGTCCCCATCACCGCCCCGCAGTCTTGAAAGTTTAACTTTACTGAATTAAGTATGTACGCAAAAGTGAAGTGCATTAACGCTCTGATATTTTGTATCTTGTAATTCCTCGTTTAACGACTTTTTTGATTTTGTTTCCCAAACTTTTCCAAGTGTCACATGGAATGCATTTTTCTATTGCAATTGCTAAGCTTGAATACTATTTAAAAATGAATAAAATGAATAAAAAAAACAATCAAAAACGCACAACTAAATATACAAAAATGTATGTTTCTGCGATTGAACATCAGATATTTAGATTGCAACTGAATTCAAAATGTGGCGCGCATTGCATGAATACATTGCCATTTCAACAGTCTGGCAGCCCTTGTAAAAAAAGCGCGCGCTCAGCAGAAAAGCAGGTGTGTTATGATTGTGTGCGTTGCTTTGGCTATTTGTGCTTAGCTGTGTTTAAATGTAGACGAAAATTAAAAAATACCCTATCCCATGATGGACGAATCAATTTATAAAGAAAAATATCAAAAGTACAAATTACGTGTCAAAGTATGGGAAAAGGATTTCAAGAAGAAGCGCGGCCGTGTGCCCTCAAAGGTGAGAGATATTCAACTGGATGCTTTTCGGAACTGAATTCAGAACTTAATTCGTTTTAGTACGATATAAGAGAGGCCAGTCAGGAAATACGTGACTCTTACAAGATGTATTACAAATTGAAGACATCGTTTCTTGAAGAGACGTTGAACGATGTGCTCTGCGAGGATGGATTCGATGTGATGGAAATGACCCAGTCGGAGGACCTGGGCGTCACTTTACTAGACCAGAGCACCGAAACAGAGAGCGTCAATGGTGGTCCACAGTTGCCATTGGACATTGCAGCGCTGATGCAACAAAGCAACGACAACTCCTTCTCGAACATCAAGGAGTTGCCCACGCCACAAGCTCTGACGAATGTTATCAATCGGGATGAATATGATGTAATACGCAAATTTGAGGCCGTCGAAGAGCTGGCACAGAACAAGAGTGCCTGGGGTGAGAATGTGAGCAAACAGCAGCCCGTTCTGCCAGTAGCAACGTCGCCAACCGAGTCCGCCAAGCCGAAGACGCCCTGCTTGAAGGCGAGTGTCAGCAGCAAACTTTTTCAGTCAACGCGCAGCTTTGCCAAGCGCAATCCTCGCAAACCGCTCTCTCGAGACGCCCTCAATTTGAGTGCCGCCAGTTCAATGGCAGGCACAGTTGGTGATCAAGCAGAGCAGTTGCCTGATCTAGAGACCATACTCATACGCAAGGCCCAGGAACACAAGGCAGAAGTGATTGCAGCCAATGCTCTACTGGTTACCGATCACAAAGGAACGTCGAAGGACCCCATTAAAACGCAAGTGGATGAAGGTTGGCTTCAACGCAACACGGCCCAAAATTCGCTGGAGCAGCCAAAGAAACTGCCAAGCAAGGAGTCCAACAACAATTCAACCCCAGCTAAAAAAACTAACTATGGCTTGTCCAATTTAGATTTAAGTAAGTTAAAGGCAAAAAATTCCCCACTGCCAATGCCCTTAGAGGAGCCAAAGCCAGCAGATGCAGTTGAAAGGCTACAGGAATTGCCTCCAGTTTCAGCTTCAGCTCCTATTCAAGCTCCAATTGAAGCTCTTATGGAAGCAGACTTCGATTCCAATTCCGATTCTGTTGTGGCCGACAGCGAAGAGGAAACAGAACTGCCGGAGTACAGGCACATAGCAAAGCGACGTCGCATTATGCCCACCAATGAATCCCCAGCAACGGTGCCCGAAGTGAATCCTCATCCAAATGAACCCGAAGCGAATGCTGAATGTGGCGAGGGCAAAGATTTCTCAGCGGATGATGATGGCGATGCCAACTATGAACCAGAGCGCAAGCAGGCCACAGCCAAAAGACAGATACCGAAACCAGAAAAGAAACCAAAACTGGAGAAGCCAGCAAAGCCGAAAGGCACCAAAGCCGTGAAACAGAAAGTCGAGAAGGTTGCCAAGCCAAAAGTGACAAAGGCAAAAGCCAGGTCCAAGGCGGCTGCGAAAACAACTAAAGCTGCTGCTGCTGACCAACCTGAGGCCACGGAGCAGCCATTAAACCCCAAAGATCTCAAATATCTGCTAGCTCTCGAGTCGGGTGATATAACCTGCGTGCCACGTATTAAGCACGACGAGCTAGAGCAAGCAGACGAGACAGCACAGCGATACATTAGCAACTTTGCAATAGAAGCTGCTGCCGCATCATCCTCCTCCTCCTCCGCCGCCGTCACATCTGCTTCGCTGAATGAGAAACGCACTGCTGCACGCCTAAAGTTGGAGGCGAAGGTCGCAGCGGGCAAGCTGAATGAAAACTTTGTTACCATCAACATACAGAAAAAGAAATTTTCGCGTGGCAAAAAGACCGTAAACTTTAGCAAATACAAGAAACAGCAATGGAGGCAGAAGAAGCGAGTGGCTGCCCTAGCGGGTCCCGACATGGATATGGGCGGTTGCGATGGAGGTGTCTTGACCTGCTTCAATTGTGGCCAAGTAGGGCATTTTGCACAGCAGTGCAAGATCAAGGGCGACACACTCTTGCCCCTGAGCGCACAGATGGAGGAGGATCCGTCGCCATTTCCCACACTTGCCGAGGCCGAGATGATGGCCACACAGGGAGCCATCGCGGCTCACAGCCGCAACATTGAACGCCTACCTCAGGCAGCCAACACAAATGCCATTTATCAGCATGTTGACTCCAGCAGCAGCAGTGATGAGGAGGAGAAGGCTGAGCTTGGCGAGAACTCCCCTGCAGAGCTCAACATGTCTAGTGATGGGGACGACATTGACTTCGAAGCCTTAGATGCAGCCGTTGAGGCAGCAGAAGCAAAAAAAAGTGAATCACCCATTAAGAGCTATGTGGGTCATAAGATACCGGAGGAGTTTCTCAAGCAAGCTGGCCTGGATGCCAGCAACTCGAATGGAGGAGGAGCTCCGCGTACTCAGCATGGAGGTGTGCAGCCTCTCTACGAGCTCAAAGCGGATGGCAGTTTGCAGGACGTGACAGCCGAGGTCAACGAGGCCCTGCACATGTTTGGACACAGCAGCTTCCGCAAAGGTAAGCTATACTCCCGTCAACTATCCACTTGACGCTGCTGATATATGCACTGTTGCAGGTCAGGATCGTGCAGTGATGCGCATACTCAGTGGAATGTCAACATTGGTCACCCTCAGTACGGGCAGTGGCAAATCCTTGTGCTATCAGCTTCCCGCTTACCTTTACAGCCGCCGTCTGGGAGCCATTACATTGGTTATCTCACCGCTGGTCTCGCTCATGGAGGATCAAGTGACGGGCGTGCCGCATTTTCTGCGTGCCCATTGCCTGCACACAAATCAAACGCCACAGCAACGGCTCAAGATTCAACAGCTCATAGCCAATGGCGAGATTGACATACTTCTCGTCTCGCCAGAGGCTGTGGTCTCGGGGGAACGTGCCACGGGCTTCGGTGCCATATTACGACAGTTGCCGCCCATCGCATTTGCCTGCATCGATGAGGCGCATTGTGTGTCCCAGTGGAGCCATAACTTTCGTCCCAGCTATCTGATGATATGCAAAGTGCTCAAAAAAAATCTGGGCGTGCAGACGGTGCTCGGTCTGACCGCCACAGCGACGTTGCCTACACGCACCAGCATCATCAACCATTTGGGCATACCGGATGGAGAAAATGGTATTATAACCGATATACCCTTGCCCGACAATCTAATACTCTCCGTGTCCAAGGATGAGAATCGCGATGCAGCACTGCTGCAGTTGCTCAACAGTCAGAGGTAGGTGAATACTTAATCCCTTGAGATTCCTGATAGCAACGCCTTTTTATGCTCTTTTAAGGTTCGAGAGCTGCCAGTCGATCATCATCTACTGTACGCGTCGTGATGAATGCGAGCGTATTGCTGGTTTCATAAGAACCTGCTTGCAGGAGAAGAAATCTAATCCAGCACCAGATCAGACGAAGAAGAAACGGAAGCGTGTTAATTGGCAAGCGGAGCCTTATCATGCGGGCATGCCTGCTTCGCGACGTCGCACCGTACAAAACGCCTTTATGGGCAACGAGCTGCGTATTGTGGTGGCCACCATTGCGTTTGGTATGGGCATCAATAAGCCCGATATTCGAGCTGTTATCCATTATAATATGCCGCGGAATTTCGAGAGCTATGTGCAGGAGATAGGACGCGCTGGCCGCGATGGCCTGCCTTCGCATTGTCATCTCTTCTTGGATGCCAAGGGCGGAGATCAGAACGAGCTGCGTCGACATGTGTATGCTAATTCCATCGATCGCCATGTCATACGCAAACTGCTGCAGCGCATATTTGTGCCCTGCTGCTGTGACAAGCAGCTAGAGAAGAACGCTGTGGAGATTAATACTGCGTATGAGGCAGGTACACGGGTGCATGTCTGTCCCGGACATGAGATTGGCTTCTCGGTGGAGCAGACAGTCGAAGCGTTAGATATACCCGCCGAGAATATATCAACGTTGCTCTGCTATATGGAGCTGGAGCCACGCTGGTGTATGAATGTGCTTAGCTCGGCGTATATCATGGCCAAGGTGATATCCTACGGTGGTCCCAAGTATCTGAAGTAAGCGAACATATATAAAAATTGTCTGCAAATTATTTCAATATTTATCTACATAACTTTACTCAGACATGCCGCCAAGGAGTGCCCTCCCCTAGCTATGGCCATTGCGCTGCAGATAAAGAACAAAACTTTTAAGGAGGATGCAAACATCATAGAGTTCTCCGTCATAGACATAGCGGCGGGCATTGGCTGGAACAGCGGTGTGGTTAAGTATCAGCTAAAGAACCTGGAATGGATGCAGAGTATGTAATAGTTAATGATCTCTGCAATTAAATTACCATAATATCTATTGTATATTTAGTCAATGGTTATCCAAAGCGTTCGCCCATCTCAGTCAACTTCTTTGATCTGGGCTTTCGCATCAAGGCGCCGGGAGATTTCACAGAAGCAGAAATTGATGATGCCCTCGACACGTTGTACACTCGATCAGTTAAGCAGGAGCGCACTCAGCTCATCCAATTGCAGTATGTGGCACATGGTTTGTCTGCCGTGGCCTACAGTTCATGCGCACAATGCAGCAGTGCGGACTTTCCCCAGGATCGCTGCACACAACTGAAAGGCATAGTACGCAACTATTTCCGCAACGATTATCCACAAGACTTGGAGCTAGAAATTCAGGTAAGTTGTAAAGCAAAGGTTTCCAAAAATATATATATATATATTTATTGTACCTCTCCTTATAGCCCAGCAATGTGCCTGATGATTATATAATAGCTGATGTTCATGCTTTGATCAACATGTATCCAGACAATACATTCAGTGGGCGCAACATAGCACGTCTGTTCCATGGTATATCTAGTCCAAATTATCCAGCCGTCATGTGGGGCCGCTGCAAGTATTGGCGTGCTCACACCAAAGTTGATTTCAATCGCATACTCAAATTAGCCAACATGGAAATTGTTAAGCGCCGCACGTGATAAATATGTTTTCGAGACTCAATGTTAATATTTTAATTAAATGTTGCCTTCCTAAATGATTATAAAATAAATATATAAATAAGTATTTTCTTCGTTGTCATATAATAATAATACTTCACGCAATGAAATATCATATTTGAAAAACGCGGACTCAAAAGACAAAATGAGCTACCGCGCAGTCGATTTGTTCATAATGATACAAGTATCAATTGAAAAAACACAATTAATTAAAAAGGAACAAAAATTGAGGAAGCTCTTATCAAATCAATCCGGTGCTGAACATGTTCGTCTGATGTTCAAGGTAGATGAAAACAAAAAGGATGTAATTTTAACATGTATAGGTTCATCTGAACCATTCGTGTTTTACTAAATCGTGAAATGTGCGATATTTCTTAATCGGCACATCTCTAACCGGCAAAGTGTTGCTCGTGCGCTGTGTTTGCTAAATCAACAACAACAATTCAAGCTAAAGTTATTTTCCTTATATATATAGAAGGTAACATCTGTGTAAACTCTCCGAATATATCAAAAAGGATTGAATGCGGAAATACAATATGCTATATTTACAATCGTAACGAAACGCAACGCATCGCATATGCTCGTGATTTTACTTTCATTTCAGTTCAGTTTAAATTTCGATAGACAAACTACAAAAAATATTGTACCATTCAATAATAGTGATAGCGCTTATCACTAGTTGAGCCTCTACCCCCTTTCAATTGCACAATTGATAATTATTTAGTTGTGGTTGCTTCTTGCGGAGCCATAAAATTTGACTGCGTGGCTGTAAAGTGCGTTTGTGTGCGTTCTTGTGTTTCTCCCTGTGTAAGTCCGTCTGTGTGTGTGTCTGTAAGTGGGTGTAGCTAAAGCCGAAAGCATAGCGTGTCGAGCTGCATTAAATTTAATGAATTTTATATGTATATATATATATATATAAATGTATATAAATATGTTCTCTCCTTACAGTTCAGCAACATTCAGCACCACTATGTTTACCTACGGCTGTTGGGCTCTCATGCTGCTATTGGCTTCAACAGTTGCCAAAGCCGATGATAATGACTCCTGTTATTCATTTGCTGGTGGCTCAGTGTATCCCGCCGGGGAGCCCAAGGGTGACCATCAATTACAGTACACAAAGGCTGTTAGTAAGTGACCATATTTGTATGCATTTATTTCTTAGCATACTAAATGCTTTATATTTCAGTCTCCAAGCCTGCGCCACAGTTTGAGGCCACCGCTGTGGTTAACAAGGAGATCGTGCAGCTCTCGCTCTCACAATATCTGGGAAAATATGTTGTGCTGCTCTTCTACCCATTAGACTTGTAAGCTATGCTCTTGTTTATTTAAAAAACTATGCTTAGCATATACACTTTTCAATCGTATGTAGCACATTTGTTTGTCCTACGGAAATAATTGCCTTCTCGGATCGTATCGCTGAATTCCGCAAAATCAATACGGAAGTGATTGCTGCCAGCGTTGATTCGCACTTCACACATTTGGCGTGGATAAATACGCCGAGAAAAGAGGGCGGCTTGGGTAATGTGAAAATTCCTCTACTCTCCGACTTGACGCATAAAATAAGCAAGGACTATGGTGTTTATCTTGAGGAAGTTGGCCATACTCTACGTGGCCTCTTCATCATTGATCAGCGTGGCGTCTTGCGCCAGATCACAATGAATGATCTACCCGTTGGTCGATCAGTGGATGAGACGATACGTCTAGTACAGGCCTTCCAGTACACCGATACCCACGGCGAGGTTTGCCCAGCTGGCTGGAAGCCAGGCGCTGATACGGTAACTAATTGTATTTAACACAATTTGTAGTTTTATTTATTTCATTGATGTGTTTGCAGATCGTGCCCAATCCGGAAGAAAAAACAAAGTACTTTGCTAAGAACAACTAAATAATTAATACTTAATCTGCGCATCCCACCAAGCTTGGCTAATTTTATATTCAAATTTCAAGGACAGAGATAAATAAAATCATTGTGCACATACATTCCCAACTCTTGTACATACATAAATGCAAATAAATAACTTGAATAATAAATACATTTTTAAAATAGTTCAAATACTTACAAAATACGCAAATATTACAAATAGATTTTGTTTACATACCGGCGATCATCTGTCCAGTAAAATAGAGATATAGATATATATAACTTTTTTGATAACAGAGACTTACCACCAAGAAAATGCCAGCGAGGATTAAAGCTTTAAGTTTCACACTTAATCCAACAGGGAACGTAGCGACAAAAAAGGATGACTGCGTAAAAAGAGATAATAATACTGGAAATTCTTTGGTTATTTTTCCGATCAGGCGGTCATTCAAGTCCCATATCTATACCGTAGATGAGCATTGTCCACAAATATATTTTATATATAAATATAAATACAGACCGTCATGTTGACCTTCGCTATATCTCCTAGAACTGTAGGACCGTCAACGTAAAGAGCATCTGAGCCATCTGCGTCTTGAATAACATACTCTGAGTATTTGTATGAAATCACCTTCATCATTCTGCCAATATAATTCCCAGGTGGTGCATAAACATTCATGTACGATTCACAGCAGGTAATGCAGGGCATAATATCGAAAACAAAAGGATGATCTAACATCATTATCATATTTCCTGCGCTATCCGCAAGGTCAATAGTAAATGGATGCGACCTACTTAAAAGATATGCAAGACACGACGGGCGCTCTCGAGCCGCAAACACATTCTTTCCCTGTTCATTTTTAATCTTAAAAGTAAAATATTTATTTGTGTAAACATCAAATGGCATCAATTTCTGGGACACATATATTTTATCTAAAGAGGACAACACTTCAATACCACTTGCTGCACGGCTTGCATCCATCCATTCATCTTTTAACAGTGGAAAATTAGTTATTAATAATGATATATAATCATAAATATATTTGTTCATGTATCTAAGCTAATCCTTACCCGGTTCCATATTCCTATCCATATCTTGCTTTTCCTTATCACGCTTTTTCTCTTCGCGCTTCTTCCTTTCTTCCCTTTCTTTCCTACTGGGTGATGCCATCTCTCCCAAAGCTTTTGGCACTTCTTTCATGTCCATATTGTTAAGAATAACGTAAAAATTTAGTTTTCAGTTTTCAATTTTTAGTTGTAGTTCATCAGCCCTAATTTATAGACACAACTTCTACTGCATACTAGACTTTTTCTATGAAAACTATTTTGAAATTAAGTGATAACTTTCATTTGCAATTTGTTATTCTTATTCTCATCTACGTGACTGTAAATACTTTTTCATACCCAATTATATTAATGAATTATTTCGGATTTAAAATAATCCGTTAAGAGCGCCAACCTTAGAATAAAAATATGCAAAAGTCAAGCTGTGAGATAATATTTATCGGAAAGCGCTCATTTTGTTATTGCGCTTGTTTATGGTCTATTATAAATATACCCAATTGTCATTCGATTAATGGCAAAAAGCACAGCGCAGCAACCATTCAATGTAAATTGATGGTCACTCTTATTTTAGCAGTGCTGACAATCAGAACAGCTGTTCGATAATTTCGATAGCCTATGTTTTCTTGGAATCATAGGAAGTACATTTATCTAGAACCACACATACACATTTACATATGTATATATACATAAGCATATGTATATAAATAAATATATATATATATATATATCTTTATATTTATTTATTTGTTTTTTACCCACATATATCAATGTAAGGTAGCCTTTGAAGCGACAATACAACAACGCCCTTCCTCTATTCTTACTTTTGACAGATACTATCCGATTATAGAATCAATATATTAGTAGATCGCTGAAATATATACATGTAAACATTCCAAGAATAAAGCATTTCCCGGATATTTCATATTGAATAATTTAAGCTAAATGTTAGTTGCTGTTTTTCTATTTAATTTATTATTTTTAAAGAAGTTTATAGCATATTTAACGAATTATTTTGTATTTTTGTTTTGCTTTAATTTTATTGTAATCATTTAGTTAATGTATTGCAATGCTTGATTTTGCTTTAGGTGTTGTGGATTGCATCTTTATTACATAAATTTTATTTTGTTTTGGCGCGCTAAAAGTAAAGCTTAAAATGTAAACATATTTTGTTTGCTGGTGTGTGTTTTTTTGTTTGTTTGTTGCATAAACAATGAAAACTTAAAAGAAATACTTATTAAAAAAGATCGCATGAAACAATGTATGTGTGTGTGTGTGTTGTGTATGTGTGTGAGTGTTAGTTGTATGCTCGAGCTCCAGTGCGCATCCAGAGTTAAGCCGAACAAATCCAACTGCAACTCAACGGCAGCCAAATTAGGAAACGTAAAATAAACTGAAATTAAATGGATATAGTTTAAATAAAGTTATAGTATATAGTTTAAATATAGTTATATTGTTTGCCAGCAAAACTGCTACTTGAGCCAATTATTTGATACAGAAACCAGTTATCAAATAGAAGCGGAATGAGTGCAGCCCTGTCTGTTGATCTATTTCACTTACCCATCGGAATTTGAGCCTGGCTTTTTTCTTCTATTTGTTGTTGATGGACAGACGTTCGACGCTGGCGAGCAGCTCGTCCGCCGTCTGCGATACGACCTGCTCCTGATCATCGCTGGTGCTGAGATTTTGTAGCCGCTTCTCGAGCGCCGACAGATCCTCCAGCTCCTGCTGTTGTTTGACCATGTAGCGCAATATAAGCGTGGTCAGCATGCACATATCCTCCAGAATCGTTGCTGTCTCAGGTGTGGGATGATCGTAGCGATTGCGCAGCAGCCGCAATTTAGCCTCCGCTAGCTCCAGCGGCGATTTGCCGCTCCGATCATACATATGAACGCTGGCGCCGCCCTGCAGCAGGACTCGTACAACTACATTAAAGTTATTTGAACTAGCCGAAATGACGGCCAAGTGGAGCGGCGTATTCCCGAGTGAATCAACCACATTCGGATTAGCTCCATATTTCAACAGCTGTTGCACAATGGGTATATAGCCCCGGCAGGCAGCCAAATGCAATGGACTACGATTAAATTCGTCGGCGGCATTCGGATTGCCGCCCGACTCCAGAATCCGATTGAGCAGTTCAATATTGCAGGTGGAGGCGGCGGTGCGCAGTTTGCGATTGTTTGACTCGGTCAATATGTTGTTGTAGCTGCAGTACATTAAACGCTTCATGCGAGGACGCATCTTAAAGCTCTTGCTGCTCGATGGCAGTGTGCTCGGATGTATCAAACTCGGCAGATAGTCAACGTTCAGCGGCAATGGCGGCAGATGGGGTAGCGCAAAGTGTTCTCGCTCCCCTCCTCCGCCACCTCCTCCTCCTCCACCTCCACCTCTGCTATCTCTGGTCAGCTGGAATGTGTTCGCATTGGGATTCAGGTTGGGCCATTCGCCGTGTGTGTTAGGCGACGATGTCGGCGTTGGTGGCATCACTGGTGGCGGCGGTGTTATCATAATCCCCTTCGATACGGGCATCGTGGGCATGGACATTATACTAGGCAGTTCTGACTCTTGTTCAATTGCTACTGCCACTGGCACTGGCACTTCTTTGCCCGTGTCCACACGGTCATTGGACATGGCCGTCGTCGGTGCGTGCGTGCGTTTCTATTTACAAATTTATTGCGTTGCTTTCGCGTTTACACACATCAATTTTTTTATCTTTTTCTTCACGCGCTTCTTACTTTTGTCTGTATTGTTTGTATTTTTCTCGATTTTTTCCTGTTTACATTTTGTGCGAGGTGATGCCAACTTATTGCGATTGGTGTTGTCAGCGCTTGCGTATCAGGTGGCAACGCTGCATCATTTCGTGAATATCGCATAAATACCTAATTTTTTTATCAGTTAACCAATTAAACCGGTGCAAAATATTTTAATATTTATATCTAATTTTTATTTATTACATATATTATAAATATAAATCATTGGGTAGAAGACAAGCAAAATGTATATCACTTTCACTTTGTAAATGCGTTTATTCATGAAATTAATCCATCTGAATACACTAAATATTTTTAAAGATATTCTTGATCTTAAAATGCTTACTAATTAATGTCTTAATCAAGAAAGTACATATGCTCATGTATATGTAACAATCTCTTCAACCAAGACCTATTCATGAAACAAAAATCAAATCCCATGTTACATCAAAAACATTTATTCAAAATTCGTGCTCATGTGTTTCAATTAGCTGTCAAAGCGGCACGGAATGTTTAAATATACAATATATAATATATAATTCAATTAGCAAAACAGATACATACATTCAATAAATACGCATATTAATAATACAGATATTGGACACAAGGTTCAACATCTCTAGATTACTTAAACAATAACACAATATTTCCAAATGTTCAAATGATGCCTCATATGAAATCCTATTTTAGGATTTTATTTGTTTATAAGTTTCTGGCAATTGATTTGGACTGGGTCAGTGTGTTAATAGTGTGTGTGTGATTTAGACCGCGGGGATAGGTGCTAGGAAATGGTCGTAAAAACATAAAAAGTTGATACACACTAATGGGAAAATGTAGTTTTGAAGCTAAAAGCCAATTGTTGCGATCTAAATCCGTCTTACGCGCTATTTCAAGAAATTGATCATCTCAATGATTTTGTTGCGATTGGTGTGCATGTAGGCTTTGGTGTGCCACAGCATATTGATAAGCTTCTGATCGTTCTTCTCGTCCATGGCAATGTCCTCGCTGAGCTGTGGATTGAACCTGAAGTAGGGTATGCCAATTGTGCTGCACCAGGCACGGGCGCGATCAACGACGCGCCCATCCGAGCAAGTGGCTTGGTCAACAAGTAGATTACCTGTAAGTAAAAGAGAATCAATTACTAAGCTGCAATAATCTATGATTTGGCTGCGATATTACCAATCGTAGATATGCCGTAGGCCAATTTAGCAGTATCCCAGATACTTTCCGGGCGGAATACATCAATATCTTTTAGTTCCGTAACAGGTATGTGACCGGTGCCAAGCGAAACAACCACCGAGACGGGTACAGCTTCAGCTTCTCGTCCTGCACTACGTAGTGCCATGTTATATTCATGGATTTCAGTCATGGCATCTAGGGTTGGATTATTGGCGATAAGTCCGCCGTCAAGGAAACGTCCAAATGCGCGGAAATATGAAGGAGCTGCTCCCGTTGCACGTGCAGCACGCCACACTAGCTGATCCTCAGGCTGTGGCGGCGGTATGCGTCGATTACCTAACAAAGTTCATTAGTAGAAATGTGAATAAGCTCAGAGATGAAGTGATTAAAGTCATAGCTTGCACTTACTTATGGAAGTCACAATGCCTAGTATATCACTGGCGCTGGTATAGTTACGGAACAGATGAAGATCGACGGGCTTTCGATCTGCCATAACACCAGTCACCATAATCTTGGGATGTTTTATATCTGTCATGACATTAAACTCGCCCAAATTATCCTTAAGTATTGCCTCGAAGTATTCGCTATTGTAAGGACGTGAGCCCACAAAGCATTGCTCCTTCATGCGCAGATAGAGACCCATGCACTGCCGCATGGTCTTGCCACAGCCCAAACCTAAAGCCAGGATGCCGCCAGTGCTGGTGCCGGCGATCCAATCGAACATATGTATGATGGGCGTACGCGATAGCTTCTCCACCTCGAGTAGCATTTGAACGAGCACTAGGCCGCGTATGCCACCGCCATCCAAGCATAGCAGACGACCACGTCCGTATGGCTTATCGCCCACTTCTGGAGCAATGGGCGATGTGGGAGATGATAACTGTTCTGGACTAGGCGGGGTAGCTGCAACACTTGCTATGCTGCTTGATGAGTTCTCCTTCTTCATCTCGTCTGCATTCACTTTAGTGGTAAACATGCCCAAGAGAGCATCCATGATACTCTGACCCTTTTGCTCCTTCTCCGTATCAACGACAACAGGCATTCTGTAGAGAAGCAATAAATTACTAGTAAAAGTGCCCAACGAATAAGTTACCTCGTGATACTCACTGCGGAGGCTGCTGTTTCTCCATCACTCCATTGGCTGCTGCGCCTAGAAAACCACTGACCATTTGACGGCTAGTGGTTGCCAGCATGTTTTCAATGTGCTCTCTCTGCTCCACAGATTCTGGCGCCTCGGGCGGTATGCCATTGTAGGATCCCTTGGAATTGCAACCGGGCGGACACTTTGAATTCGAATCGGAGCAGCGTTTGGCACCCACTGAATGCAATATGTATAATATTTCATCATCTTTACTGCCGCTGGCATCGTTGCCAACCATATGACGTGGCGTCTTTCCTGCCGTATTTTTCAGATTGATGTCACAGCCAAAGACCACCAGACATTGGACAATGGGCACTAGTTTTTTCTCGATGGCTATGTGCAGAGCAGCATTTCCCTCATTGTCCAGCACGTCTATGTCTGCGTCGTGTGCCAGAAGTGTAACCACACACTCGAACCGATTACGTGCTACCATAACATGCAGAGCGGTGCGCCCATCGAAGTTGGTGGCATTCACATCGCAGCCTTCCATGATCAGAGCGTGCAGAGTTTCCCGAGAGGAACACCAGTGCAATGGAGTCCCACCATATTTCATATCCTGGGTGTATAGCTTGCTGGCGTTGGTGCGTAGGAACGAGGCCACCGACGTAGGAGTCGATGTCTTATACAATTTACTTATATTCTTGGCATTCAGGTTGACATCGGCGCCTGCGAGCAGCAAAGCCTTCACATTCTCCGGTTTGTCCGTCAAGCAGGCCAAATGCAACGGTGTGCAACCGTCTGAATTGAGGTGGTTTAGATTCACAGTGCTGTTCTCCGTAAGCAGCTGCATTGAGAGAGGAATAATAGAAAAATGAGCTAACCCAGTGATGCACCATAACTCACATTGATGATCTCTTTGGTGGTGCTGGCGGCATAGTGAAACACCGAATTGCTATTTATGTCCAAGTGCTCGATTTTGCTAAGAGGCAACAGCAGTTTCACCATTTCCATGTGGCTCTGTTTGATGGCCAGCTGAAACGGCGACATGAGCGTAGTATGATCTGCCACATCGATACACTGCAGAACCTTGGGATTGCTGATATATTCAATTAGATTGAAGTAAGCAACTAAATGGGCCAACGTCCATGAAGGATTCTCCGATAGCGCATCGCAAACCTTTTGCAATCCATTCACATTGTAATACTGAAAGCAGGCAATGATTAATAAGATGATATTTGGTTGTTGTGATGGTCACTCACTTCCTTGACAATGCCTACAAAGACAGGCAGGCGCTGCATAAAGGTATTGAACTTTTCTTCGGCCTCCTGATGTGCGGGCGAACGATAGAGACTAAAGGAGGTGGTGTTCGAATCGGAGGTGGGTCGCTGCAGCACAATCTCGTATACTGCGCGCTTATCGCTGCTGTTGTAGGGAGGTGCAAACAAAACCATTGCATCATCCCTCGCCATAACCTGTAAAGTGCCCAATGATTCGCTCTTAATTTCCAGAACTTTATTCGGCGGAGTATCTCCGCCCAGCAGGCGCTGCAGCACTGTAAGTTAAAGAGGCAAAAAGTTATTGAGTAAAACTACAGCAAAGCTTCACTTAAGACGCAACAATTGGTAAACAGGACAGCACAACAGCAACAACAACAACAACAATAATAACGAGCAACGAACATATAACATAAAAGAAGCAAATACCAAAGCCAGAGGCGAGTGCTCCAAAGGCCATCCAAGCCATGGCTTCCGTATATATCAGCTGGTATGTGATGCGTATTTGAACTTTGGAATCTTTCTTGATTATGATGTTATATAGATGAGGGCAAAAATGTCAGTGCGATTTGAGATTTGAGTGGGTAAGCGATGAATCTACAGAAAACAAACGTATTAGCAATGTCAATTGTTAGCTGTGGTATGTGCGCTTATTACGTAGAAGATTTTTCACTAACAGAAAGGAGGAAGGGAGAAGCAGAGAACGAGCGAACGGGACAGGGCAAAGCAATGCAATGTTGCCAACAAATCAATAACAACATCCGATGATCTACACAAATAATGGCAATTAGTTGCATAAATCCATTAGGCCAAGCTATAATGCCCCATTTAATTGTATTGACCTAAGCTTCAATGTAAGCTAGTAAATTAGAGGAGGGCGCGTGACACGAACGACTTGGTAATAATATTATTAGCTGGTAAAACTTAGAAACGATTACAAAAAGAAAAACAATAACAAAAATGAATTGCGCTCATCTCATCTCTAAGAACACTTAACTACCGCAATTATTTTCATTTGCATTTGTGTGTCACATTCGTCCTATTAAAACCGTTATGACACAGGTTTTGTATAGAGTATGTAAATGCGACGGCCGTTGCTGTGCGCCCTCATCATTTTTTGCGCCGATTCAACCGTGACTCAACTAGATAAACTGATAAAATATGCTTTGTGCTCTCAGTGATTTTTATGCATATAATACACATATACAAGGGCAAAAGTTGCTGGCCAACATTAATGCTGTGCCCTTCCGTTTTGCCAGCCTTACACTTTTTATCGTCGCATGTTTTGGTTCTTTCCCTGTTTCAACTTAACGTGTCAGTCAATCAATATGGGACAATGCTTTTCAATTTTCTTTCATTTGATTGGGATTGTGTGATGGTGTTTAGTTGTCAAATGGTATATTCGTTGTCGGACTTCAACTTTGCAAAACGTAGCAAATTGATAATTAAACTAACCATTAAACATCTCGCTGCCGCTTATTCAACACTAAATTATTTTATTTTGCACACTTTTTCAAATTTACTGCTATCCGTCTTTGCTTCTTGATGATTAAAGTAACTATAAGGCGTCCGACAGAAAGAATCACTCTTGATTACAAGTTCGCTCTGCGCTTTGTTCTTTTGAATCGTTCATTCAGTTCACAAAGTTTCATAGCAGGGAGCAAAATACACAATCGATATGTTTTAAATGGACATTAATTTTAAAACCCACAGTTCTTTATTCTAAATAAACCAAAGAACTATGATTTGGCATACGGTATTGCTATTGTGTCGATAATATCTTACCTATCGCACGCACACATATCGTAACCTTTGTTATTAAGCAGCCTATGGCTTCAAAACTGTATGAGTTCAAATCTTTGGCGGTAAACTTAAATTTGCAAACACTTTCAGCAAAATGAAATGATTGATATAAAATTATATATATAATATATTATATATATATATATATATTTGCTTCCAGACGCAATCAATAATCAATAATTATTAAATAAGCATATATTTTTATTATTGATTGGCGAATAGATATGTCGAATAAAATATATAAATATATATATTATCATATATATATATATATATTATATATATATATATATTATCAGCTTAGCTATTCATTGCAATCATCGAAAAATTTGATTAGGAGCCGTTCGTCTTTTTTCCATATCATAGATAGGGCCTACTTAGAGATATTCGCTGACTATAAAAGCCCGAATTGTCGAAAGGTTCAACATCAGTTTCTGAAAATTGTAAACATGAAGGCCTTCATCGTTCTGCTTGCTCTGGCTTTTGCCGCTCCCGCTTTCGGTCGCACCATGGACCGTTGCTCCTTGGCCCGCGAGATGTCCAACTTGGGCGTTCCCCGTGACCAGCTGAACAAGTGGACCTGCATTGCCGAGCACGAGAGCTCCTACCGCACCGGCGTTGTTGGCCCCGAGAACTACAACGGCTCCAACGACTACGGTATCTTCCAGATCAACAACTACTACTGGTGCCAGCCTGCCAACGGTCGCTTCTCCTACAACGAGTGCGCCCTCTCCTGCAACGCCCTGTTGACCGATGACATCACCAACTCCGTCCGTTGCGCCCAGAAGATCCAGCGTCAGCAGGGCTGGACTGCATGGTCCACCTGGAAGTACTGCAATGGTGCTCTGCCCTCCATCAACGATTGCTTCTAAGCTACTCTCCTCTTCTTGACTTTTGAATAAATGATTGCTTAAAAAACTGCTTCTTTCCTTCTCTTTCTCACTTGCTCGACTTGCACTCTCTCCCTGACTTCCTTTCCTCTTGCTATCTCTTTCTCGAATAGTAAGACGACGACTGTAGAAATGCATTGCATCGGTCACCCAAGGATAGAATTCTGCCTGGTTTTATCTACTAAATTATTTTTATTATTTGTAAGAAACATAAATATGATTTTATTTTAATGTAGACATAGAAGATGACTTAAGAGTTAGGGACCCGATTGAAGCTGCCACCGAATCTATGCTAGGAAATACGAAAATCTATATTATCCTATAGCAATGAAAGAAAAGTGAATTAAAAAAAATAAGACTTAAATAGACGAATGCATATCGTAAGCCTAGGAGTGATTGTTTGTTTGTTTGTATTGCACAGGAGCACAGGAGCACAGGAGTATCTGGACGAAGTTGTGGGGGCATCAGTACAAGCCCGAGGGTAGGTCCGTTACCTTGGAGCCCTGCGTGTAGGAGCGCGTGCGTGCAGATATTTGGCCAGACAGCTGACCCGATCCCGGATGGTCGAGCAGCGAGCAACGCATTGTCGGATTGCTGCTGAAATAGATTTGTTGGTTGCTGCGCGACTTCTCACGCACATTAGTTGCCTCATTGTTGTGGGTCTGGCCGTCGGCAAAGGCCGCCTCCAGACGCTCCACATTCTTGGTCACTCGGCGTGCCTGAAGTGCGGCTGTGAGATCGGGCTTTGGATACTTTTGGGGTGTATTCATGCCGGTCATAAAGAAGACACCGTTGAAATGCTGTGCGGGCGGCGTCGGTGCTGGCGCTTTGCTCGATGGCTGTCGCTCGTGGTTCCCTGCCTCCTTGCTGCTGTTCCTCAATGCCAATATAGTTGGATCGTTGTCGTCGTGACGCGCATTCATTATGAAATCCAACAGCTCCCGATTGGTGCTCGCATTGTACGCCGTTGCGGTGGCACTTGGCTCCGCCTCAGGCATATCGGCTGAGGGCGTGTCCCGTGCGTAGGACCTCTCCAACTCTAGTTCTCTATGCGCGCCATCATAGTCCACCTCGTCGAAGAAGGTCTGCATGGCAGCCAGACGTTCGACGGCCGTCGTATCAGCTGGCATTATCATGCCATACTGTGAGTCCTCCGGCTCGGAGCAGTCCGTGCGCGGCACTAAGTGTGCCAATGAACGGGATTTGCGTGGCGGTTGTGGCACAATGTTAACCGGCACAATGTCCTGTTCCTGCTCCTGTTCCTGTTGAAGGTTGCGCTGCTGCTGCTGTTGCTGATGCTGCAGCCTAGTCTTGGCTGCCTGGCCTGACTTTACTGTTATGGTATGGCTGGATATCTGTTTCTCTGCCTCGCTTACTATGTTGTCCAGCTCCTCGATGACATCTTCTATAGTGGCGGCATCCTCGTCGTCATCTTCGTCCTTTCGCGTCGCAGCTTTGCGCAACTGCTTGTGATGCTTGGACTTGGAGGGCAACACTAGTATGGGCACGGGACTCAGTGAGGCGCCGGTTTCGCTGCTGCTGATGCCCTCGTCCTCGTGCTCCGAGCAGCTCTGCTTGCTGCCTGCTGCCGTCTTTGATGTGGGTGGCACCTGGCGTGGCAGTGCGACAGGCTGATGCGCCTCCACGGGCTTGAAGTTCGATTCCTGTGCGCCCTGCAGCCGAAAGATCTCCCGCTGCAGCTCCGCACAACGCTCCTGCAGGCGTCGCTCCATGGACGTGAGCACGGTCTTTTCTTCGTGCAATATCTGGACGCGGCGCTCCAAAATGACCATCTGACTGCGCACACGATCGGCATCGCGTGCCTGCGCCATCATCTTATCCACATCGATGTGCAGCTCATTGAAACGCTTTACCTCGGCTCGCAGCGCATCTAGCCAGGGCGAAGAGCAGGAGATGGTTCTGGCCAGCGTACTGGTCTCTAGGCCCGCCTGGCAGAGCTCCGCTTGGATGTACAAGCGCTGCTGCAGGCTGACGGCGCTCTCGATGAATGTGTTGAGGAATCTATAAGACACAACAGGTCTCTCAATAGCCATTGACCAGAGTTTATCGCAGTTACTCACTTGATGCCAGCACACTGAAGTTCTCCGGACCCGCCGCCACTGTTGAGAATGCCGATGAGCAGGCGGAAACGCACGGGTTCACTGCAGCGTAGTCGCAGCGTTGACATCGCCTCCGAGACGGCGGTGTGGCCAGCGGCGCTGATCTTCTGGCCACCATTGCCCTGACCAAACGGCTGCCGATCGCAAGCAGCGGCGAGCAGCTGCAGAGCCAGGATGCGTCCACGTATGCCTTGCCCCGTGGCCGATGAGGCGAGTGGCATAAGACCCACGGGTGTGTTGCCTAAGCGGGCGATGGCATCCAAAGAGCGGGAACAGCAAATGCTCAGGCATTGTCTGGAAGAGCGAAACAGAGGAGTCAGCCATGCACCCTATTTGCGCTAAATCTCTGCTACTTACAGGCAGGAAAGCTCGTCCAGCAGGGCGCGGCGCTGATAGTTCTGCGGATTGCGCGACATGGCCAGCGAATTGGTGCCAGCTGCCAGGGGAGCAGGCGCATTGCTTGCCTGCGCCATCTGTATGGCACGCAGCACCTCTAGCAAATGGCTAATGCCATCCGAGGGCGTGGCCACAAACTCCTGCACGAAGCTGCAATGAGAAAACAAATGAGAAGGGAGTAAAGCAACTCGAGCCCTCACTTCAATCAGCCGAGTCGATTTCTAAATCCCAACTTATTGGAGACTGCGTAATACTGTATCATCATTTCACATTATCTCTATAGCTACTTGAAGAATACAATTTTTTTATAATTGATTGGCAAACAGAGATTTCCAATCAAGTATATAGATATATATAATATTGTATTTTTACTATCAGCTCAGCTTTTAATTGCAATCATCGAAAAATTTGATTAGGAGCCGTTCGTCTTTTTTCCATATCATAGATAGGGCCTACTTAGAGATATTCGCTGACTATAAAAGCCCGAATTGTCGAAAGGTTCAACATCAGTTTCTGAAAATTGTAAACATGAAGGCCTTCATCGTTCTGCTTGCTCTGGCTTTTGCCGCTCCCGCTTTCGGTCGCACCATGGACCGTTGCTCCTTGGCCCGCGAGATGTCCAACTTGGGCGTTCCCCGTGACCAGCTGAACAAGTGGACCTGCATTGCCGAGCACGAGAGCTCCTACCGCACCGGCGTTGTTGGCCCCGAGAACTACAACGGCTCCAACGACTACGGTATCTTCCAGATCAACAACTACTACTGGTGCCAGCCTGCCAACGGTCGCTTCTCCTACAACGAGTGCGCGCTCTCCTGCAACGCCCTGTTGACCGATGACATCACCAACTCCGTCCGTTGCGCCCAGAAGATCCAGCGCCAGCAGGGCTGGACTGCATGGTCCACCTGGAAGTACTGCAATGGTGCTCTGCCCTCCATCAACGATTGCTTCTAAGCTACTCTCCTCTTACTGACTCTTGAATATAATAAATAATTGCCTATGAAATACTGTTGTATTTTATTTTTCTCTAGCTAAGCTGTTTCCCGCTGATCTTAGCCTTAGGCCAAAAAGCGCAAATGGTATTTGAGCACTTACCTGGGAAATGATACCCTTAGATCGGCTCGCAGCTTGGTCAGCAGATCGGTTATGGAGCCAAACTGACGCAAGGACATCTCACTATCGCTCTCAGGCGGCGCCGGAATGGGACTTCTATGGGTAACAATTATCACATTGATGGACGTTAGATACCCTGGGATGGTGGCAAACACTTACTTGTAGCCGGAGTGTTTGGCTGGCAGTGTGGCAGATTTATAGGCATCATCTTTAACGCCGACTTGCAGTTGACCATTAATGTTCACATCATAAATAGATTGGGCCTTGGGAGTGCCAGACGAGCTACCCTTGGTGAATTTGCGCAAGGAGTGAACATAGTCCTCGGGATTGTAGACGGGCGGACGTTGATTCTCCTTGCTGTAGATGGGAGCCTGCGGCCAACTCTGCTCAGAGCCAGCCATCTTGTAGGAGGCCAACGAACCATTCACGCTGTTGGCTCCAAATTTATTTGTGCCCGAAACACTGGACGTAGCCGGTATTGAGGATTGCGCCTGGCCAGCAGCGGCAGCCGGTGCCGGTGTTGGGGCTGCTGCTGCATTATGTGGCTGCAATTTGGGCGACTTATCGCATACGCTGGGCGCCATCTGTGAATGGTGCGTGGAGCTGTCACTGCAAACGAAATAAAAAAGAAAAAGTCGTTAAAACAAATTTGCACATTTCTCATACAGAACTTGAATTTGCATTCAAATATACATATAAATATATATATATATATATATATATATATATATATATATATATATATATATGTACATATATATATATATATATATATATATATATATATATATATATATATATATATATATATACACACACATATATACATATATTGTATATAAATTAGCAAAGACTGGTCTTGGCCAGGAGTTCGAGCTGGTGCTGGTGCTGGAGCTGGAGCTGGGCGGCACGTAACGCACCGGAAAAACAAGCCATTAAGTTTGTTTAGCATTTTCTTGGCACTGTCAACGACTCATTGAGTGACGAGCATGTGGGCTTCCATCGGCGACTGTCAACAACTGATTAAAGCGTCAGATGGAAACATCGCGTCAGCTCGACTCGCAGATTTCTTGTTACTCAATGCGCTTTTTTTTTGTATTTCTGTATTTTTGTGCGTAAGCGAAAATATTGTCAAAAAATTAACATGTCAATAAACGAAACAGAAATAAAGGCGCGCACTTTCACTACGATATTAGCCAGCAACAGAGAGAAAAGACCATATGCACCGTTAGCTGACAATGCGCTCTAACGGTAACTGCGCGCGTCTGCATATGCAAATGAGATTCAAGTTGAAATTATGACGTGCTTTAATGCAAAGCTATAAAATTTAACATATATAAATATATATATTTATAGTTTGTTTTGCTATCAATTGAACGCATCAGTCACGTTGCTGCATACTTAACCATCTACCTGGTTCTTTTGGACAGGTGTGTCATGGCTCAAGGCAGCGCGCGCAAACCTTGGCATGCGAGGGAGGTGGGTAATTGATATCAATGATTAAGCCAGCAAAAACGTTAACGACGTGTGTTTGGCAATTTGCCATTCTCTCCCCTGCTCCACGGTAAACCAAAGAAAACTGATGAGAGATCAAAACACCAATGAAAAGCCAAAGGCAAGTGGCCAGCAAATTGACCACGAGCGAACGGATGGAAGCTGCATTCAATTTACATAAATCAATTTGAAAAAAAAAGAAAAAGAAAATTGAGATCAGTGGCGTGGCAGTGCGCGCTGATAAAAGCGCCTAATGGAAACGCATTAAACTGCCAGTGTGTACACACCAGATATATACGAACCTTATGCCTCGTACATAATAGAAATTTTGCCAACCAGTTCGTGCTGGCAGATCGCATCGATATTCGTTAAATTGAAATTAAAGTTGATTTAGCCAAACTCTCGCTTTTCCCATAACTCATATCTCTGCTGTGATAGACATTGCATTGGCCTTATCTTATCTGAATAAATAATGTTGGCTCAAAAAATAAATAAACAAATTAAAACTAGAAGCTTCTAATTTTTGTTCTTGATAACAAACACAAAAACACACAAAATTCACAATGAAAGCAAACCAAAGTATGAACAAATAACAAAAAGAAAACAAACCAAATTTAATCCAAAACAAGTAAGAAAGCTCCGGGTCTCGAACCCGGAACTCTACCAACACAACCACTTCATAATTAAAAAAAAAAAATAAAATAAAAATAGAACAATAAAAAATTTTTCATTCCCTTAAATTTTAAGAATTTGGGGGAATTTGGAGCCGCTATCCAAAATCCAACGAAAATCAAAATTGCATAAAATATACATAAAAATAAAAACTAATAAACTAAATAAAAAATTTGGAGGCTCTAGCTCTCAAGACGTTCGAGATATAATTTATTTACTGCATTTCAATAATGTTTTTATTCGATAACAATTATATGCGGATAGTTATCGAATATTTGAAACAAACTTGACCTGCGCGTGCTACACACGGACCTACAAAAAAAATGCAGTCTCTAGCTCTTATAGATGCTGAGATCCAAGCGTTCGCACATACGGACGGACAGACAGACGGACAGGACTCGGCTTGTCGTCCTGATCAAGAATATATATACTTTATGGGGTCTGCCACGCCTCCTTCTGCCTGTTACATACACTTGCACAAAATCATTATACCCTGATTTCCCATTTTCAATGAGATCAGGGTATATAAATAGGTATCAATATAGTACATACGGTTAATCAATTTTGATTAAAGGTATCGAGCATAAGTGAATCATGTCCATTTATAAGTATGATCTAGACGATGTATGCATGTATACGATATACAGTAGGGAGCAAAAGTGTTTCCATAGTTGACACTTTCAACTTTGTGAGTCGATAATTTCCAAACGAATGAAGCAAATCAAAAAAACTTTTTTTTCCAATAATATGTATTTAATTCTTAACAAATTGCCATATATAACAAAAACAAAAGTTAATCAGTAAAATATTCAAACGAAGAAAACTGAAGCAAAACGCATGTGTACAATTTTGCACCTTCAGTGAAAAAAATTAAATATGATTCAAAATCAATATTTTGTCCACAGACCCTTATTGGCTATTACACTTTTTATTCAGTTTGGCATACTCTCGACCAACTTTTCTATGGTTTCCTTTGGAACTCGGTTCCACTTTAGTTCTACACGCTTCCAAAGATCGTCTAGGTTGGATGGCATTGATTGATATTGCCCGAGCCGTCGCTTCACGATTGACCACAGGTTTTCAATCGGATTGAGGTCGGGACTTTGAGCTGGCCACTCCATCAGCATAAAATCTTGGTTTTGTAACCACTCGCGGACAATTTTGGCAGTGTGCTTCGGGTTTGCTTCACATGGTGTTTTTGAAACTTTTCCCCGGACCTGTGCCAATAGTATTGCTTGCCATCTGATTGAAAACGGTTGAACTTGGATTCATCCGACCAGATAACACGTTTCCAATCATCTACAGTCCAGTTCTTGTGTTCCCGGCCGAGTTTCAATCGAGCCTTGACATTCATCTCGGATAGAGCTGGTTTATTTTTTTTCACACTTGTCACATATCCAACCTTAGCTAGTGCTCTTCTAGCCACCCGCCGACTCACGTCTTTTCCAATGTCCATAGATGCCTTCTTCGGTGTTAGGAACTTATCAGTTCCCATTAGTCTGGCGTCAGAGTCCTTTAAGAGTCGTTTGCGGCCTTTAATAGTGTATTTGGATGCACCATTGCGTCTTTTCTGGACTTCGGACACCGCTGAATGAAAAATATTAAGCTGATCTGAAGTACTACGAGTCGAACAGCCACATTCAGTTTGGCTAATAATACTATTTTCGACATCTGACGAACGCTTCTTCATTTTTTCGCGGTACTTTGTAGACTAATTGCTAAAATTAACAAATCTACTTCAAATAATAAGAAACACGTGGATTTCTGGATCCTAAAAGTGTAGAATGCATAAATAAAACATATAAGGGTAAAACTGCATGTCTATTGCCGATAAGAGAATTAAGAAATCAAACCAAAGTAAGAATATCGGAAGGTGCAAAATTGTACACATGCGTTTTGTTTCAGTTTTCTTTGTTTGAATATTTTACTGATTAAGTTTTGTTTTTGTTATATACGGCAATTTGTTAAGAATTAAATACATATTATTGGAAAAAAAAGTTTTTTTGATTTGCTTCATTCGTTTGGAAATTATCGACTCACAAAGTTGAAAGTGTCAACTATGGAAACACTTTTGCTCCCTACTGTATATACATACATATATCCGTCAATTCGAAGAAAAAAGAAATCCCTATCAGCCACATATCTCATCGATTTTATGCCTATAAATTGTCGAGCAATTTTCTATTATTGGCAAATGTGCGATGCACATTGAAAACTACAGATCAATCGCTTCAGCTACAGACGATGAGGTCCTTCATTATAGGCTTCTTGGTGACCCTAGTATGGACAGCTACCCCAACTCAGGGCCGCACCATGGATCGCTGTTCCTTGGCTCGGGAGTTGGCTAGCCAAGGCGTTCCATATGAACAACTTGCTATTTGGACCTGCATTGCAGAGCACGAGAGCTCGTATCGTACTGGCGTGGTGGGTCCCCCCAACTCGGATGGCTCCAATGACTACGGCATCTTCCAGATCAACGATCGCTACTGGTGCCAGCCGCCTAACAACAAGCAGTCGGCTAATGGCTGTGGCGTGAGCTGCACGGCTCTGCTCTCGGATGACATCACTTTGTCTGTGGAATGTGCCAAGAAGGTGCTCCAGCAACAGGGCTGGCCAGCCTGGTCTACCTGGAAGTTCTGCAATGGCAATTTGCCCAGCATCGATCCCTGCTTCAGGTAAGATCATTTAAATCACATTGCTTTGTTGACCAATATTTTAGGGACAGCTTATGTAGTCGGCATACAAAAATGTATTCACTAAAGGCTCAGGGGTTATTTGAGAAACTTCGCACAAATTGTCCCCGCAGCCTTTTCGGACGCATGGCGAAAAGTGAAATTTTATATAATGGCCCACACATAACCGAGTCATTATGACAGTTTTGCCTGGCCAAAAGCAATGCCATGCTCGTATCTATGAGAAATGATTGCAAAATGAATCAAACGATCAGCTACAGCAGCTACATTGGGCATGGCACCGACTCGGACTGCGAGTCGGAGTCGAAGTTGGACTACAGCTGGTAATAGCTGCTGGTAAACAAGTTAATTTAATTTCCAATCGTAAAAGAAATTACGTATGAAAGCATGCCGTTATCGTAACGCTTATCTAGATCGATAGAGAAAGAGAGGGAACAGAATTGCGACTCTGGACAATTGCCTAAAGACTGAATGAAAAAGTTATCGACTTAGATTTAAACTGCATCAAAAGAAGAAAGTATATTGCCCCAGACGAGAGTGACAGACTAGAAGACACCCTAACCTTCGTATTTCACCTAATAGATGACGCTATCCCGTAAACCCCTCATAATTTGTTTAGTTTATACTTTCAATTTCAATCTTAGAGATGTTTCATATCATTGTTGTTGATTTGACTAAAAGAGCTATATGCAATATATATATATATTTATAATATAACGCTATGTCTTTTTTCACACAGCAATTGCCCGACGCGTAGCAGATACTGAGAGGCGATTATCACATCGTATTGAATGAAAGTAATACTTTCTAATAAAATACTGGGAACATTAAAAATTGGTAGTTTTTTATTTAACAAATCGTACTCGTATGTCGTATTTGAGCATATATATATGATACATACGAATCTCTCTCTATACAGTATTAAATCGATTAATGCAAAGGATCTCCATACAAGATTATAAGAATTTAACACTTATTGGCTGCAAGATCGTTGACCTACATATATACGATCAAAATATATACAGCTAATTAATGCAATTCCTCTAATTCATCTAACAACATTTTCTAGTATAGATTTTCTTTCGTGTCTAATATGCCGCGGCCAATGTAGGGGACTCGAGTTCATTAATCCATTTTAGTTAAAGGGGCCAAGCCTCACTCAATCATGCCCATTTACAAGTATGATCAATGCTTTATTTTATTTTATTTATCAATGAAAAACTATAAGCGATATAGAAAGACACATATATGTCTATACATATATATATATATATATATATAACTATATTTAGTATCTGCATTTCAAGTGGTATCGCGCCATATATTCAAGAGGCAAGTGTGACGCAAGTTCGAAATTAAATGAGCTTTAATAAATTTGATTAGAAAATTGTTGGCATTAATCTAATAATTCCATAAAATCATGTGTAAAATGTTTGTCTGCTTTTCGTTGCTATTATTAACAACAAATCTTGCAACATTGTTTGCGAAGGTTCATTGAATTGAATTCCACAGAGAAAGGGAGCTCAGAGCGCATTGGCTCTGATTAGCATAATTGTTGTTTTGTCGACAATGGGCCAAGGGCTTCAGATACGTTAAGGTATATAAATATTTCTTATTTTATTTGTTTTCAGTGGACTATTTGGAAAGGGCGCATTGTGTGAGAAGTTTCAATATGCTCAATATCTCGTCCATGCAACTGCTATTTGTTGGTAGTTTTCTAATGCCTTTCGGGTCACTTTGACTATTTAAATTTTGAATGCAGCCAAGTGAAGTCAAGTGGAGTAGATGAATTGAAAATGATAAAAGTCTAACCTACGATCGGACGTTAAACTTGTAGCGCAAAAAGAGCTGGGAATTTGGCCTACGAGCTGCACGTGAAAGAAAAATCAAGTGCAATTTCAGACTGAAATAACTCGAATGCCGCACAATGAATAAATAACTGCAACAAAACATGCAACCTCACAGATTGCGTGAACAGCAGACCCCAAGACAAGCCAACCCAACCCAACCCAACTCAACTCAACACAAAGTCGAGTGAAGACAATGCCATCTGGCTAAATATTTGGAATTAGTTACGTTATGGAGCTCGCAGCGATAATTGCGACGGGTCTAACATGCGTGCGAGGTCATGATTGAAGCATATGAATATGAATATGAACATGAGTATGAATCTGAGTGCTAGTCTCTGTGAGAGTTTCAGCCCATTCAATGCGCAACTGGGCTAAGGCTTATCAGTAGTTCGCACTGATAGCGCCTGAAAACTTGAAGTTTTCAAGGCGAAAACTTCTTCCGCCTTTCTGCCTGTGATAAGATATTGGAAGGTAAAACTTTGAATGTTTATTATAATGCAGAGACACATAGATCATCTGAAAAGTGCGCGTGCCACTGCAGATTAGATAAATTCGGGTTTATTTGCTGAAAATCATTTAATATGCTCAAGCCATAGGGTGACTGAGCTCAATCAGATAAGCCACCACAAACTAGTTGGAGCTAATAGAGTTGGGAAAGTTGATTCAAATTAGGCTAAAATATATTGAATATCATATCATTCGTATTAAAATATGAGTATGATCTGTAGCTTACTCTACTAGGCATATAAATAATATATATCAAATATATAGTATACGCAGTATATAGTATATGTAGTACCTGTATATGTATCTGGTATAAAATGTATATTTTAAGTTTAATTAAAAGTGTAGGATTGTCGAATATGTTTTATGATATGAGTGATTCCAATTCATTATCTGCAGCTTGATCTATGAGCTTTACAAAATGCTCCTCAGTTTTAGTGATTCCAATTGTTCTTGAATACAAAGCTCAGAGCAATTTCATTGAACTTTAACTTTTGCAAGTCTAGTATAATTAACACAGTTCTTCAGCAAAGGTAGGCAAAAAGTAGGCCTTAGCTGAGAGCTGACTGAACATAACATAAGTTTTGTGATCATTGTCGTATAGACAAGCATTGCACCTGATATCTGAAGTCGGCAAATTCCTGTTGTAGATAAGATATATGAGGCCCATGAAGGAGTTTCTCAGTATTGCGCAGGTCAACGCGTTTCATGTGGGGTAAGTTCAACTTGTTTATGAGTAACTTGGCATTATGTGTCAGTGCTAGCAGTAAACAAGTCTTATCGGCCCTTATTTACATTGAATTTGCTGGCAATAATCGCAAATACTTTACCATCGCCCACATCTTGGCAGGCAATGTTTGATTATTTGCTCAACTGCAACGAATCCACATGAGGCTCGACTATAAATACGGCACCACACACACCCACTAGCCAATAGTTGCTTCAGCTTCCACTGCAGCAGTATCCTAAGAGAAGATGAAGTCCTACGTTGTCGTCCTTCTGGCTGCCCTGGCATGGGCTGCGGCACCCGCTCTCGCTCGCACCATGGATCGTTGCTCCTTGGCTCGGGAAATGGCCAAGCTGGGCGTTCCGCGTGATCAGTTGTCTAAGTGGACCTGCATTGCAGAGCACGAGAGCTCGTATCGTACTGGCGTGGTGGGTCCCCCCAACTCGGATGGCTCCAATGACTACGGTATCTTCCAGATCAACGATCGCTACTGGTGCCAGCCGCCTAACAACAAGAAGTCGGCTAATGGCTGTGGCTTGAGCTGCAAGGCTCTGCTCTCGGATGACATCACCAAGTCAGTGCGATGTGCCCAGAAGGTGCTCCAGCAACAGGGCTGGCCAGCCTGGTCTACCTGGAAGTTCTGCAATGGCAATTTGCCCAGCATCGATCCCTGCTTCAAGTAAGCTCTGAGTTCACGAATAAAGCATGATTGTGTAATATGCCACAAATGAAAGCTTTCTCACTTGCTTTATTGACCAACATTTAAAAGACAGACAGCTGCATGCAGCATTCGATAAATGTACTCATTAAGCGATCAGGGGTTGTTTGAGAAACTTCGCACAAATTGTCCCCGCAGCCTTTTCGGACGCATGGCGAAAAGTGAAATTTTATATAATGGCCCACACATAACCGAGTCATTATGACAGTTTTGCCTGGCCAAAAGCAATGCCATGCTCGTATCTATGAGAAATGATTGCAAAATGAATCAAACGATCAGCTACAGCAGCTACATTGGGCATGGCACCGACTCGGACTGCGAGTCAGAGTCGAAGTTGGACTACAGCTGGTAATAGCTGCTGGTAAACAAGTTAATTTAATTTCCAATCGTAAAAGAAATTACGTATGAAAGCATGCCGTTATCGCAACGTTTATCTAGATCGACAGAGAGGGATAGAGAGAGAGAGAGAGAATGGGACAAGAGTTCGCAAAGAAGGCAACGACTTATCCAACTAAGATTTCATCTGATTCACAAAAAAAAAACCGTAAAAATGCATAAAGCAATTTCAATGCAATTACGTGTTCGGCTTCTCTGCCCCAATGTAGATCCATTCGATTTATTCGCATTGCCATTTCTGTCTCATTGCCATATGCAGTTGGCAGAGCCTTGTCGAAGCTTTTGTTGTGCATTTTTTCGATCCACAAAAGCAGTGAAAATGGTAAACAACTCGACCAGACGGGTGCAGAGGCTGATTGACAACCATATTGTAACAATTTGTATCAAATTCTCAAGGGTCTGCCATTGAGTTGAATGACTTTTTATAAGACAAACACTCCGATGCACGCTCGCCTTAAAGAAGTCGAGTATATTGGCTTTTTAGTGAGAAATTTGATATCTCTCTGCATTGTTGTTAGTCATATATATTTATATATATAAATATGCCCAACGAATGAAGTACCTGAACGGACTGGAGACACGGTGCTGTCAAAGGTGCGTAAAGAGTACTCGTTTGATAGTTAGTGACAATAGAATTGTCTGATCAATATTAAGTCATTAGAGCCTTAGTTCCAATAGTATTTTTGATTGCATGAATTGATTTATAATTTCATTTAGCTGCCATCTATGGACGAGCAGTTCATGCAGTCAGCTAAACTCAACTAAAGTGTTCTTTGGGTAGCTCAATAAGCTGTGTTTTCATATTTTAGCCGGTTTTGGTTTGAATTACCAAATAGAGCCACAAGAACTTCATTCGCTGCTTTGTCTGATCATATTTATTTCAAGATGATATTACATATTTCACACATTACAAACTCTGGCAGAGCTTTTTCGACACTTCATAGAAGCTAGAGTTACGTTAAGATAGAAGTAATTTGGTGGCTCTCCATGTCACTTGGGTGTTATTTCTTGGCAGTTCCTATTAAATAGATATTAAATAAATATCAAAAGAGGAATGCATTTTGGCACACTTCAGTTAGCTGAAACTCACAGGTGATAAATCACCTGTTCTCTTCCGCCAACTTTCGCGCATGCGTAATCCGCTTTTAATCATGCTGCCATAAGAGCGGATTCTCTCTGGCCACACGAAATTTATCACCAGCATAATTTTTTGTTTCGTTTTTTGCCTTCGCACAGCTATAGCTTATAATAGTGGTCGTTGTCATAGTAAAAAGTATAGTTTCTCCCAGTGTTAAGCCGACACCTTGCCAAATTGTCTTTAGCTGTTACACAAAAAGAAAACAAACGAGAATGTGGTAGCGACTGCATAATACCCGCTCAACTTCCAACAACAAATAAATCATTTTTGGTCAATCTCAAGAGGGAATTTGCCTCGACTTCCCAATGGACATTGCACAAAACGAATATACTCTTGTCTTTGCGTGAACAAGTATGCAAAAGAGTCCATTCGAAGTGGCTGTTGGGCAACAATGGCCTCTTTTTAAGTGTCTTTTTGATGCTGGCTGAGAGATATACGCAGTTGAATGTTCTCATGGCAGCAGTTCCATTTCTTTAGCCCATTTGCATTTGCGTTGTAAATTTTACTCACACAGAGAGATACGGAGACGCTGTCTGACAAACGAGATAAAACTATTAACAGAATTTAGCAACAACAATGATAGAGAAATGTGCCCACTTTTCAGCTGTCAAGAGGCATAGAAAGATTTGCTGATTTTCCCAAGAGTTGTCGGCGCATCTCGGCTCGGCATCTTGAGTTGTGTGTGTTTTGGATCCCTATGCAGACTTCTGTCAGCCTTTTGATTGCTGGCTGTCATGCTTGACAGCATTGGTGCTTGACTTTAAATTAAATCCCAGCCAAAAGGTATGCTAGACAGCTAGTCGACTCTTGAATGCTCTCACTCACTATCTCTTTGTATTTGTCTCTGTCCCTCTATCTCTCTTCCAACAATAAGCATGCTCTACACACAAGTACTTTGTTAGACAGACTATAGACTTAGAGCACTCCAATATAGTTCAATCAATGAATATTGTGGAAGAATCATAAATATCTTGCTTCTTTCAAATATATTAAACAACTCCGATGTGTTGGTTCGGAAATTGTCATTTGAATTCATTTGTTTGGCTAAAGATCAATCATATTTGATATACATATTTTCCTATTCCTACAACATATCATTAAACTACAATTAATTGTAATATTCAATTCATATATTCTGTATAAACATCCAACTCGACTCTGATAGGGTATCTCCAGTTTGTGTTCCGGAAAATCGTAAAGTTTTCTAACGCTCATTATGATTTTCACCGCGATTTGTTAACTACAGATTGCGCCTGCCTGCTGTGAGGCCCCTCCGGGTAATATATCAACAGAGCTGTCTCCCAACTAATATAATTAGGGTTTATTGTCGAAATAATAACGCAGCAGCTGGAGGGTTCAAGTGGTTGGTGCCTTGGTTGGTGCTTGACACAGTTGCGTTTTCGTTCCATTCCGCTTTGGGGGTCGGCCAGGTGAAATGCTTATAATTTGTGAGTCCAATTTTTGTGATGTGACAGGTAATTGATGCCAAAAAGTAGCTCAAAGCTTGTCAGCTCTGGCTGGGGCAGTGTTTCAACGTTTCATCGTTTCAGCTCGGTTACCATTGACAATGACAAGTCAAGATCATGTTTACTTAACCAACTGGAAAACACACAAAACAGAGTCTGTCGTCGTAATGTAATCTCTTGACATTGTTTGAGTTTAAGCAGCGCTTAGGCTTACGTGCATTCAGTCGACCATCCAGGGAAACAAATATCATCTCAGATCTCATCTGGAAGTATAGCATATTGAAAGTCTAGTCTAAGCCACCCAATTCCCTTTCTCTTCGTCTGTCATTCGACTAGCTCTGATAAGCAGCGTCTGCAACATTGATTGACTTCACTTCGATTGGCTGTTCGCCATTTTATTTTGATAAGAGTGAATCCCCCGAGCACCTTATCTATCGAACCATCCATTCATTTGCCTTCGAGTTTTGCGTATTAAAATCTGGTTTGTTTTCGTCAAGTGGAAAAGCACTTCAAAGTCTTTCCACTAAGTGGCTAAACTGAAATCTTCAGATAATAATAATATAAGTGAGCTCTCTATCAAAAAGTGTGCAATGTCTGAGATGTCAGATAGCTAAGCTAGTTTGATAATAATTCATAAAGTGAAGACGTACAGCCAAATGAAGCTTCATGAACTTTCTTGCAAATCGATATATATCGATTATCCCCTTAAGTTTTAAGCATCAAAGATGGTTTTGGCTTGTTCAATGTCGGTTAAAGGGGTTACACCCTAGGATTTAGTAAGGTGGATGTTGAATTACCAGCTCAAGCTATTTAGATGCTAAAGTATATGTTAGTATGTTTCGTATAAACATACTGTCTTAAAACAAGAAAGCGCCTTAGATATAAGAATATGAAAGTATGTTTATGTAAGTACATTGTCATATAAATTTCCTGTCTCAAGCCAAGGAAGTTTTCCTTTATCTTAACTTTTATTGGCTTCTTTGGATATCAACATGTTTCTACTTGTTTTCTTGCAACTTATTCTCTGCTTGCCTCTTATGCCTTATGCATCGCTTTCTTATTTTTCTGTGTTTTCCGTGAGTTCTACATCTTTCACACTTCTCCGCACACAGACACACTCTTTCCTGGGGCGCAACCAATTAAATCAGCCACAAACCCTGACGTGCGTACAAATCAAGTTGTCTGCAGATCGGAGAGAGCCCTTTTCCCGATGCCATTGCGTCTACGTCTACCGGGTATCAGTTAGCTGTGTTAGTTGTTCGGCTGTTATCTGTAGACCGCCATAACTTTACGCTACACTGATTTCATATGGCAGCTAACCGCAGCAATTGTTTTTCGAGTAAGTTAAGTACTTAGTTGACCCACACCATGTCGTCTTCCCAAGGGGCGCCGAACTTCGGCCTAAGGGCAATTACTTAGGAACCGACGACCGACAACTGTCGGCTAGGGCGCTAGTTGTGCTAATGTGCACAAATTATACAGAAAGAGAGTCGAGAGGCATGTACTTTGCACTTGGCAGTTGGAAAAGGTCTGCTGACATTTTACCCTACGTTTTCCCCATCTTCTTGGACCTGGTATAATTTTCCAGTCTTTGGTTTCCTGCTTTGTTTTCCAGCCTGTTCGAAGCGGGCTTTTAGTGTCTCTGTTAATGCATTGGCACTTCCTTAGCCCGGTTCTAAGTTGCTCATTTACAGCCGGTCTGAGCGACGGCTACCTGTATAAATTATTGCCCACCGAACAGAGCCCCCTACCCCCTCCGCCCATTCACATTAACAATTCACTGACCGCACCAAGTCAACGGCCTATTACGACTGCCAGCCATGGCGAATGGAAGGGAAAAGAAGTCTAGCCATGGCTTTTACTCTTTCCAGTCGCTTGCCTAAGTCTGTGTGTGTGTCTTGAGACAAATTGATTCTTGCTTTCGTTATTCTGTATTGATCTTTCTTCGATTCTCTGTGACTTTAGAAAGCAAACAAACATGTGGAGAAACAGCCAATTACGAACGACTTCCTACTGTTGATCCTCAAGAATGGCAGACCAAAACTTCACTTTAACATTTTCTAGTTATTATGAAATAGAGAAAGCCGAAGATTATTTACCCTCACTTATAAGATCTATTTCTTCTTCTTAACAACTCTAGAGCTGTAGATATTGAAGTTTCCCGAATACCAAATTTTCAACTCATTTCAATAATCTTCAAGAGAGTTTAATTTTTTCCAGTAATGAACACAATCTTAATCATTTAGAAGCAGTCGTTGATGGAGGGCAGAGAACCATCGCAGAAGTGCCAGGTGGACCAGGCGGACCAGCCCTGCTGGCTGAGGATCTTCTGGGCGCAACGGACGGAGTTGGTGATGTCATCGGTCAACAGGGCGTTGCAGGAGAGGGCGCACTCGTTGTAGGAGAAGCGACCGTTGGCAGGCTGGCACCAGTAGTAGTTGTTGATCTGGAAGATACCGTAGTCGTTGGAGCCGTTGTAGTTCTCGGGGCCAACAACGCCGGTGCGGTAGGAGCTCTCGTGCTCGGCAATGCAAGCCCAACGGGCCAGCTGGTCACGAGGAACGCCCAAGTCGGACATCTCGCGGGCCAAGGAGCAACGGTCCAAGGTGCGACCGAAAGCGGGAGCGGCCAAAGCCAAAGCAACCAAAACAATGAAAGCCTTCATGTTTGCAATTTACAATACAGAAACTGATGGAGAAAAGGCTAAAGGCTATCGCTTTTATAGTTCAAAATAATCTCTGCTAAACTGCTATCTGAAGTGGGCGCTTGTTTCACTTTACCGGCTAATCAATAGACTGCAAGAGACATCTTATCAAGAGACTTCACAAAGTAAACAGACAAACAAATTATAGAATAGATTCGATACTTATTATCTTACTGCTTAGCTGGCAGCAGATGCTAGGAAAAGTAAATATGATCGAACCATTTAACAGCAGCTTTAATTAGCCTGATTTCTGGCTGTTTCTGGCAGTTAAATGTTAACCATTAACCTTGTTCGACACTTCGCTTAACAATTACCATGCTTTAAGTATAGGCCATTGATACTTAAAGCAGGCTTTCAGCGTTGTAAACAACAATTAGAGCTCAAAATAGAAGGTAGCTGCAGTGCCAGCACTGGCAGTTTAGCTATTTAATGCCAAATATAGCTAGTTTTTAGAGAATAAGAGTTAAGGGAAATTCAGTTTTAGATTTACCCATAAACAGCTATAAATATTAATATATGGCTTTTAAATATCTTTCAGATCTTCCCTTTCTTTTCATAAGCTATGAGTTAAAAGTAGTTATCTCCAACAGCGCCTATAGCTTAGCTGGCTTGGCTTTTTTTCAGTCATTTAACCATGCACTTTAGCGACCTTTTTTGCGGCCAACACTGTTGAGGTGTGAAGAGCATGCTCCATGGCCTGAAACTCTTTCTAAAAACCAAAAAGAGAACTCAACAATTGTGTGTACTTATGGTTACATTTCATAACGGTCACAAGTTGAATCGTTAAAGCTACTGACTCGGCACAGACCCCAAGGCTGACACAGTCATGCACAGAGATGGATCAACGTGAACATTAACGCCAACTCAGATGCACATATGGCTTTCTCGCCAAATGGAGGATGAGAGTAGATAGAGCGCGGGGTCTAAAGGCCTAACCGCAACTATGCAAAACCCGTCATTGTTGACGCTACGCGCTGTTATATTAACCCCATTCAAGCGCAGTGCATGGAGCAGTGCGTACACTGAGAGAAAAACTTAAGAAGTAAGACACAATTGCTCATAGGAAAAAGTTACAGAAATATTCAGAATTGATTATGAAATCTGAGCTCATCTCAGGCACTGGCTTTAGTTTCTCTCAGTGTACATGCATAAAAAGTCATGTTGTGAGGCAGAGGCACCCGCTGTATTCCATTCAGGCTTTTTGCATCTGCTAGCGGTATTCCTTATGGTCCCCCCTGGAGGCACTTGTTGATCGGTTGGCGACCACAGATTTCTACACATATTTCCACACGCATTTCTCAGAAAGCTGTTAACCTTACAGACTTTGGGTTAACAGCGAAAATAAATGACAAAAGGCTACTGTAAAAGCCATTTGACTTGGCCAAATGACTGACAAAATTGGCTTCAAGCCATGCCAAGCCAAGTCAAGATCTGTGACCCGCTTAGTTCTCCATGAATTATCGATTTTCTAGCCGGCGCTGACGTGTGAGTTCTTTGTTAAAGTCAACATAATCAACATATTCACTTTTACTTTTTCTATTCAAAGTCTGCTAACTAACTGCTAAGAGCTTGGCTTAGTATACGTATATGGGTCAGCTAACAGTTCTGCAATCGGAATGGAAGAATTTCTTAAAAAAAATCTCATCGCATATGCATGAGCTGGGCCTCTCGGCATCACGAACTGACCAATGACCAATGACCAATGACCAATTATGCATCATTTAAACAAAAAGTCGAGGCTAATTGTCCAATTATAGCAAAGAAAACTACTGTTATGTTAATAGAACAGCTTAAGAACAGTTCCCCAAAATTGGCTCTAAATAGGGCAACTAATAGCTGACTTAATGTGAAGCTTTGTCCAAACAATCTTAGTTCAAATTTCAATAGAAGTAGAATTAGAACTGAAACTTTAACTTAAAAGATTTTTAATTGTGAACTAGTTTACTTCCTACTCCTTTTCAAATACAAACAACTGAATATTTATGTTCTATTGGAGCATCAATAAGTTAGGGTGACCAAAGCCAATTATGAAGAGATTCAGCTAAAAGCTGACAGTGACCTGAGTGAGTAATGAAGGGATTGATATATTAAATACGGTAACGGTTGACTATATCGTATTGTAAATAAATAACTTTCAAGCTGTTGTCTTGCAAAAAAGACTAAAACAACAACTAGAAATTGATTTAAATAGCTTCTTCGAATGAGTTTCTCGAGTTTCAAGTTTTTAAGGCTTATTAAAGTTGAAATGGACACTAATCTAATCCAATGTATGTCGTCCATAAATAAAGACCATAAAATTAGAAACTTTTGAGAAACAAAAAACAGACAAAAAAACAAACAAAAAATTTGCTGCGTGCCCATAAAAAAAAAATAATTTTTTTGTTTCTGCACATTTTCACTCATAGAAAGTAAAGTTGAACGAAGCTCGGCAAATGACAGCGCGGGTCAGACACGGATTATAAGCAGAGCCCAACCTATTCATTATGATATCAGACCGAGACAAGAAAGCAGACAAACTGACTTATCTCTAGCTAATCACTAAGCAGAACCCATCAAGAAAATAATTGAAATAAAAAACTGAAGCTTTTCTATCTATATTAGATCTATCTATATATCTATATATATATATATATATATATATATATATATAATCATCCATCTAACCATCTGTTAGCTCTAAGCAGCATGCAAAACTCAATTAGAAATATCAATTAAATTTCACACTTCATTCAAGAATATCTCTAGACTTTACAAATATGAAATATCTGATTAGATAGCTCTAACCACTTCCTGCTATCAACACAATATTTTGTATATTGGACAGTGGCTCTTGAGTTAGTGATAATATTGGCCTATAAAAGGCCAAGACTTTTAGCTATTCCTCATCAGTTTCTGAAAATTGTAAACATGAAGGCCTTCATCGTTCTGCTTGCTCTGGCTTTTGCCGCTCCCGCTTTCGGTCGCACCATGGACCGTTGCTCCTTGGCCCGCGAGATGTCCAACTTGGGCGTTCCCCGTGACCAGCTGAACAAGTGGACCTGCATTGCCGAGCACGAGAGCTCCTACCGCACCGGCGTTGTTGGCCCCGAGAACTACAACGGCTCCAACGACTACGGTATCTTCCAGATCAACAACTACTACTGGTGCCAGCCTGCCAACGGTCGCTTCTCCTACAACGAGTGCGCCCTCTCCTGCAACGCCCTGTTGACCGATGACATCACCAACTCCGTCCGTTGCGCCCAGAAGATCCAGCGCCAGCAGGGCTGGTCCGCATGGTCCACCTGGAAGTACTGCAATGGTGCTCTGCCCTCCATCAACGATTGCTTCTAAACTAATCCCTGATTCGATTCTTGTTTTTTTACCAAAATAAAATTAAATGTTAAATTAAAATTGTAAATTATTGTGAACTTTCTTCTACTTCTGCTTCTGCTTCTGTCTTCGTTCGACAGAATATTTGTGGGTTTATCATATTGGAAATTTCAATATAATTAAAAATCAATTTATTTGACTCGTGAATCGTTAATTTTTGCTCATTTTTCCGGTCCCCTCGCGCCGTCTTATAGAAAGTAAACTTGAAGCCTTGGTAGGTGTTGGAGCAGAAATGGCGGCAGCTCAACACCAATTTATGGGCCAACCCAAAACATATTAATTATGATCGCCCGAGGCATTAATAAGTCCGAAAACCAGTTGAACAGGTGTTTATATTTGTAGCTTTTGTGGTTTTGTTTGTGGAGATAAGGCGACAACGCTTTTAATTCATAGTAAAATATTAAACAAATAATCCAAAGTTTTTTTTTCTTTTTTGCAGTAGCAGTTCCGCATATTCCGCTGATCAATGGACATATATATAGATATAGAGATATGCATATGTCGAAGGTAACCCCAATACTCCGTTGGCTATGACAATGTCGTATTCATTAGATGAAGCGCGACTAGCGTGAGCTTGATTGACAATCGCTCAGGGCTGGATCACGATCTACGTATAATTATAAGATGATTGCGAATTATAATCTCCATTGGCGCCTCTGGTCAAAGATTGGCTGATTCGTAAATTGTGGAGAAAGTGACTAAAAGAAACAGCAAGTGCAATTTCGGTGCCTGTCGCAATCAACTTTGTTTGCCAATCAATGTCTAGAAGAAAATTGTTCAACTAGAAGTTGTCAATGAATCAACGATGCTCCAAAGAAATTGTATATATGATATGTATAGAATATAAGTATGGGCTATAGAAGCTACGTAAACGAAAGAAAACATCTCTTTAATTAATTTTCTATAGAAGCTATCGCCTTTATTAAACTGTGTATATAGTAGACAAACAAATTATAAAATTTAAGCAAATATATAGCAGTTTAACGAACGAGCTTCTGTACAATGTACAAGTCAAATAGCCTCGAAAGATAAGCCTATTCATGCATTTACCCTACTTTGATAGCTCACGAAGCCCTCAAGCTGTGCACATCTTACCAAATATAACTTAACTAGGTTTACTTAATGCAAATTGTTAGCTGAGTTTGTTGTCTATCTGTGTGTGTGGACAGCTGGCCTTTAAGCTCAATTAACTGGCGATGGCTGCTGTCGCTGATGCTGTTTTGAACACCTTAACCATTGCACCAGTTCCATTTAGCTCAATTAGTTTTGCGGCTAACAAGTTAGGGTCTGACACTGCTGGCAAATACCCTGTAATACTATTCCAACTTTTTCGATTAGGCTCAAATAATGTTAGCTTTCTGAATGAGGAATTACTCTATATAGTCTACTACATATCCATTTAGCTAGTCCAAAAATCACAGCTTCATCTTCATCTACCTTAAGGGGTATATAATGTATGTCTTATATGTGATTAGTTTAAATCCAAAAATGTACTTTCATATTGCTATTGTTTCCCGATATTCAACCCATATCCAATATGCCCATTCCGATAAGGTCTAGAGGGCATGCCAATCCCATTGCTTAAGCTGCATAAAGAGCAACTTAAAGCACATTGCGGTTACTCAATCAACAATTGCCTCATTTGTCAGGTGTCCAACAACTGTCTGAAGCCTATGATTGAGTTACAATTTCCTAACCGACTATGGAAAATACCCTAACTTTTAAAGAATTTACATCTAACCATAAAAGAAAATTTCTTTTTCTTTTGCGTTTTAGCCGAAAGTCATTGTGTTACTGCTAGGTTTGGGCCGTTTGATTGCGTGCGACGCCCAACTGTCCAGTTGGAGCGTGTCCAATGCATAAGCTATTTATTATTAACAATTGTTAAATCAGACCGGAACACTTTTCATCTAATCGTGTACTGCCCATAGTATAGACCTGTATGAGTTGTATGAGTAGTATGAATTGTGCCTGTTGCTGCCCACTGATATTTCTTTCATTGTTTGTCTTACACTTGGCTCCGTCTGTGTGGCAAGTGGCATTGTTAGCGACTATAACTGGGGCTACATAGCAGATCGCTGAGGAATGGCAGGGGGTGACTGAGAGGGGGTCTTGTGTGTGTGACTTGGCTTGAAGCGTGCCGTCGCCATTCAATTTTTCATCAAATGGAATTACACTTTTTGCCGCTTTCGAGTACGGTTAAATGTAATTTGTCTTATATACCCTGTGTAACTGCCGGACGGGGGCTACTTCGGGCTGATATATTTATAGAGTAGAAACAAGCATTTGTCAAAGGCAAACAAAATAGTTCAGTAAAGTATAGTGTATGCTAAAGTAACATGGCTGTTGATGATTATCCTATATATGAAAGGAAGAAGTACTGTCCGATATTCAAAGTGTAGGCTAAGATTAGAGAAAAGGGATTGGGAATGCAAAGGAAAGGTAAATTACAGGGTATATGACGAACATGCTTTGCTTTTCTTTCCTTTTTGGCATTTTAGTTCGACACACACGCAGCAATTTATATGGCAACAATATTTTTATAGCATCGACTGTCAGCCTAACGAGCTGCCGTTGTCTCTCGAGTGGTTCTATCAAACGAAACCAAAATAAAAGAGAAAAAACCGTTGGCTGCTCAATGCCAGGGCTGCCCACACGAAGCGAAGATCGAGAGGATTTGCTGTGAGTGAGCTGTGATGAGAAAGTCGGGCCCTATTAGCATATATGCATAAGATGTAGATTAGGCGGTGGGCGTATCAGCCAGGCAGAACCTCACAGCAGTTGGAGAACAATGCTGTGTCATGGGCAACTAAGCTGTATGCTGAGTTGACCAATGAGTGCAGGGGGCAAGAGGGAAGTTACGGGGTGTTGTTCTCTTACCTCGTTTAGCTTTATTCCGTTCACACTTCTAGGCCAAAAACGAAATCCAATTTGGAGCAAATGCGAGTAAAATGACACGAATCCAAATTGGGCCAATTCACAATGTACTCAAAATGTCTACACATACAGCCACAAACACACGCACGTACACATGCACACATGCAGATACACTTTTTATGTGTTTATTTTGTGATTGGAAAAGTTGGCTTTCGTGCACTTTGCAGCGTCATCGAAGAACAAGAAACATAAATTGAGAAGATTAGCACAAAGCGAACGCGCAAAACTTCTTATGCTACTTAGTTACGGTTGCAATTGTTGTTGTAGCTGTAGATGCTGCAATAGGCCATAAGAACAACAACAACACAGCACAGCACAGGCCAAGCCGGGGCCAGTTGTCAGAGTCGTACTCGTTTTACCGTTAGAATGCAATCAGCGCGCGCTCGAAATGCCGAAGGATAGAGAGAGAGAGTAGCGCGGGGTTGCGAACGTATGGAGACGGCACTTTTCTAACCAATATAAACTTGTTTCTCACGAGAACACACAACTGTCCATAAATACATATACATGTATCTCTGTATGTTTATGAGTAAATATATCTCGCGTAATAGTGTCTGCGACACGTAACAAGGCTGGAGTGAAGGTGGATGCATCCGTTGGCGTTGTCAAATTAACAACAGTCGCAGCCAATCAGAACCTTCGCCTAAACATTTAATTGTACTTGACGAATGCACTTTGTTAGACCTGAAGTCCGGCTAGCAAAGCCATCGTTCGTTTATTTTTAGCTAAGCTAAGCACAGTTATTCGTTATTCGACGCTCGCTCGTTCGTTGCGTCGCACACACACGTCCGTTTCGCTGTGAAGTCACGCACCGACTGAGGCAGCAGAGTAGAAGCCGAGCAACCGTAAACTGAGCTTCGATGCGCGTTGACAGTTACTTCGGCTCTCGGCTGGCTTAACTTTCTCAACTCGTTTCAAGTGCGCGAGAGTCGTTGTATAAGACTCTCTGTACGAGTATAAGAGTGGCTTAAAACATATGAATTTCAGCTTAAATTTTTTTCTCGATTTATTCAAATATCAATTGTGATCAGCTTAGAAGCAGTCGTTGATGGAGGGCAGAGAACCATCGCAGAAGTGCCAGGTGGACCAGGCGGACCAGCCCTGCTGGCTGAGGATCTTCTGGGCGCAACGGACGGAGTTGGTGATGTCATCGGTCAACAGGGCGTTGCAGGAGAGGGCGCACTCGTTGTAGGAGAAGCGACCGTTGGCAGGCTGGCACCAGTAGTAGTTGTTGATCTGGAAGATACCGTAGTCGTTGGAGCCGTTGTAGTTCTCGGGGCCAACAACGCCGGTGCGGTAGGAGCTCTCGTGCTCGGCAATGCAAGCCCAACGGGCCAGCTGGTCACGAGGAACGCCCAAGTCGGACATCTCGCGGGCCAAGGAGCAACGGTCCAAGGTGCGACCGAAAGCGGGAGCGGCCAAAGCCAAAGCAACCAAAACAATGAAAGCCTTCATGATTATACTTCAGTAAACTGATGTCGAAACATCACAACGCTTTCCCTTTTATAGGAGATGTATTATCTCTGGACTTGTTACCTAGAGCAGTTTGCGTATTGGGGAATTGATAATAGGAAAATTGAAGCACACTTTTGAGTTAATCTAACTTCAATCAACTAGACATTTCAAATTTCAAATTTCCTAAGCATACGCGATAATATAACTGCAGTGTCATAAGCACATGCTAGAACTTTGATTTTGATTGAGTGATTCTTACGGTAGACTCTATCAATTTGCAATATTGGACTGGGCACGCGAGGGTGCTCTTGAAAGTATGCAATACATCTTTGATTACCGTAGACTAAGAACGTTATGAATACTTTCATCTGCATTTTGTGTCCAGACAAGGCTCTTAGCTGCAGCACATAATACAGATACGCTTCTAGAAAACTCTAACTATTCTACTTAATATACAAATTGATATTCCAAATCTGAAACTTGAGAGATACGTAGAGCACAACGATTATATAATTTCAAGTGCACTCAATTTGGACTATTTAAATTTTGAGGGGGATTTACACTCTTCTTATCAACGGAAAGGCTTATCGAAAACCAATTGCCCATCGGTTCACTAATTCAGACAGAACCTCACCAAAACGTGCATGTCATTAATAAGAGGTATCTAAGACGCACTTCAGATAACGCTGAATAATTGCGGATAGCTGCAAGACTAAGATAACAATTCGGCTATAAAAGGGGAAGCATCTGAGGAGTTCGACATCAGTTTACTGAAGTATAATCATGAAGGCTTTCATTGTTTTGGTTGCTTTGGCTTTGGCCGCTCCCGCTTTCGGTCGCACCTTGGACCGTTGCTCCTTGGCCCGCGAGATGTCCGACTTGGGCGTTCCTCGTGACCAGCTGGCCCGTTGGGCTTGCATTGCCGAGCACGAGAGCTCCTACCGCACCGGCGTTGTTGGCCCCGAGAACTACAACGGCTCCAACGACTACGGTATCTTCCAGATCAACAACTACTACTGGTGCCAGCCTGCCAACGGTCGCTTCTCCTACAACGAGTGCGCCCTCTCCTGCAACGCCCTGTTGACCGATGACATCACCAACTCCGTCCGTTGCGCCCAGAAGATCCTCAGCCAGCAGGGCTGGTCCGCCTGGTCCACCTGGCACTTCTGCGATGGTGCTCTGCCCTCCATCAACGACTGCTTCTAAACTTGACGACCTTAAACTTGAATAAATGATTATAGAGTGAAATTTAATTGTGTTTGAAGCCAAACTGCTAAGCAGTTCAAATTGGCTGATACAAGCAGTTCAATTATTTATACATCCAGCCTGAAGGTATGCAACACTTCTTAAAAGCTGTTAGGTGACGCAAGCTGCATGCTATGGTACAGGCTGTACAGTCGGTAAATTCGAATATGATTTGTGATTAGCTTACCTGTAGCGCATAGATTTGCTGTTCTCGTAAATGGAGTCTAACGAATATTCATCTGCGTTTGAGCTGCCTGCATTGGTGCGCTTATCCAGTGCATCCTCATAGCAGTAGCTGCAGCTACAGCTCGAGTACTGCGAGCAGTAGGAAGACGCATCAATATCTGTCATGCCAATGGAGCATTCTTCATCTGCTCGACGTGGCCGCTGCTGCGGTTGCACAGCTGAGACTTTCTGTGTTGTCGAGCGACTGTTAAAGTAGAACTGTAGTGAGTGCTAGGTGGATTTTTGGTTATATGACTAATTACCTTGTGACCACGTTCCAGGTGCGATGTATTAGGTAAAGCAGAAAGAGCATGCGCGACGTCTCGCCGCCATGCGAAGCATTGCCAGAGCCTAGACAGCTGCTGGAGCCAAGATGCTCTTCATTGGCCTTCGCCTCATTCTGGACGTAACGTGCTGGCAAAGTCTTCGAGCGAAATTCATCCTGCAGGCAATATTCCCGCTTGTGCTGCTGATAGCGACGTCGCGTATTGAATTGAGAATTGCCCTCACAGCCAATCCCAGCTCCAGCCTCAGTTGGTGATCTATGTGCTCCGCTGCGATTGCCCATTACAAAGTTGTGGCTTCGTTGTCAAGCATTGCCTGATGTGACAGGAACATGGAGTACGATTAATCAACAAATAGAATGATCACTAAATGTTCTAGCTGTGTGTATGTGTGAGTGTGTGTCGACATAGTTCGTAACCAGTTGGCTAAGGTAAAAAAGCGCAAAAGTGAAGTGAACGACCAACTTCTGCGAATGGGCGTTTGGAATTGGGTCAGCAGCGCGTTCTCTCGAGCTCGCTTGAAGACGTCTATTGAGGTCAGCGGCGGAGCACAATGAGCTCGGCCTGCTGCATAGAAGGCAATCCTTGGCAAATGTTCTCAATTGAGAATTGCCACCGCCTGCTGCAGCCTCTTCTCGTAATTATGATCAACGATCTGATGGACCGAGAGGTTGCTTGGACCAGTTTTGGTAATAATCTCTTTGGACATGAACATGGACATGGACATAGACATGGCCAGCGTGATTAGATGCGTCAAGCGTTAAGCGTCACAGCGTACACGCAGCGAAAACCAGCAGCAGGTTCTATCGGCAGTCAGGTCGGGAGACGGCTTAGCTGCCAATTGCTGCGTTGAAAATGCTTTTAATTAGCTTTATTAGCCGTATGACTGTCATGTCCATCATATTTTGCTGAAGAGCGCGGCTTTTCGCGCAGTGTAGCGCGTGTAACAGAGATCTTTGAAGGCAATCTTTCAATCTAATGGGGCCACAGAAATACTAAATGCGTAACCAGCAGCAGCTGATATGTGGCTCGAAAGCGGGTCGAGCATTGGCTTGGGTCAACACCATGCAACATTCATCAACCCAACACCAGGCACAAATTTGTCCAAATTGCTGAGGGCATAGACTGCCTCAAAGCTTATCTGGGCCTGCGGCCAAGTGCTGACAACAGTTCAGGTCTCAACTATCTCTGTGGCGGCACTATCTCAGATGAGAGCTAGGCCTGAAGAGTGTGCGCAAACAGCTCTTATCACTTGTGTATGTTCAGAGTACAGTGGTAACTCAATGGGACGAACGTTTGCAATAGACTTTTGTGACTTACTCTATGGGAGATTTAACTGTCGCTACAGTGAAGCCTGCTTACCGCAGCAGTTCATTAATGAATGGGCCGCCTCGTCGGAGCATTCTCTTCTAACTGTACTCCATGGTGAAATGAACCAATTTGTATACTGCCAAAAATACATCTTTTGACCAATTCTTTATGGCTTTTCACACACAAAAGCCTTTCGAATATGTAAACTAGAATGCAGAAGTCGCGTCGAAGACAAATCTGAAACTGGTTTCCAGTTTTTACTGCCGTGCCAAGGCATACAGAAGGGGAAAGTTATTGGGCGCGTGGAAACTTTTCGTAGGGTAGGTTGAAAGACATCCATATGAACAAAGCATTCGAGTGGGCTTAAAAGCTGCATCAAAAAACAAACAGAATAGAAACCCGAGTAGGAGAGTGAGCAGCATACAAATGGCATGATTTGCCCAGTTTCGTTTTCTTTTAGTGCAATTTTCTGTTTCTAAATAAAAATATAAAACAGCTTTGGATTGGGCTCAAAGCGATCATTAAACGAATATCAAAGAAGCTTAAGTGTTTTCATATTGCTTAGCTACTTTGAGTGCCTCTGAAGCAGCAGCTGCCTGGAAAGCTGATTGCTCGACTGATTGGCATAAGTTAATTGAAGAGCTAATCAAGGCAACGGCAACTTGAAGTGCAAGGCGATAAAAGCTTCTGGAAAGTAGTTTCATGCCATTGCAAAGAAATTAGTTTGCGGAGCTTTTTCAACAGCTTATGAAACGAAAGCTCATGGAAACAGGCTGCTTGGTGAGCTACTGCTCGACGACATTGGATTAAAACTCTACTGAAGGTCAAGCTCTTAGAAAACATTGTCAAGTCAGAGACTAGACTAAAAGCATTATTTAATCTTGTAATCATACTGAAAATAATCAACTTCTACTCTGCCTGTTGGTAGCACAAGGCGAGTGAGTACTGTACCAACTCCCATGCCATTAAACGAAGAGCGAAAGCATGAACTCAAGGCGTGGCTACTGTGCGTTCAGTGTCCAGAAGACATTTAGGTGCTAATTAATATGTTTGCGGCAAGGCTACAAAATGCGGTTTATCTTATCATCGCACGAGTCACCCTGTACGAGCGGGCAATGTTAACTATAGGACAAGTCGCACCAAAGGCGAGTTGTGCGCAGTTGCGGCTACTCAGTCGCGTTTCCACGCAACATCGATCAAGTCGCGACTTTAACGAGCGCCAGCAAATAGAAAACATGAGCCAGAGTCAGCTGAACACGGCCCAGTTGGTCTTCGAGGAGAAGCCGCTGCATGTGCCCACACTCGAGGAACTGCAGCAGGGTAAGCATAAGAGTGAGGGAGAGCAGCAGCAGCAGCAGCAGTAACACGCTGCAGCAGAGTGAAACGCGCAGCAACAGCAAAGTAAATGACCTTCACAAACTGTGCCGAACTTTCCATAGCCGGTTTTTTCTGTTCTGTCGGGGCGTTCTCTTAGCGTGTTCTTATAGAGTATAGCCAGGGGCCTCAACGAATGGGCCACGAAGCGTGTGATGTGTGGCAGAAGCTCATTGAGTATAAACACTAGATCTTGATCTAAAAGTCAGGTAAATGCTGTCTGCTTCAGCCTTCAAGATATATATATATACTATATATATGCTATACTAATTATATATAAAATTATACCCAAGCATCATCTGTTGAATGTTTTCAAATACCTTAATTAATTACACAATCTGAGACTAAATAAACAGATACAAATATCTCTTAGCTTGTCTAGATATACCAAGAGCAGATAATAGAGGTGACTTAGAAAAGATTGATTGGGCTATATAATAGTTAGTAGTAATCCTACTCATATAAGTATGTATTTAACTCAAACTTCAAGGTCAAAGCAGCAGAAATAGTAGAACATATATAGAATTTTGTGTAGTATTCAAAGGGATATTAGGAGGAATATGATTAGATCATATATAGAAGCTATATACCATATATACCATATATATCCATGTGAAGATCTTCTGCTTATATCAAAAGTCTCGAGCATATATCTGCTTAGGCTGAGCAGCTAAGGCAAGGGTATTTCAAGTTCTGCAATGCAAACACTTCTCTCTCTCTCTCTCTCCCTCTCACTCATTCTAAGCACAATAACAAACGTGAATGTCAGCTGGAGAGCTTTTTGTTTAGCTTTTCTGCGTTGTCTTGATTGAGGGCGAGATAAAGCTTTTGCCAGTGTCAACACAACTAACTGTGTCTCTCTCTCTCTCTCACTCTCGTAGTTATACAGGGTGCGCTGTGCAAGAACTTTGTCTGCGCCACGGTTAAGGTGGGCGCCTGCCCCGATTTGAGGGCCAAAGAGTACGGGTTGGTGGAGTCCGGCTTGGGCGGCAAAGCCACGCTGCTGGAGGTGGGCGGTCCGCCGTATCTGCTGCCGCTGGTGCAACGGGAGAAGCTATATAATATCAAGGAGATAACACGGCGCATACAGGGTGCTGGCAAAATATTTGCCATTGGCGCCGGCGCCGGACCCTATCCCATACGCAGCTCCAACTGCGAGGGCATCTACAATCTGTCGGTCAGCGCCGACGATGAGCTGACCAACGGCAGCTACACGGCCACGGTGCGCGGCGAGCAGGAGGAATGCGTGCTGGAGCGCATACCCAGCACGGAGCCGCGCTGCGCCCTGCTGCTGAATCTTTATCTGAGCCGTGGTGAGCCGGGCTCCGTGCTGAAGATCAGCGCCAAGCAGCGCAAGGGCGAGCTCAACTTCATTGAGTGCATACGCAAGGGTCTGGAGGATCATTATGGAGACCAGGTCGTCGGCTTGGGCGGCATATTTGTGATTAAGAAAGGCGCCGTCCACCAGCACGTGATGCGTGACTTCAGCACGACGCCCATTCACACCGACGAGGAGGTCAACCAGTGGCTCAAGTTCTACGATATGCCCGCCCAGCTAAACGCCTTGGGCACTCTGGTCACCAAGGAGCACGATCTCGATCTACGCCTGCAGCACTTCCACTCCTTCTCCTTCAGCAACTGGGGCGGTCACTATCACTACGACACCACGCCCGACATCGTTGAGTACGAGGCGTACCTCAATGTCGCCGAGCGTGTGGTCCGCGTCGACAAGCCACTGGACACTCACAAAGTGGGCAGGGACTAGCCCAGATGCCCCTAAGCTCAAGTCATTGCTACTACGATAAATAAAAGACGTGAAAAACTTTTTTCTTTTTTCGCACGATTCTTGTGAAGACAATCGATAAGTTATCGATAATTGATAATTACAGAATATTTCTAGGGGCAAAGTAAGAAGGTAACTGCATAAGATATATGATATAGATACTATGATAAAGTCTAAACTGACTGATGACATTAAGGGCATTCCTTTTGCCATATGGATCGTAGTTTCAAGCTTGACTTGCTCAAATATTGTTTGGTATTCTTGGGATACTTGCAGATTATAATTGGAGTGACATAGCCTTGCATAGCCATACTTTGCACATTAAATATAATTAAGGGTATTCCCTTAGCTCTGCTAACGTGCAGATGACAAGAGTGAAAATAATTTCTATTTATGCTAAATTTCTAATTTTTTTGCCTAACCATTAACGTTATTTTGGGCCATAGTGTGCTGGGCTCCATTAGTGGGTAGGGGGCTGGCTGGTTGGGATTGGGGCTTTATGTTGGCTGACAAATTGAGAGCTGAACTTTCTACGCATGAGCGGCAAATCAATCAAAAGATGATCCATGGCCGACGAGCTCCACTTCTAGCTGAGCACATGCTCTGGGTTCTGGTTTTATGACTCCGTTGGCCGCGCTAATGAGAATCTGCCAGAGTTATGGCGAGCGAGTGGCTGGCTAAGCAGGCCGTAAACAATGCAGCAGCAAGCATGCACCAAGCATCCTCTCCACTCCACTCCACTCCACACCACTCTAGTTGACTCCACTCCACTCCACTCCATAACACTCCTCATGCATTTCTTTTGTTTCTGTTTTTTTGTGTTATTTCTTTTTTGCATCGCTGGCCATTAATTATTTAATAGCTGCGATGCAAAGAGTCGAGTGCGAATCGTGCGGACCACAAGCTATTAAGTTGTTTGGGCAAATTTCTCATATCTAAACTGGATTTGCGCGCTATCTGCAGCATTACGATCAAAGGCAATTAGTATCGAATGCCAGCGACAGTTGCGATCGCATATATAAGTTGATGTACTTAGATATATGGACACATACATGTTATATATACAATTGATATTGATGATACCTTTTTAAGTGGAATTTGTTTCGACTCTACTTTTTTTTATAGCTTGACTTCGTTAGGGGTATGCTTGATGTGTATATGTTATCGATATGCTTTGTGCTATGACTGCTTGAGCCCAAGTCTCCAATTATGTTTTCTGTTTAGCTTAAGATAGTTGACTTGTCAATTTGATATCTATATAAATATTTATGTCTTTAATTCGGTCTCATTCCCAGTTATGCCCACGAGTTGAGTTGTTCCTTGGCTCGCCTGCATGGATCTCTGCGAGCTTTTCCAGAGAGCAGATAAAGACGGCCAAACAAGTTGACAACAAATGAGAATTGTTCCCAGCATTGGCACGAGTGCATCATGTCTGATTGGGAACTACTTTCAAGCGCACAAAGTAGGCATTCAGAAATAATTAAATAATAATAATAAATAATCGAGACAACACAAAACTCCGCTCTTTTATATGACAACAATATAAGACAACTTCTTTATACATTTTGGCCATTTTTCTAATTTACTGATCAGCATTCATATATAAAAATATTTAAAAATATATTTTTAAATATATAAATGTCTTATTTTATTTTTTAATTCATTACATTTAACCAATATTTTCGCATTCTTAACTGCTTTTTAGAAAAATCTCGCTCTGCATATTGCAGCTAATTTTTGCCTCTAAATAAAGTTGAAGTTTTTGCTTTATAAATGTTACACACACACACATATACAGTCTGTCAAGAAACACTTTACACAGTGGAAAAAATCTCAATTTTTTGACTTTATGTAAAAAAATAAAGAGTTTTTGTTTAATTTAACTAATTTTTTTTAATGGTTACCTGTTTAATAGGTATTTTTAAATCAAATTATAGAAAACAGAAACAAAAACAATAATGGTGAAACTTAAAAAACAACAAAAACTTAGATTACTCATATTTTACACTGTCAAGAAACTCTTTACACATTTTGTTCTCTTCATCTGTTTTGCTCTGATTCTAAGAAATAACGGGGCTTTACCGTTAACTATGCCTTTAGAATCTGTCTATGCATCTCTATTTTTGTGTTTATTTTTCACTTTGTGCGAAATTTGGCTGAGTACACATATAAAAGCAATACAAATTTTGATTAATAATGCCCGGAAAGAGATTAAGCTTCGATGTTGTCCAATTGATCTTCTACAATCGGCAGTTGGGCAAATCAGTTCCAGAATTAGTGGAAATGTTTTCTGTGTCAAGAAAAACCATATACAACGTTCTCAGTCGCGCGGAAATGAGGGAAGACTTGAGGCAAAGGGTGTGGGTGGCCGAAAAAAAAAGATATCTGATCGGGCAAGCCGCCTTATGATGCGAAAGATCAAATCAAATCCCCAAATCTCGACCAGAACTCTTGCCAAGGAGCTCAAAGAAGAGTGTGGTGTGGATGTGTCCCACGAAACGATCCGTCAGGCTATTCTACGGCATGGGTATTCTTCGAAAGTGGCACGTAAGAAACCCTTGCTGTCGTCGACAAATGTGGAAAAGCGCTTCTGTTTTGCTCTTACTATGCTTAGGCACCCAGAGGAGTATTGAAAGGACGTTATATTTTGCGACGAGACCAAAATAATGTTGTATTACAACGAAGGTCCGCCCAAAGTATGGCGAAAGGTCTCTAAAGCTTACGACAAAGCGAATATCATTCCAACAGTCAAATTTGGAAAGCTGTCGGTTATGGTTTGGGCCTGCATTTCCAGCCAAGGAGTCGGTGAATTGGTATTCATTGAAAACACAATGAATGCCGAGCAATATTTTTTAACCAAATTTGGCTTTATTAGTGAAAATCGGCCAACTTTTAAATTTTACCAAGACAACGATCCAAAACATAAGGAGTATAATGTACGTAATTGGTTGCTTTACAACTGCGGAAAGGTCTTGGATACACCACCCCAAAGCCCAGATCTCAACCCAATCGAACATGCGTGGTCTTATTTAAAGCAAAAGGTTGGAAAAAGGAATCCAACCAACCGTGGACAGCTAAAAGCTTTCGTACTGGAAGAGTGGCAGAAGATACCCCTAGAGTATATTCAAAACTTGGTCAACTCAATGAAAAGAAGACTCCAACATGTACAGAATGCTAAGGGGGGCCATACTAAATATTAAGTATTTCAAAATTAGTTATAATTAGTTTTACATTTTAAATTTAGAACAATATATAAGAAGTGTGTAAAGAGTTTCTTGACAGTGTAAAATATGAGTAATCTAAGTTTTTGTTGTTTTTTAAGTTTCACCATTATTGTTTTTGTTTCTGTTTTCTATAATTTGATTTAAAAATACCTATTAAACAGTTAACCATTAAAAAAAATTAGTTAAATTAAACAAAAACTCTTTATTTTTTTACATAAAGTCAAAAAATTGAGATTTTTTCCACTGTGTAAAGTGTTTCTTGACAGACTGTATATATATATATATATATATATATATATATATATATATATATATAATTTAAGAAACTTACCCAAAATTGCATATGTTTCAGTCAGAATATATATCAGATATGGTCAGAGATATAGCAATATAGTTGTAGTAGATATTTTCTTTCAGCTTTCAGCTCGCTTTTGATTTTATTTATGTTTTAGTTGAACAACTTAACGGTTAGATTTCTAATATTTGCATTAAGATATTCGATTATTAAAATTTATTTGTGGGCCAACAACGACAACAATAGCGAGAACGACAACGGCATCCACAGACACAGCCACATCCACATCTTCATCGACAGCAATAAGCCGGCTCCAAAGCCCCACAACAATGGGTTGAAAACTACGTTTATCGAACTGGGCTTGAACCAATTTAATCTGAGATTTGGGTTTCTGCTCTCTGCCTCTTCCTCTGCTCACAAAAGTTATTAATCTGAGACGATGAAGAAATGCAAATGCGATTTCGCTGCCGCACCGAAAAGAAAATTTTGTTGTTGTTGCTGTTGACTTAGTTGTTGTTGCTTCTGTTTTTCTAGACGCTTGCACACTTATTCACAATAGTTAAACACACACAATTAGCACTTTTTATTAGCTCAACTCGGCTCTGATTGACTGCCTGCCCGTGGGACGCGCCCAGCTTGCAACTTGTTGTTGCTGTCGTGCTTTATGTTGCTGCTGTTCTTGTTGTTGCTTTAGTTGAGGTCGCGTTCACGTCTGTTCGACCGAAACTCACATTGCAGACTGAATGAAGTTGGCCAACTCGATAAACTGAATGAGTAGCTGCTGCTGTTGCTGCCGCTGCTGCTGCCACTTGTTTTTGCTATACTCTGTTCGCAGAGCAAAGTAGGGCATATGCGTGAGCCTAGTCTTCTCTGGCTGTTTGCTGGCGAGAATTTGTTAAAAGTATCTCAAGAATTCTAATTAAGCCAATTATCTAGTTAAGCCAAGTTATCTATAGATAACTTGTTCATAATATAGATTAAATATATCAACATTTGCCCAAGCTCTTTTGATATGTTTGCTATCTATAGTTGGACTTCCCTTAAGATTAAACTTAAAAAAAAACTCAACACTTTTTCTGTATTTACAGTTTGACAGTCTCCTGTACTTGGCGCACAGTTACAGAGTCACAAGCCCAAAGCTCAAATATCGTGGCAATTTATTTAGCATGAATGGACCCTTTCCAGGAAAGCAGTGCACAGTGCATAGTGATGAATGCCCTACCAGTTTCTTGAGAATTCAAATTTACAGTGTATTCTACAGGCAGTCAATGCGACTCCAGCTTACTCAGTTATTGTTCAGGTGCAAAAAAACAGAGTATAGTGTCTTAGGTTTAGTAAGTTTCTCTCAATTGCAAATAAAATCCTCTTGCTCTTTACAGAGTATTCTGCAGTCAAGGCGTTAAATTCTTCAGCTCTTCTTACACAGTTCTTGTCTAAGTTTCTTAGGTATGCAAATAGACTCTCTTTACTCTAAAGCAGAGTATTGTGCAGTCAAGTGGAACAGTTGCGTTGTCTGCTGCTGCTGCTTCTGCTGCTTGCTTTGCTTTGTTGCTGGTTTAGTTGTGGGCAGGTTGTTGCTGCCGCTGCTGCTGCTACTGCTGCTGGTTGTCTGTTGTTGCTGTCGCCTGTTGTTGCTTTTGATTGAAATTGTCGCTTAATCTCAATTTGGACACATTTGCTGAGAGCTAGATGAATTTTACCATGACTAAACGGCGTCGAGTGCCTCAAACAATGCGGGCCAGCTGCAAAAATTTTAAGTTTCCAATTCCTCAACCAGTTCCCAATCTATTAACTTATGCAGTCAATGCCAATGTCAGCCAATAACAACAACAACAAATACAACCACAACAGCTAGTAGAGTCCTGCCCGCCAATGGCAACATAAACTAGATCCCACCTAAAATCGAAACACTAAACCATGTAGGAGAAACGCGTTGTCGACAACGAGACAGGGACAGGCTCTCTGCCCATATTTTAATTGAAATTGCATAATGAGACGGGTCTTTATAGATGCCGTACGGGTGCCTCTCGTATCGGAATACTCGTTTTAGCGTGGAAAACATCGTGTAAGTCAAATTACTTTTAAATTAATTCAAATTGCCTTCAGCAAGAAGTTTTGTCCAGCCTGCAGGTACTCTAATTATTCCCTGCTCTTGCAATGCACAAAGAGTATATTGGCTTCTTCTTAAGGAATGGACAAATGGCAATTGGAAGTCGAGTCACAAGTTATTATTAGGTAAGATAATAGTACAACCTTTTGCCATATTGTATGAATCGAAAAAAGAGATAGATTTCGTAGATCGAACGTTATTTGATCCAGTTTTTGTCATTCGAAGTTCACATACGTCTATTCCTATGAATTCGAAAAGGTATACTTTTAGAAGATCCGACTTCAGTTCGACAACGTTGCTGCAACCTGATGATGTGTTATGCCAATCGAAAGCAGAGAAACTGACAAGTTACACAATAGATCCAGCTGCATTTGAATGAATTACAATCCTCTTTAGCTACGAAATTATAGGATTGCATCAATTGAACAGGATTAAGATATTGATTTTGCTATATACATACATAGATCATCTGTATTAGGTATTGCCGCTAAAGCTGGACTAAGACAGCGTTTCATTTGCTCAAAACGTTTTTAATTTTACATTTGTTCATGATTAAAATAGTAACACGAGCTAGTTGCTGGCTAATTAATTAGTAATTGAAAGTCTCATCGCAGATGTGATTCTTTGGAAAGGCATTGGATGCCAATAAGGAAAGAGATGGGTAAGATAAGCTGTTACTTGTTGCGCGACGATCATAAAAATAATTTAAGCAACCCATTTAACATATAGATTTTATGCTGAATAATCGCAACGGAGAAAGAAATGCATTTATGTCTTGTCAGGCAGACGCGACTCTCTCGGTAGATGGTAGTTCCGGCTATTCCCGTTGTGGTCGTAACCGTATTTCGCATCTATGTTTCATCTATTGGTAGCGGGACAATTTGGGCAGTGGGGCAAAGGCGGATGTTGCAATAATTCGTGAATCGGTTATTTGCGAGCTAAAAACAGAGAGGAGAGTCAAGGGAGACATATAAGCATTAATTTTATTATGTTCTACATACCGCCAGAAGAGCGAGCTGCCGCGCTTCAGCTCTCTGCGACCCTGCAAATCATTCCAACAGTCCACCCAGTTTCTATAGCTTGGCATTATTGGCGGTTGGCCGGCCATAAGGCGGGATCCGCTGATTGCGGAGCATGTGGACACCACTTGCAGTGGGTAGAGCAGACTAGAGTACACGAACTGAATGAAGCCCGCATTGTACTGCCTGGCCATCTTGTCCTTGATGAAGTATTTGTTCACAACGAAAACAGTGGAGCTGGATAGCACTAGACAGGCTACATCGCACAGCAGCTTGGGGATCAGGCCAGAAAAGAAGCCCAATAATCCTTCGGTCTTCCAGATTTCGGCAATCGAGCCCAATATAGAGTTATAGAGACTCTCGCGACCTACGAACTGTGCCATCATACGCAACGAAATCACATGGAAAGGATGTGCTACAACAATCCCGCTGACCGTCAATACAATGTCGCGTTTCAGATTGTACTTGAATTGCACATAGCTGGCAGGCAAGAAAAAGTAGATAATTCGACGAAATGTTAAAGGGGAAATTATACTCACTTCTCCTCTTCAGTCAGCTCCGACTCGTCCTTGTCCTGCTGATGAGCAAGTCCCAGCTTCTCTGCTACACGCTCACTCACAACCATGCTCAAGACCGACCCAGCTAATTTTGGGGCCAGTCCACGATAGCAGCCGTAAAAGCCATCCACCGTCCTGATATGACCAGCTGTATGTTTTTGTGATATAAGCAAAAGATCGAAGTGCGATTTTAAATGCCGGCCGGTAGTAAGTGTTATGCGGTTGACTTACCGTACTGAAATATGTTTGGCAAGGCCATAATGGGTCGGCCAATCATTGATTTGCCCGGTTTCGCGGCTATGGGCTCATATCCAATCTGAATGAGCGTCTTTGAGTATTCAAATGGATGGAGTGCAGCGCTAACACCAAGACGCAAGCCGAACCGTACCCAGCTATTGACCTCAGTCTCTTCATTTCGGGTGTAGTCAGCGAAGTTAGCCATTGTCGACCTGATCCTGATGGAATATTGACAATAATTAGTCTGTGCGAGTATGAAAATGTTAACCGGTCGGCCGAATTGTTTGCACGTCTGCCTTTTTTTCGCTCTAATTCAGGTTACAAAACTGACAAGGCGTAAATATCGATATGATGATTACGAGTACTACGATGTATGTCAATTTTCTACAATCGACTAGTCGATTTTGATTTTGAAAATATTTCAACCTGTGTCTATCACACTATCACACACTATGATAGCAGCTGAATCAGCCATGAAACGATTAATCGATAGCAAAGCATATGTTTTCCGCCTTTTCGATTGTTACAATGCATAGGTATTTACTCAACATTTCGTACATTGGCACGAGATTTCGGTAAGAACTTTGTAAAGATGAAACAAAATGTATATAATACTCAAATAAACATACAGTGGTATTCAAAAGACTATAAACAAGTTGGAGGAATCGCGCCTGGACACAAATTCAGTTCAAGGTTGCTTGGAATTGGCATTGCGCGTTTTTCGTCCCATAAACGAAATCCAAACCGTTCTCTCCAGTCGGTAGGCATATAAATTGAATTATATTCCATAGGGATTTGTAAAAAATCTATTTTCAGCACAGATGCTGGCGTACATGCCCTGCACTCGACTGTCCACGTCGATTTGGAACGCAATGATGGCAAATGTTACGATACAACTATATTGACGGGCGTGCTCAATCGCACCCTGGACAAACAGGGCCTGCCCATACGGGTGTTGAGCACTCAGCGGGTGGCAGACACCTTCCATTGTCGCTATCACGCTATTGGACGCACCTATTTGTATCGAATAGCGGTATCCAAGCAAAAAACAACTCTGCTTCCAGATGCGAAGAGCAGCAGCTTAAGGAACAAAGCCTACGAAGCGTTTTTGCCCGTTGAGGAGTGGGACAGATGTTACTTTCTGCAGTAAGTCATTGCTTATTCAAGTGAAGTCTCGTTGAGCTCCCACTCTTTCCAGAAATAACAATTTTGATATTGAACGTGTAATTGCGGCTTCTCGCTTGTTCATTGGAGTCCATGACTATCGCACCTTTATGAGCGTCAGTCGACAGAAGAGTCCCAGTCGAGATCATCCCATGTTCACAGTGCGCAAAATTGATGAAATCAATATACGTCCTGGCCGAAGCCTTGCACTGGGCCAAAACGCAACGTTGGCAACAGAAAACTACGACTATTGGGACATAGAGATCAAGGCCAAGTCATTTCTATACAAACAAGTGCGACGCATTGTGGGCACGTTGTTGGCGTTGGCAGAGAGTCGCATCGACGAACGCTGCATTTACCAAATGCTAACAATTCCATGCAAGCACAGCTGGGATCATCGCATACAAATTGCACCTGCGTGTGGTCTTTACCTGTGCCGTGTTCACTACAGAGATACGGCCTTCGAGCTTCCAGAGGAAACTAGTGCTTAAGATGATTCTACTCTATGAGCTGCAAAAGCGTTTGGCCAACCTAAGGCCCACTACCACGATTGTAACTACAGCCACCGGCACCCGTTATATTGAACGGCGCAGATCCTCCACCGGCGAAAATCTTCCGGAACAGCTGGAAGCCCGCCAATATGGCTTCATCGTCGATTCAAAGCCTGATGCAGTTCCTGCGTGCATCTTAAGTGAATTCCTCTACTTAGGCTCTCAGGACGCCGTCAGCTCAGAGAACGTTTTGAAGTATAAGTTAACGCACATCCTAAGCGTAGGTATTGAAACTCCCAATGTCGAGTTACCGCCTAGTGTTAAGTGCAAGTATTTGCCCTGCCTCGATGTGCCCGAGACAAATATCCTGCAATACGTGTTACCCGTCGCCATTGAGTTTATAGAAGAGGCGCAGGCAGCGAAGGGTTGTGTCCTTGTCCATTGCAATGCAGGTGTATCACGCTCTGCATCAGTGGTCATTGGTTATCTTATGAAGCAGCGTGACATGCATTTTGAGGATGCCTACAATCTGGTCAAATCGTGGCGTCCTTGTATACAGCCAAACGCCGGATTTATACAGCAGCTGAAGAAATTTCATAAAGCATAAATATCAACTAACAATAGCCAGTATAAAAATCTTTGTGTTATTAATAAAGTGTTTATTTGCGGTTTAAACCTATAATGGATTAGGAGCTAATTGGACGACTCCCTTAAGATACAGTTGAGATGCACTTAATTTGAATTTGACTTTAAACTCGCGTAAACTCAAATTGGCAAAAAAAGTTATCGAGCACTTATCGACTAAATATTTATTTTATTGCAGCCCTGTCTCAGCTGGACAACAGCGGCTATAAAAACAAAAAGAATGGGTAAATTAAAAGCTGCACTTGTATTGTTAGCAATTTTTAGCCACCAAGCCAACGCCGACTGCGGCTGCAACAAGTTGGAGAGAGATGCTACTGTTGCCGAAACAGTTGTCGAAGAGCCGGCTCAACAGGTGTGCCAGCAACAGGCGCGCAATAAAAACAAACACTATCGAGATTACTACCCCGAGGAAACTGAGGAGGAAATGGAGGGAATGTCTTTGATACCAGGTGGAAGTCACCATGTAGGCACAAATGAGCCCCATTTTAAAGCTGATCAGGAATCACCAGAGCGTCTGGTTAAGCTAAACGATTTCTTTTTGGACAAATACGAAGTGTCTAATGCAAATTTTGCTGAATTCGTCGAAGCCACAAACTATACAACCGAAGCAGAACGATTTGGCGATAGCTTTATATTCAAGACATTGCTAAGGCCAGAGCAGCAAGCAGAGCTGGAAGATTACCGTGTAGCCAATGCGGTCTGGTGGTACAAGGTCAGCGGAGTTAACTGGCGTCATCCCAATGGCATAGACAGCAATTTAGATGGTAGGGTTTTCATGGGAAGGAAACACTATTTGATTGATTTGCTTTCTAGGTCTGGAACAACATCCGGTTGTGCATGTTAGCTGGCGCGATGCAGTTGCTTATTGCGATTGGGCAGGCAAGCGCTTGCCCAGCGAAGCGGAGTGGGAGGTTGCCTGTCGTGGCGGCAAGCAGCGGAAGCTGTTTCCCTGGGGCAACAAACTAATGCCCAAGGACAAGCACTGGCTGAACATATGGCAAGGCGAATTTCCTGATGGCAATACCCAGGAGGATGGATATCAATTCACTTGTCCTGTTGATCGATTCCGTCAAAACAATTACGATCTCTATAACATTGTGGGCAATGTCTGGGAATGGACCTCGGATTTGTGGCAGGCCGGTGACACCGGTCAAAGTCCCAATCGGGTGAAGAAGGGCGGCTCATACCTGTGTCATAAGTCCTATTGCTACCGCTACCGATGCGCTGCACGCTCCCAAAACACCGAGGATAGTTCGGCTGGAAATTTGGGATTTCGTTGCGCCAAGAACGCGTAAGGCGCGAATCTCAATTATAAACACATTCCTCAATAACTCCTATAAGTAACTTGACAAGTCTTGCGAAAAATATAATATATTTTATTCGGTTAAAATAGTAACTTAATTCACAAGAATATATTGTCGCTCTTTAAGCTGGTCCATCCATTGATTGATGATATATATGGCATATTTCTTAAATATTAGTCAATGACAATGAAATTAATTATAAGTATATGATTGTATAATGCACATTTGGCAGCAGTTGCTCCAAGTATTCTGTATATGTACAAATTCGGGAAGTTCAATATTTATTATCCACTGCTTTAATGGAACGTTGGATTGTTGTCCGCCGAATTATTCATAAACTTATCATAGGAAGGCGTTTGTCTACGCTTCTTGCGACTAATAATCATTCGGGAGCGTCGTCTCTTCTCTAAAACGGCCTCGTTCTTGCGTGGCGGTGGAATTGGCTGATATGGCAAAGGGACGTTATTTCGCCGGCTATAAAGATAAACAAAGTCCATTCAATATATATGCGTAATGTACGTAAATAACTACGAGTTTATGCCTACCTTATTCGGCAAATTTCGCAACTGCCGGTGTCAGGATTGCTGTGCTTCTCCCAAAAGACATCGCGTACTAGGGTGCCGCACCAGGCCTTGGAATGCAGATGTATGAAGAACTTTCTGGTACTGTACTTGGAATCTTGTGCGCACGTCTGGGCATGTCGTAGCCAACCATTTTTCTTAATGCGTACCATGCCGCAGCGATAGCAATGTGACCAATGTTGTATATCTGATATGGTTACCCACTGTGGCTTAATTTTTGGCTTGATATCCACATCGAATGACTCTTCCATTTCCTGCTGCACGGGTTCATCGTCATCAATAAGACTAATAGTCACATTATCCGAATAACTGTTGTTGCTCTCTTCCATGTGCTCATACGATTCTTGCTGCAAATCATTAGGCCTTGGTTTCGATTGCGAGGGCGCTTCACTTGTTGTTTGAGCGTCCTCAACAATGGTCATGGCACGCAGCGGCAACAATGGCGTACTATTTGGAAACGGTGGCCAGGGCTCCGTGTACACAAACACATGCAGCGAGCCGCCAATGCAGGGACCATGCTCCTCTGTTGGCTGCAGTTCACGCCACATATTGCAATGTATGCATTTCATAACCGGCGGTTGTGCACAACAAAAACAGTGATAATCACGAGAACCGGAGCCGGCCAAGCAAATTGTTGAAGTCGGGCTTTGAGTATCGGGCAGTCCACATTTGCAACAGATGCACTGCATTATGATCCAGCACCAAAGAGAATAATAGCGATATATAGCAGCAATAAATGGTTAAAATAAGCGCGTTCCAGTTGTCAGAGCTTATTGCGCACTCAATGAATGACAAAAGAGAAAGAAGAAGCCGTTTTGGTTTGTGATTTGTATTTGTTAGTCAAGCTTAAATTGTGACTTTGTAGTGATGTAGCTTCCAAATTATATATTATTTATCTTTATCTGAATTTCCCAGCAGTATCTTAGTCAGCAATGAAATATCGGTGAAGTACACACAGTTTGAACTATCGATATTTGCACTTATATGGCACAGTGAAAGAAGCACCAATTGCTTGGCGCAAAATAGAATATTTCAAAATTGAAATAATATTTAAATTTCTTTTAGTTCATTTATAATATATTATATTTTTACAGTTTTATTAGTGCTTGGTTTCCATTTATTTGGATTCATTCCTCTTTGCAAAATGTCAACAAATTAGTTGAAGCATACGCGCCTTTATTATCGACATTTGTGCATTCTTACTATCGATTGTTATCAATACCAATCGCACGGCTCGTTTCCGTCAAGTTTAAGTTTGAATGAGGCAGCAAAGTGGTTTCTCAATTAATAAAGACGAGTGAGCTAATATATAGTATACTTTTATTATTATTACTTTATAGTCTTTATATTAAATACAATAGTTGGTATGGCTAATGCGTAATTGTTCTTGTATATTGCTGACTATTGCCTTGCACAAACGATTATGTTTATTGCAAATCTTACAGATTTTGACTATGTATATATATATATATGTACGTATTTATGCATGTATGCCATTTATCATTGATTATAGTTACTTAATTGCGTTAAAGCCATTCCTACGATATACGTACACAAAATTTATCTGTTGAAATGCTTCACTGATACAACACTTGAAATAGAAATGTACAAAAAACACAAAATCTACAGTTAGAATCGATATTTACAGAGACTTAAACTAAAAACAAAACCTATATGCTGTCCTATAATAACTAACAATAAATATAACTTAAGTCGTAATCGTAATCGTAATCGTAGTTTAATATGTATTGATCGAATTATATATACATATGTATGCATGCAGATGTATATATATATATACATCTATAATATATATATTTGTATGTATGGGGAGATCGTGGCAACGATCTATGGGTAGCTCTGTGCATTTTCTGAAAATATCACAATGCAAATCATATATCGAGTATCGATGCGTGCTGGGATATGCCAATTCAGATAAGCCGTAAGGAACATTTGCCAGCTGGCAGCCTGGAAGACTTTGTAAGCCTAGTCGCCTAGTCGCCTGGCTCGCCTCTTTAGGATCCATCGCTCGCCGACAGTTTGACGGCCTGCAGCATGACGGTTTTCAGTTCACGTGCCAAATTATTGATGTGCACCACCGAATCGACCATTTCCTGAACCGCACTGCCACTCGGGAAATGCGCCGCGGCCTTCTTCGACTTCAGCACGCAGGTCTTCAATGCGTCCGACAAAGCATTGGTGCAGTGGAGAATTTTCTCTCTCAACGCCTCCTTGGAGATGTTACGGTGCACATTGTCTCCAATGGTCACCAGATTGTGGGCGCTGACCACCACAAATTTGCCATAGGCGATGAAATACTTCGGCGGTTGATTCTTCTCGACGGTCTCCAAAAAGGAGTCGATGGCACGTAGAAGGTTGCCCATGTGCGTGGAAATTTGTTGAGCATAATAGCGCACCACCTTCTTATCCTTGTCCGTCAGCTCGGGTGACCTATTGGGCTGGGGCACACTAGCTGTGGGCGTGGTCGGCACCGTTGGCGTGTTGCCCATGGCCGTAGACTCGGCTATCTTTAGAGCGCAATCGAACTGAGTTTTCATGCCAGCGGGTATGACATCTCTCAGTGCTTGATTCTTCTTGGCCGCCGCATCCTTGGACTCGAAGGCCACATAGTCATAATCCTCGAGCCAAGCGGCACTGCCACGGCCGCCGGCAATGCTGCTCTCCCCACCATTCTGACTGTGGAGCTGCTGATCCGCGGGCAACTGTCGCTTGAACAGCAGCGAGGCATTGCCCTGGATGAAGCTGGTGGTGGAGCGCACATCCTCGGTGAGCGTCTGGGCGCAGGCAATCAACTGATCCAGACTATCTGGCGGCCGGCAGCCATGCTTATCATCGCTACACGCCAGCTGCTCCACTGACCAGCCACCCTGTTCGTCCAGCGCGTCCGAGGAGTCCTGTATCAACTTGTTGGCATCGCGTAGCGCACGCACCAAGGGTCTCAGCTTCAAAGCCAAATTGCGATCCTCAGAACTCTGGGCATTACCCAATGCGCCCTCACAAAACTCGGCCAAATCGTGCAGAGCTGTGCGCAGACGCAGTGCAGCCAGCTTCAGTTCCATAGCGTGCTTCTCCAGCTGGGCGGGCGTGCGCCAATGCGGCACCACAAAGCCGAGCAGACGTGAGATGGCCATCGTTGTCTGCGATTGCAGTTTGGCCAGCGTTTCCAGCGCTGAGTTCAGCTCCAGAGGCAACTCTTTCACTGTGCTCACATGGCTGCCATTGCTGGCATTGCTGGCATTGCTGGCATTGTTGGCATTGCTCGCCTGCTCCTGCAGCGGCGGCAAAGAGTTGGCTTGGTTGGCGGAAGCGAGCGGGCGTTGATGTGGCCGCACGGGCAGAGGATGACGACGCGGTATATCGTAGTCGGGCATATTTGCCAGCGAGCTGCGATTCGAGCTGGAGAAGCTCAATGACAAGCTGTCGCTGGTAAGCAAAGAGGAAGCCGAACTGCTGGGCGTTAATGTATTTTGCAGCTGCTGTTGCTGCTGCTGTAGCTGTAATGGGAGCAGAGGGCGTGGCACATCGTAGGACTCCTCCTCGACACTCTTCAACGAATCGAAGCGTGCGCCCAGAGCTGAGCCCGTCGTAGGCGTGCGCACGCCCACTCCCCGACCGCCATCGTAATTGAATTGCACAGGCGTCGCTGGCTTGGGTATATCATAGGTCTCGAATTCACTTCCATTGCCAATCGAGCCGTTGCCCATCATCGTGCCCAGATTCTGGTAGATGCTCTGATTGCTGTATATCTGCTGTGGACTCGGATTCGGATTCGGTGAACGCGACGCTCCCAAACACACTGTACCAGGCGAATAGTTGTAGATGTACTCATCCCCGTGCCGCTGTGGCGTTATGACCTGGACAAAGGCGCAGAGAAGAGCATGGATTAGAGTGGATTTAAATAGAGTTTCAACTGGGATTGGCTTATGATTTGGCTTAGGCTTGGTACCCATATAAAAGAGGGGCGTTTGATTCATTCCAATTCCAATTCTTAATATTTATATTTCATTTCCTTATAAATATATATAAACTCTTTATAGGGGCTTAAAATAATTTCTAAAATACAATTTAATCACTTTTGCGGTTTTTTATCTTGAAAAAAAAAAACACAATATTTATATTTTTATATAGAAACCTCACAGCCTCTTAAAGTTTATATACAAATTCAATAAAATTTTAGCAAAATAAAGGTGTACCTATGATTGTGGCCATGACTGTGCCTGAGTCAAACATGCCCCAGACGACTGCCTTGCCCACACGCGCCCCATCCACGCCCATTACTACGACTACGAGTACGACTGACTTATCGATTTTCACAATATTATTGTAAACTGCTTTTCAGTGCCCTTTTATGAATGAAAAGTTCGTATTAGTTTACTTGAGATGGCACACCTGTGCTGTCCTGACCTGTCCTGTCCTGCACTGCTGCTGCTGCTGGAAGTCCAAAGACAATTATCACATTTTGTTAACAATTAATGCCAATTAATAGACAATAAGCGGAAAACTAAGAAAAACTTCACTGCTCAATGGCCAGAAGACGACTGTGAAACGAATTCGCATGTGAAAATGCAACTGAGTAAAAATACAGGGAAATAATTACGCGCAGGCGCAGAGAAACGCATAAGCAAATACAGGGTTCAAATATATCCCAGCTGCTGCTGCCGCTGACGTTGCAGTTCAATGCCATTCACTGTCAAGGTAAAACGAAATGAACCCGAGAGTAAATAGAGGGTATATACTATATACTATAAGCTATGTGGACTCTTTAGGACAGGGGTTTGTGTCCTCCGTCCATATGTTCGATTGATGCAATAATTTATTACAGCATATGCCGAATTCATCAATTGCAGCTACCCTGCATAATGAGACACGCATCACGCCGCGCCACGCCCACGGTTAAGCAGCGGAGGCAGCGCATTGAATCGATTGGGAATTAGGTAAACCGTTAACAAGCGAACCCCTAGGCTACCTGAGGTCCACTTCAGCCGGCAGTTGGTTAACCTTGCCCCGAGCCTTTGTGCGTGAAGTGTCAGTTGACGCGTAACACGAGTCAACAATTCGCCAAAGGATATACGTGTGAGAGGCGATCCTTATTGCAGCTGCCACGCACACACACAATGAGCTCTTATCAGCGAAATCAGCGCTGGCTGTCTTTGAACTCTGAGGACTGCAACCGGACCCAGTTCAGTCAGCCGTTAGTCGAAGCTAACAAAAGAACTATTCTTTCTATTTCGTTGGGTTTGGCCTGAACTAGTTCTGAAATGGCACACAAAACAGCAGGGAGGCGCGGCCTGACTTAAAGGAGCCCAATTTTCACGTTACTTTTCGTGCTGTTTTTGCAACGCAATTTTCATGCTGACTTTTCCCGTTTACCGTTTTGTTGTTCGTTTTAGCCTACTTTTGTTCTACGTTGATGGATCTAGAAATCTATATGTTTATGACACATTTGGGGCACTTTTTGGAACGACCTAGATGACCGCCAGGGGGCGCTGCAATTTAATCTAAAATTGGCAATTTGCTGCTTTGCTTTCGGCCATTGTTTTTATACCCTGAACCAAATGAAAATGCGAATTCGGGGTATATTGGGCTTGTGAAATATTATGTAGCAGGGAGGAGGCGTGGCCAAGCCCATATAACATAAAATTGATGGGGATGATAAGGGCGAACAGCTGCGTCTTCTTTATGAATATGAATATGTATAATCCCAACTGCCATAGGCATTAAGAGTTTATCATTTGTTATCAACTCCCGGGAAAATTCCTAGGATGAATATCCAGATTTTGTGTAGCTCGATCACTCTTCCTTCCCAAAGTTACCAAACACGTATGTGCCTTGGCAAATATTCATATCTTGAGCTGATTTGAATGCTTGAAATGCCAGGTCATCACAGGGTGCGGGTATCTCCTAGTCGGGCACTCCCGACTAGAGCACTTCTACTTGTTTTTTAATGGGATTTTGATAGTTGAAAGTTAAAATTCAGAGCACGATCGCGGCGAGATTTCTTTCAATTCTTGTCGTTCTTGTAGTATGTTTTGATAGTGTTTTTTTTATTCGGAAAATCTGAAATCTTTTGTAGCTGTCACAACATTCGTTCTATGGTTTTGGTTTTTATTGATGGCCCTGTTGAAATTCTGTACGGTAGCTGCTAAAGATTTGTATCTCTGCAGCTCATTTGATGCATTTCAATGCTGCCGCTCACACCTGCACACACCTGGGCAGGGCCAGCTCTTTGACAAACAAAATTTCAACATTTTCTCACGTACAAAACTCAATTCCAAAAGCAAATTGTTGTTAAGCCAAATCTTGAGCTGCAGGGCGGAGCAGTGGGGCCTGCTTCAGAGATGCCCGCAGGCTGCGGCGCACTGCTCTCTCCTCTTTTGGAAATTTCTTCATTTTGTGGCGTCATGTTGAGCCACTTGGACGCAAGTCTTTCAAGTGGGCCTTGCCTTGCCTTGCCTCGCCTCGCTTAATTAATGGCTATTTATATTGAAGTGTGCAGATCAGCGAGCGAGCTCATTAGGTCGTGTCCCGTTAATGCCAGAGATTGGCACTTGTGACCTTGTCATATATATAAAGATATATATATTGTTGATATCGTAAGCGATTTCACAATATAAGCAAAAGCCATAGAGAATCCGCATTCTTCGACAACGTCTTCTCATATGGCCAAACCTCTGCTTTCTGCTCTGACTTTGGTCATGCACAAATCTCGACAGAACCAAAGATGCTACAAAACAACAACAACAACAATAAAGAGTTATTGTTGCCGCATTTGCTTCTGGCTGGCATTTTGTTGCCATTTTTGGTCATTGAAATAAAAATGACATGTTTTCCTCACACAAAACTCGAAAACTCTTTTTGGAGTTAGAGCCACAGACCGAGCCAGAGCCAGCGCCAGAGCCAGAGCCAGAGACTCGACCACATTGCCATAAATCTTGATGGCTCGTTGCACTCACAGAGCTGGACGCAGTTTTATGGCCAGTGCGTGACCGCCTGGCTGCTTGGCTGCCTGCTCAGACTTATGTGGGCTCAAGGAACTTGAAATTGTCACACAGTTTTTGGAGCCAGCCTAACGGTGGGGAGAGAGAGAGAGAGCGCGCGCGCCAGCCAGCCAACTACAACTTTGTCTCTGATTTGGCCAGGCCAACAATAAACACTTAAGTATTTATGCATTTAGTTAGCGAGTGTAGCAAAAGCCCAATATGCACTACTTAGCATTGTTTGTAGAGACTGTCAAAGGACCTTCAATCTTTTATCTTCCATCTTCAATTTGCTGTTTGCTATTTGCTATCTTCTATATTCAATCATCAATCTGCTATCTTCTGCACTCTGTCTTCTATCCTCGGACTTTCATCTTCTATCTTGTCTCTTGTTTCATATATGTTCTATATTCTGTATTCAATTTTCAAACTTTAATATTCCATCTTCAATCTTCAATCTTCATTCTTCAATCTTCAATCTTCAATCTATTATCTTTAATCTACTCGATCTTCTATCCACTATCATCTATCTTCCATCTACTATTCTTTCTCTTATATCATCTAACTTCTTTATTCTATCTTCTCTCTTGTTTCCTCCACCTTCTCTGTTCTCTCTTCTCTCTTCTCTTAATTGGCTTGTCAAGGGTATTCAAGATTCGTTTATGGAACATTTGGACAGCTTATCTGAGTCTGCCTGAATTTGGATTCGTTGTGGACTGTGTGGGATTTGGGTTTGTGTGGCAGGCAGACACTTGCAGCTTGCAGCTTGCAGCTTGCAGCTTGCAGCTTATGGCTTGTGGCTGCTGCCCAACAGTTGCGCAACAATGTTCAAAGACATTTCCGTTCTCAATTAAGTTAGTTTTTGTTTTTTGTTTTGTTTTGTTTTTTTTTGGGAATGCAGCTGATATGCACTTGATGTGGCTCATGCACACAGTGACTCGAGTCGACGGCACTTCAGATTAGTGTATTTGGCTCGATTCGTTTACACCTGTTGGCCTAGTCAAGCCTTTTGTTGGCCACCTTAAGTGTAGCTGCTCTGGCACTCCACTTGCCTCTCTGACAATTCTCAACTGCAGTGCGTAAACTTTTTGACGCTTTCAAGTGGTTTTTTTTTCGATTCGAAGTTCGTTTTTAGCGTGTGATTTTTCTTGTGGCCGAATCAATAAAACCCAACTGCAGACACGTCAAATCAACAAAAGCGGCATTTAATTTGGTTTTTATATGCCCTGTACCCATCGCGAGTGCGCTGCCAGGGTATATTGGCTGTGCGAGAGGGATCAGAACGACGAGCTGAGTCCAGCTAGTTGGCGTACCATCAAAAGCTGGAAGCATATTTCGGAGGTATCCATACCTCTCCCCAGAGACTTGCACGTTGCCATTAATTCGTGTTCAGGGTATCTTCTAGTCGCACACTCCCGACTAGAGCTTTCTCAGTTGTTTTTCGTTTCTTTTTACAGCTACCACTTGAGAGGCACTTCTTCTGGCCAGCTGGCCAGCTGTCCCCCGACGCGCCTAGCTTTATGGCCAGTGGTGTGTGGAAATGTCGAGGTCTCGTCTCTACATAGGAAAGGTTTCACCCAGGCAAACGCAATCTGCCACAGCCGGTGGCAACGAATCGGTTGCAATTTGCAGTTGCAGCTCGGACAGACAAGAAATCAAAAGGCGGTGCAAGTTGAAGTAGATAGCAGCGCGAGGGGGCGGACGGCTTTACTCCTCTGGCGCAGCGTTTATTTGAATTTGAATTTATGGTTTCACTTGCCTGCAGAGTGAATGAGAGAGAGTGGGAGAGCGAGAGGGAGAGAGAGAGAGCGAGAGAGCGCATGCAAGATTGATAGCTGCCGATAATGCGAGGAAATGTTTACGACTCTGTAATTTGGACTTTATTTTATTTGATTTGCTGCGCCAAGTGCGAAGAAAAGCGAAAGTCCAACCAGACAGAGCCAACCCACAGATAGATATACACAGCTATATATGTGTATATATCGAAAATGCAGATGGCAAAGTTCAAAGCTGAACGAATTCGTTGCATGTGGTGCTAATGATAATGGACAATTATGAATGCAATGTTATGCAATCCAGGGGCAGAGTGTGGGCGTGGGGAGTGGCGAGGGGCGAGTGGCGAGTGCTGCGCCACGGATTGCTAAATGAAATTGAAAGGCCTGAACGAAACAATTGCCATGGCTGGGTAATTGTCCGTTGAGTGGGTCAAATAGTTGTCAGAGATGTGAGATGGGTCTTGTTGCACTGAGGCACTGAGCTATGAAAGCTAAGAGCCAATGCCCTGGATAGGAGTCTTGCATATTGGCATGGCTAAGAGTTAGCATTCAACTGGAAGCCGAGATGGGCTTATGATAAAACGTAGCTTATATCTGGACAGCTTAAACAAATTGTGAACCGTTATGTTATGGGTCGCATGCAAGCCAAAATATATCTCAGAGAATCAGTTCCAGATGTGAATCTAGGCACATAGATTTTAACTCTGAAGGTACAAAAGATTCTCAGCTAATGCCTCAGTTGATAATCAAACTCACTTAAAATCTGCGAAGTCAATGCCAACTCAGCTTTAAGCCAAGTCTTACTTAGAGTGCTCCACAGTTTGGTATGATGAAGCGAAGGCAACTTAAATTGCCACTTATTTCAGCTTAAGATTCATAATTCACATAGAAATTTCAGTTTTAGGGTATTACAAATTCGCCTAGATCAGACTAAACTTTCAGTTAAAAGCAATTTTGTCTCAGTTATTGCTTTATATTTGCTTATAGCTGCCATTTATTAGCTGGCCGCTCTTCAACTAATACCCAGCTGTCTGGCCAAGTGCAAATTATTCGTTTCCTTTAATTATGGCCATCGATTTGGTCAAATCATAGAGAGAGAGGTAGAGAGGGAGACTAGATACAGAAGAGGCTGAAGGAAGCAAGGCAACTGCAATGCAAATAAAACGCATGTCCAGCTGACAAATTGGCAAATTACGAGACGAATTGAAAAAGAAAACTCAAAGAGCGGAAACCCGTTGGACAGGCACACACGCAGTCCAGCTGGCTGAGATGCTGTCGATGCAGTGCATCAGCCTTGTCCAGTTCGACGCCGCCTCCTGCTCCTCCTCGGCAGTTGGGTCCTATTAATTGCACAATTACGACACGCAATTGACGTGCAGAGAGTGAACGATGGCCGGCCGCAGTGATGGAAAACCGGCGTAGTCCGAGAAATTACTTTCTTTCACTTTCCAGACGGATATCATAATTCACACACAAACAACAACAACAACAACAGCAACAGCAACAAAATGTTCAGTAGCCAAAAATAAATAAGCCAGACGTTGCAAAATGCAAAAATTTAAATTAAAAACGAAAACAAAAACGAAAACGAAATGAAATCAAATCAATTAGGAGCCGCCTCAAGGGGCGCCTCTCGCGGACTTGCGTCAAGGCAGCGCAGACGAAGCGTTAAATTAAAAAATTACAACAATTCAAAAAGAAAACAATAAAGCTGCGAGATATATAAAAGAGGCTGAATACCCTCACAGAGATATGACTGATTGATGGCTCCAGCAAGTCCAGAGATCAAGAAGATCTAGTTCTTAACTGATCATTGCTCAAAGAAACTTCTCAGTCTAGAAAAGTTCGGTTCATTCCGAGTTTAGTCAGAAAAAGTAACAATTTTTAAAGAATTTTCTTAGCCAACTTTGCTTATATGAAGTAAGTGCTAAGGATATTTTAAAGAAAATAACTAAGACTAAATAATTCACTTTTGAGTTTGCAAAACATTTAAATAATTGTTGTCAAATCTCAAGAGGGAAACTTTTGGCGCTGACACGAGGCTGCTCTGCACGAGTATATATCTTAAGTTTCCAGTATATTTGGTATTACATCAGATAGCATTACTCTTATACTAGATAACTCCTATAAGTACCAACGACTCAATGTTCGCAACCTCTCAAGTCTTTCGTAAGGCAGACATTGCAGTAAGTCAATATACTCTCTTCGTTTCACGAGCGAGTATATGAGAAAAACTTTGTCATATATCAAGAGAGCTATTTAGGTATGGCAACTATATATATTGTTAAAGTCTAGAGTCAGATTTAATTCCAACTCAAGCTGTAACTTGCTTATGGTTCCGATTTCAGCTGAATGTGGGTTTATCAACTCGACTGGCTAAGAATATATATAGCTCATGACATCAGAGACCAAGTATATTATGACTTACTGACAAGCTTCAATAGAGTATATATATGTGGAGGAAACCTACCTTATTTGGGGAGACGTGCCATGATCTGCGTCCTCCTCGGCCCTGGCCACTCGATGAGGTTGAGTTGGTGTTGGAGCCTGTGGATTGCGTGTCCGCGGCTGCTGCACTGGCATTCAGCATCGAGCCATTCTCATAGATCTCCGCCGAGCAGATGGAACTGTTTAAGGTCGCTGTGCTGGCCGCCAGCGATGGAATCGGCGAACTGGCCGGCGAGGGCGAAAAGCAGCCCGAGTCGTAAGAGTTCAAGATGCGCAAACGGTTGCCGGGGCACAGACCCTGCAAAAGGCAGAAATAAAACAATTGAAAATACGTTGCCAATGAGAAGGGTATCTGCTAGTCGTGCACACTCCAAGCTGCTGCACTGCACTTGGCTATCAAATGAAATTCATGGCTGCCACTCATTGTACCCAATTGATTTCGATTGCCTTTTAATTAACTCAAATGCTGAGTGCATTCTGGACAAATAAATAAAATATAGATATATACCATATATAACTGATATATATATAAATATCATATATCTATAATAAATTGCAATTATTTTTTAATTGCCTGTCAAGCGGCATTAAAACTCAGCTCGCAACTCTTTTTCACGCAATTCTTTTTGTCAATTTGGCTCGACATCTGTGAGAGACTCTTGACAGATATATACAATATATATATATATATATATATATAATATATACAATATATATATATATATATATAGTGTTCCCAGATCTTGTCAACATGTGTTTGCAACTTATTTCAATTAAATTTTAGCTGCAGACAGCAAAAACTTGCGCCAAAACAATTTTTTTCTAGTGTTAAAAAAATAAATTTTCAAAATATTTTCATTTTTTTTATTTATTTTTAAAATTTATGCATAAAAAACGCTTTTGTTGCTGTTCGAGCTCAATTGGCTGTGTTTTTGGGTTAATTGTTTCCATTAAAAAGTGCGGCTACTTTTTAATTAACGGCAATTGGCCGACATCGAGCGCCTATATAGCTGTATCTATGTATCTATGTATCTATGTAACTGCAGCCATGTATCTTTGTATCTTTTGCCTGTGCTTGGCGCCTTTGATTTCCATTTTGATACGTGTTTTGACACCAGTCGACAGCAGCTTGAGTGCATTCATGAGTGTATTCATGAGTGTTGTTGTGCTCAGCCACAGCCCAATTGAGTTGTTAATTAACGACAACAACAACAACAACAGCAATAAAATAACTTTTCGTTCGCTGCAATTTTCCAAGCGACGTGCAAAAATGTTTTCAGGCTTTAATCAGTTTTTAATTTGGCCAATGGGAGTGTTTCTATTTGCTGTTGTTGTTGTGTTAGTTGTAGCTGTTGATTAGTTGGTGTTTGGTCTAATCAAAGCGCAAGACTTCAAGGTTGCCCCCACACACACTGAGCATGTGAACATAAAGAGATCAGATATTATGTGAGCTTTATAATGGGGCACAGAGTGGAGAGTCGAAGCAGTTGCCGGAGCAGCGCAGTTCATTAGAGAGAGAGAGAGAGATATGGGATTATGATATGGGATAGATATGGGAGCATGACAGATAAGTAGAGGATATCTAGGATGTCGTAGTGGTCTCTAAGCTATATAGTGTAGATACTATAACAAGGCAAATTTGTCATCAAAAGGTGCTCAAAGCCAGCCTGGAATGAAAGTCTTGAATGAGTTTAGAGAAATGGAATAAAACTCAAGTACAACTATCACACATTCCTATAGATTAGAGACTAAAGAGTTTAGCTGTTGAGGTACCTCAAATAGAGTTAAGCAAATTAGAAAAACAGAGCTTGACGGACAGCAAATGGAGAGTTTCTCTCTCTGAAATTAATTATAATAATTATTGTCAATGCTTGAATAAATCATATAAAAAGTGCATTAAATTTCAGTCTGAAAACTTATTTCATATTCAGAACGAGTTCCGCATTTAGCTCAATTATTCCAAAGTTAACATTTCGTTCCACTTTGTATACAATCAAACTAACAACGTCGACCCATTTACTCTGCCCTCCCCCAACTGGTGGGCCTGCAGCATGTCCAAATTATGTTGTACAGTGTGGCAATCGCTATGGGGATTAATGTGGACATTATTAAAGTGGCAAAACTGTAAATTTATATCCCGCATGCAGCGAGGCGGGTGTCTGCCACGTGCCCCCGGAAATGATGCTGATGAGGCTGATCATGTTTGTGGGCGGAGAAATGATGGAACTCTCCATGTTCTGTTGAAACATTTTCCAAATTAAATTATAAATGCAAATTTTATTACCAAAATGCTATGCCAAATGAATGCTGGCTCGGGCCGATTGTTTAATTATGAATGCACAGCACAAAGGGGCGTGGCATGGCTGCCTTTTTGGCAATTAGCAGGGCCAAAGAAGCTGAAGCGAAGACAAAAAACTCAAGTGAATACCTTGGCTAAGACAACTCGCAAAAGGCGTTGCCCTCTAGACATTAATGAAGCTGCACTTGGAGGGAAGGAAAACGAGAAATCTCGAGGTAGCGCTGAAGGCTTTGAAGCTGCACTGGGAGAAAAAACAAATAAGTTTACTTGCTGTTTGGAATTCAAATAAAGTTGCTTTGAGCTAAGGAAATTTTGGATTAAAAGTAAACGAGGAATCTCGAGCTAAAGCTGAAAGATTTGAAGTAAACTACACAGCGAGAAAAGACGAAGAGTTTTGCTTGCTGCTTGGAATCTCAAAATTCAAAACTTTGATCCACACTGAGAAAACTTTCATACGAACGATTTACCCAATGCAGCGTAAAAATATGGAACCTGATCTAAAAAGCATTTCTTTCATTCTCTTTCCAGCCCAACTCACCTGTCTGTTGCGCAGCGAGCATAGCCACCAGCCCTCGATGCCTTCGGTGTCCTGCTCGATGACTGTAAGGATGTCGCCTTTCTTGAAGGACAGCTCGTCGTACATATCCGCAACATTATCATAAATGGCCTTGGCATAAAGTTTCTGCAAATAAATCAGGCAAAAGAACAGAAAAAGGTAACAATTAAAATCCGTTTCTCGATTGCTGTAGGCCTTATCAGAATAAAGAAATTTGTATACCTACTATATAATGATCACAATGAACTGCATGCAAGGCAAGACTTCTAAGAAGCCGCAACAAGAGCGAGAAGAGGCCGCAGCAGAGGCGGCAGCAGAACAAGAATCAGGCCCAATTTCAATGGAATTTCAAAGACGTGAAACTTGGACCAGTCGCTGACCGACCCCGACATTGACTTTTGCCTCCAACAAAAATCCAAACTAAACCAAAACATCATTCATAAGAACTCGTCTGCGGTTTCTACAGGTAACATATTTTAGCTCTTATTTCTCTTATTTTTGCTGTTTCTGTTCCAAAACATAAATTAAAAAAAAAACAAGAAAAACAAAAAAATTGCACAAACTGCAAAACGAATTTTTCGGGCAAAACTGAAACAAAGCGAGTTCTTGTTGTTGTTGTTCCTCTGTTTTAGCTCAGGCCATGCGCTTCATTAGTTTACCTGGTATTTCAGGTCAGAGCACACACGGCCAACAGCTCGGGCAATCAATGCAGAAACACACGCCTTTTGAAATTTGCTAAAAATGCTTGCGGCCTATTTGAGTAATTCAGTTTCTTAACACTTGAGATATGGCCAGAGATCGGCTATGATTATGATTAATATATGTTATTAGATATGAACGGAAATTTGTTCTAATGATTGCATAGCTACACTTGGAGAAATTATATGTGAATGTTAGAGGTATGCAGAGGTATGATTGCATTGCTACACTGAGAGAAAAATTTTGACATTTTTAATAACATATCTTATGAAAGAGGGAGTCCTTTATTGAGTTTATACTTTAGTTTGCAATTATATCTCTTATTATTATATTTTCTAACCAAATTGTCCATATATAAGATCTTAGAACTTATTAATATATCATTTTCGCATTACCAGTAAATAGTTTTGAGCTTTTAAATGAAATTCAAACTTAATTGCCTGCTCTTTTCGCTCAGTGTAGTGCGCCCATTACTGCACTCTCTGCTGTTGCCAGAGACACTCTTAATAACGGTTAAACGTTTGTTCCATTGTTAAACAGTTACATTCCAGCCAAACGCACTTAAGCCTTGCCTTTATTAATTTCTATAAAAAGCGTCTCTAAAGCAATGCGCACGACTGTGCATTGTACCTTTGTGTGTGTTTGGCCAAAGGTTTCTTCAATGAATGAACACAGATATCTATCTAAGTATGCATGTGTGTGTGTGTGTCGGTCGCGGGTTAAGCGTGCTGCTTTTAATTTCGCCACCGCATCGAACAAAAATCCAAAGCGAACATTTCCAGAGCTCAAACCCAAGCCGACAAGCCGTTGCCGTTAACTGCACTAGTACAACTTGTTGCCCCCCGCTCTCTCGCTCTCTTATATCGTCTCTTGTTGTGTCCCCCTCATTCGCTTCATTTAACCCTCGGCTCCTGGCTCATTTAATATGAGCTGCGGATATCGCATAGAAACACACATATACACACATACAGACACACAGAGGAACGTATACAAAACGACAGCGATTACAATATCGCGCGATGAATCGCCGTTGAACTTTCAACTCGGGTTTTGGTGTGAGTGCGGAACCCGTTTCAACAACTACTTGGGTTAGGGCAATGCGCATTTTGTATATTCTACTTTTCAATTTGGAAAGCTGAAACCGTTCAAAATGTCAAAAAGAAAATGAGCTCACTTGAAGTTCATGTGCACGAAGCACAGGGCAGTCCAACTAACACTTGAGCATCGCGTTGTTCAAACAGTCAAGCCGCAAACACCAACAGCAACAACAACAACAAAAGCAGCGAGCTCAAGAAATATTTGTTAATTTGCCTGCGACAAACGTAATCGATGAATTGATAAGTGTGTACGAGCGAGATGGCGTATCTCTAGCAGCTGCCAGGGCTGCGGGCTTCCATTTTTTCTGGCAGTTTGCTTTGCTTTCTTCTTCGAATGCTTAATTTTAACACAGCGCTAATTGTATGGGCAAATATTTATAGTTGGGCGTTTGGTATGTGGTTTAAGTGATTGTTGTTGTTGTTGTACGCAAACAAATATCAAATATCGATATATTTTTGTTTGTCTGCGGCGACTTTAATTGGTTTGTTTAGCGCGTACCACAATAGAACCAAGAAAATTGGAACTAGATGTAATAAGCTATACTATGGAATTAGAAAGCTTTAAGAAATGTCATTTCAAATGTTGTATACGACTTTCGATAGAGCTTTCGTATACTCAAAGTCTTATAAATTGTTTTTATAACTTATGTATGCAAAATGCTGCTATAAATCTGCCAAAATGTATATAAAAATATATTGAATAAACGTAATTTGTGCCTTTCGGCCATGTTGTGTTTGTTTTTCCTTCAAAGTGAAAGAGCTCCATCGATTTATTGTTTTTAAAACGGCACGTAAGCGACCACAACAACAACAACTTCACTGAGCATAAGAGCTTTAAGACAAAGTTCCAGTTCCACATAACTCTCATGTACGCAGATTTTTTTTCTTTTTATTTTTATTTTCATTTTTTTTTGGGCCATAAGAAAACAATGCAAACAACAAAAATCTTTATATACTTTTTTTGTTGAGCACAATTTTTGAGCTTGGCTGACTTCAAAGGTTATTCACCATGTGGGCCATAAAGCCAGAGACAGTCAATATTGTTTTTAAGGAGGGGGTGGGGCGGGGCCTTTGTAGAAAGTCCGACACATTTTATTAAGTATACGATCTGTTGTCTTATTCCTCTTTACACTCCTCTGGAGAGCGGGCAGTGCATGACCTTAGCTAGCTGATTTGCCACAGACCATAAATAACTAAATTCACATAGACAAAAACGAAAGATCAAGAAAATAAATCAAACAACAGAAGCCGCCGGCGACAGCGTCTTAATGAGCACTTAAAATTCGCAACAAAAATTTGTGTAAAGGAAAAAACATAAAAAATAAAATAAAACAATGAAAGAGAGACACAAAAATGGCAACAACTTTGTCAAAATTTACTCAACTTCTGATGAGCTTCAAGCTGAGTCCTCAACAATGACAATCTTTGACTTGAAGAGGAGCCCATTAACCGCATTAAGCCAAAGCAAATAAAACAAGCAAATAAGAGTGTTCCAATCGGGCGCCAATGACTGCATAATACTCGTTCAAAACAAAGTTTAACTGCTAAATTTTTGGAACTTTAGCTCTAAATCTTGCCACGCCCCATGTTAGGGTATTGCATACGTCTCTTTCTCTCACCTCGTGAAGCAGAATGATTTAGTTATAGCTACTGATAACCTCTAGCCAAAAAATAACTGATAATGCTTATATATTTAGTCATATATATATATATATATTTAGTCACATATATGTTTATTTTTGAGGCTTCTGTCATTGCGTGACTGATAAAGTTTTGTCTTTTTCTTTACCTTGGCTTTTAATTAAAACAATTTCGCAGGAGTTCTTTACAGTGCATGCCTATATGTGTTATATACATATATATATATATACAGCTCTATAAATCTATATGTATATAAATATTTATCACTATTTTGCTTTCTCGAAACATTTAGCTTAATTAACAGAAATCAATTTTCTGTTTATTTTCTGCGTCATTTTTAGGTTTTTTCTTTTTGTTTGTTTTGCTTTTTTTTGGGTTTCTGACAACCTTTGGACATTGGCATTGACTAAGTGTAAGGTCTGATTAAATAAACCTCGGCAATTTAACCTGCTTAAGGTCTGTGGCAATAGCTCGACAAGCGAAAATGGAATAAAATTATTGTCTTTTGGCAAGCCGAAGAAAATATTTATTCTGCGAGATATATATGAGAGACATCTGCTTAAGCACTCTAGATATATTTGAAGATTGAACTAGCTCACAGCTGAACCTGATTATAATGACTGAAGTTACAAAGATGTTGGGAAGATGTTCCGAAGACATCTTCTATGTGTGATAATACCCTCTAGAAGCGCATGAAAAGGGGTAGCTATCATTTCAAAGAGAACTGCAAATTGGAGTACAGCAAATATTTGAGTTATATATATATATATATCTAGGAATTTATTTATGTATACTTTTGTTCATTTTCTCAGTCCACTTGTCTGCGCAGTATAAAAAACGCCATATGTTGAGTTGAACTGGTTTTATTGTAGCTGTTGCTGTTGCTGTTGCTGTTGTTGTTGTTGAGTGCAAAAATAAACAAAATGTTTTGCGTCTTGACAGCTTTAGCCTTTTCGGCACATTTCGTCAAGTCGTGTGCAAAAAATGTGACAATAAAAGACCTGAAAGCAGGCCAACTGAGCCAAAACACGTTCCACACTCGCACTAGCACGTCAGAGTTTAACCAACTGTTAAAGTTGATGTTAAAATGCGTTGACAACTGCTCGAAGCCAACTCCCACAATCAACTCAGGCAATCGTCTAAGATGCACGTTGAACGCTTCACTGAGTCGTCGTCGGCGAGCGAGTCAATGAAAGTGCAACAGATACTCTGTTTCCGATATGCCACGCCCATGGCGTCGACGGCCAACCGCCGACCGCCAGCCGCCTCTGGCTACATGTCAACCTCAATGAACAATGAGCAATGGAATAACTGCAAGTGTCTGTCGAGCCATTTAACTGTAAATCAACTTTAATGGATGTGACTCGAGCGTAATCCACAAGGGGCGAGGGCAGGGGCTGGAGGCGTGGCACAGGCCATGTCCCAGGAATGTAGCCGCATTGTTGACCCTCTCGCGCTGCGAGCTCAATTGAATTAATCAACAAAAATCTTTGATTTAGTTTAATAAAGTCTTAGCTCAGTTGCGCTTTAACTGGGAGTAAATCGACTACACTGAGAGAAATATTGTAATGCAATACAATTTTAAAAGAAATTTGTTTAATTTTGGTAAAAGTAATAAGCAAAGTACCTTTATCTATACTTCTATTAGGCTTTCTCCTAAACTATTCATATTTTTTGCAAAATCTTGCT